CTTTTGCCTGCTTTTTGCAGTTCACTAAGTGTGAAGAGTTCTTCCTCTTCGACTTTGCAAAAACTCCAGTCCCTTCTAAGGTATGGCTCCGCAGGAGGAAACAAAGAACTTATTATCTTTCTGACCCAATCGGGATTGTCCAGGCCGGGGGTCTTTTGCCTCGTCACTAATTTCTTAGTTACGATTTTAAAAGCCAGACCCCATGGGTCCTTATCGACTTCCTCGATTAGGTCCTTCCAGCTACGGCGTCGCGACTTGCGGATCTCTTTCTTGAGGTCCTTTTTCGCCTCCTTGAAAGCCTCTTTCAGCAAGGGATCTCCCTTAGATCGGGTATATGTCCTTCTTGCTTTGAGGCATTCCTTTCTCAAGGAGGCTAGCTCCTCTGACCACCAGTGCAAGGATTTTCTTACTGGAGTGGCGCCTTTGCGTGGCATTGACGCATTGCAAGCGGTGACTATCATGTTCCTCACCGCTCGCACCTCCCCATCCAGACTGCTCGGCCTCTTCACCCAGCCCAAGTCCTCAATTAAAAGGGCTTCTCTTAGGGACCGGCCGAACTTTTCCTTGTCGAGTCTCTTCATATTCCACGAGGAGGTTTTGCGACTAGGAGCATCCTGTCTTTTTCCTCCTCGTGTGTCTCCCATAGAGACTGAGAACTCAATGTACTGGTGGTCACTTGCGGTATATTCCTCTGAGACCCGCCAGTCGGTTATGCGGCTAAATAGTTTAGACGATGCGATTGTTAGATCTATAATTGATCCGATCGCACCTCGTCTAAAAGTCCATGTATTGCCTCGGTTTACTGCCAATAAGTCGTTTCTGGAGATCATTTCTCCAATACGAATTCCTCTCTTGTCGAGTCTCGTCTCACCCCACTCTGGCGACTTTGCGTTAAAATCACCAGTGATGATGACATCCAGCCTGGATTCTGTGAGGCTCGATTCTAGGTCTTCGATATTGGCTTCGAAGTTTGTCAGTGGGTCGTTGGGTGAGAAGTAGCAGCTATACATACGTATATTAGCCACCTCTATCCACACGAACCCACTGCTCGTCTCCAGAAACTTGTCCACCCGCAATTCTGGGTTGCACAGCTTTATGGCGGCTCTCTTCGCCTTATCCTGATACCAAGGGGCGAGATCGCTTCCTTGATATTGCTCACTGCAGAACAGGATATCGACCTCATTTTCCCTTGCTGTTTGCATTAGGAGCAACTGTGCATCCTTACTTGTATGCAAGTTGACCTGCAAAAATTTTAAGGATTTGCCCTTTTAATCTTTTGCAGTTCTTCTCTGTAAACCGGGCAGGCTCTCTTTCCGGAATCGTGATCCGTCTCTGGCTTTCCCAGGTCCAAGCATGTAAGGCACTTCGGCTTAACTTTACAGCTCTTCGCGAGGTGTCCCTCTCCGCCGCATCTCCGACAGTTTTTGCTTCTGTCGGGGCCTTTGCAGGTTCGGGTTGAGTGTCCGTATGCTAGGCACTTTTGGCACCTAGCTACTTCAACATGCTCGCGAATTGGAGCATTTATCCAGCCGATTTTTATTTTACCAAGCTTTAGCAGAGTGTTACTTTCTGCCTCTGTCAGACGTACCAGAGCAACCTTAGTTCCTCTGTATCGCGGCAAAAGTCGACACTCCATCTTCAGGTCGGGTTTACCCAGCTTTTCTCTTAGTGCTGCAGTTACCTCATCCTCTGAGGTGGCTTCGTCCAAATCCTTAATCTCTAGAGACCTTTTATTCACTAGAGGTGTGACCTCAGCTTTACCATGCAGGGCCGAAGACAGTGCATCTGCAAATTTTAAGGTCTCTCCGCCCTTTTTCACTATCACGAGAACCTCCTGTTTAAAGGTTCTCCTGATTTTCCGGATCACGGTACCCGTATCTTCTGGGTTTACCTTTGCTTTTAGCAGCGGCAAGATACCCTCATAAAGCTTTGGGTCGCTTGCCGTAATTTTAACAGCTTCCGTGCTCCTCAGCTTCAAAGGGGGCTTCGGAAGCTCTTTTTTCTCACCTGAGGGTTTCTCTTTTGGAGTCCGTTTCTTTTTGCTTTTAACAACTTTGAAGCCGTCCCCATTGTCCGCTCCGTCCTTTAAAACGGTCTCAGCATACGAACTGCCAGGACTATTTAAGGGCGCCTCTTTCGTTCCATCTAGCGACTCAGAACCAAGCTGTGGAGCATCCTTTCGCTTAATTCTTTTCCCGCTTTGAGTCGCCCGTTGCGGACTCGCATCTGGGCTTGCACCTTCCCTGGGGCGCTTATTAACGCCCTTTGCCTTATTAGGGCGTGCAGTTACGCCGTCCAGAGCTGTAGTAGTGCTCTCCGTCTGATCTCGAGCTCCCACAGTTGGATGTTGCGGCGCCTGGTCTTTGAACGGCTCGGGGATAAAACGTAAATTCTTACAAATTGTTAAGAACGAACTCTCCAAAACCGCCACGCCATCCTGGATGTCACGACTGACGTTCTTTTGGCGCTTGAATGCCTGGTACACGCTCTTAAAAATCCCGGGAATAGCCAGAAACTGATTTGCGACATTTGATTCGTAGCATGTCAGCTGGCTATCTATTTGGCTCCCTCCAAAATCCTTGGAGCCATCTGCACCGACTATCGGGGCTTGCACCCGATCAGAATCGGTGGTGGGATTACCCTCTTTCGAGGTACCCACTTGGAGTATATCGTTTAAAATTTTGTCCATTTCATTTGTGTTTTTTTTAATTCTTTGTCCCGTGTCGAGGGACAATCGGGCCTTAACAGGGTACTACCATCTGGCCAAGATGGGCCCTGAACCGCCTCCGTTAGTTACATAGACGTTATAGCATTGCCGGAGCATTGATGCGACGTCTATGATATCCAAGGGCACGTGAACATGTGTGTTCGGACGTGGAGGTCGATGTGTCTCTCCAAGATAGCAGGAAGTTTCCGCAAAGGGAGTGCATCCTGGTATCTCTTCACAGAGTTTACCCTCATTATTATTATTATTATTATTATTATTATTATTATTATTATTATTATTATTATTATTATTATTATTATTATTATTATTATTATTATTATTATATTATTATTATTATTATTATTATTATTATTATTATTATTATTATTATTATTATTATTATTATTATTATTATTATTATTATTATTATTATTATTATTATTATTATTATTATTATTATTATTATTATTATTATTATTATTATTATTATTATTATTATATTATTATTATTATTATTATTATTATTATTATTATTATTATTATTATTATTATTATTATTATTATTATTATTATTATTATTATTATTATTATTATTATTATTATTATTATTATTATTATTATTATTATTATTATTATTATTATTATTATTATTATTATTATTATTATTATTATTATTATTATTATTATTATTATTATTATTATTATTATTATTATTATTATTATTATTATTATTATTATTATTATTATTATTATTATTATTATTATTATTATTATTATTATTATTATTATTATTATTATTATTATTATTATTATTATTATTATTATATTATTATTATTATTATTATTATTATTATTATTATTATTATTATTATTATTATTATTATTATTATTATTATTATTATTATTATTATTATTATTATTATTATTATTTACTATTTTTATATCAATTTTACTATTTATTGTTTATTATTTCTATTTTTCAATTAATAATTCTCTATTATTACTTTTGGATATAAATTATTATTGTTATTAGTTAAATTGCAATTGTTATTATTATTTAATAATAATTATTTTGAAATTATTATTTACTATTTTCAATTGAAATATTTTTCTACTTTGAAAAAATCCTACCTCCGCTGGGGATCGAACCTCGGTTTTCCATTTACAAGTCGGATGCCTTAACCACTTTACTACGAACCCTTGTTTGTAGTGTAAATATTTAATTGTAATAATATTTTATTTTTTTATATTTCTATTTGATAATTCAATCTTAAATCTTAATTTTTAACTTCTTGAGTTAATTTTTCATTGAAAACAAAAAATGAAATAAAATAAAAAAAAAATAATTATGCTAAAATTAAAATAAACTTTAACTTGTTCGATTAAAAAACCTAAAAATAGAAAATATTTTTTCTAAATTATTAATAAAATAAAAATTGTTTATAACATAATAATAACAATACTAATAAAAATATAATAATAATAATAATAATAACAAAAGCGATGAAAATATTACAATAATTAATAAAAAAAATTAATTCGAATCTTGCAACAACAAAATTAATACAAATATTACAATAATTATTACAATAATAATAACTAGAAAAAATTAATTAAAGTCTTGCAACAACAAAATCAATACAAATTTAACAATAATAATAACAAATTTATTAAAAATGTTATAATAATAACAAAACCAATAAAAGTCAATATTAAAAAAATTTCTAATAAAAATATTGCAATAATAATAATAACAAAATTTAAAAAATATTACAGAAAACTAACAATAATAGTAATAAAAACAATAAATAGAGAAAGAAAAATTATATCTGAAAAAGAAGCCTCCTTGGTCGTGCGGTTCAGTTGCGCGCATTGTTCACGTTTGCGTCGGTGGACAAGGGGTTCGATCCTATCTGCGGGCAATATTTTTCATTTATTATCAATCAATAATTAATTAAAAATAGTTATTTCCATTATAATTTATTAATTAGTTGATTTATTTATTAATATCGTTATTTTATTAGATTTTTAATTTTAATTATTTCAACCAAAAAAAAAAAAAAAAAAAAAAATTGAAAGACTAATGGAAACAAAAAATTCTAAAGTTGTTAATTTTGAATTTTAATTGGAATTTTATTGAAATTTATTGAAAATTTTTCAATTTAAAAAAGAAAAGAAGAAATAAATAAATTAATTATTCGAAGAAAATAAAAAGAAATAAATAAATAAAATATAATAGAATTAAAATAAAATAAGTGAATTAGTTGTATAGAATAAAAATCACCGAGTCTCAATGGCCGTGTGGTCAGTGAGCGTGCGTCGCGTCAGATAGGTCGTGGGTTCGATTCCCGCTGGGTGTGTGCAATATTTTAATTCTTAAATAAGTGGTTTTTTATAAGTTTTAAAATTGTTAATTATTTAATTAATCTTAATTTAAATTAAAATATGAAAAATATGATAAATACAATATAATTTCGGCAATATAAATTTAATTAGATAATAAAAATGAAATAAATAAAAATTTTTAAACAAATAGAAAATTAAAATATTAAAAAATAAATATAAAAATATAATAAACAATAATTTCAACTATATAAATTTGAAGAAATACTAGAAATAAAGAAAATAAAAATATTTAAACAAAAATAGGAAATTTAAAATACTGAAAAAATTTAAAATTAAAAAAAAGAATTAAATATTTAAATATTCAAAATTGATAAACATAATAAGTTTAATAATATAAATTTAATAGCTTAATAGAAATTAGGTAAATAAAATAGAAATTAAGTAACTAAAATTGAAATTAAGTAAATAAAATTGAAATTAAGTAAATAAAATAGAAATTAAGTAAATAAAAATATACAAAAAGAAAATTGAAACATTCCAAAAAAAATTCAAATATTTCAAAAAGAAAATTAAAATTCTCAATAAAAAATAAAAATTCAAGTATTTTAAGAAAAAAAATTAAAATACTGAAAAAAAGTAAAATATTTAAAAAAATAATTAAACAAAAAGAAAATTAAAATTCTCAATAAAAAATAAAAATTCGAATATTTGTTAACAAAAATAAAATTTAAATAAATAGAGAATAAAAATAAAAATGGTGAATAAAAAATTAAAATTTATAAACATTCGAATATTTAAATAAATGAAAAATTAAAATACTGAATAAAAGTAAATAATAAATAAAAAATATTTAAACAAAAAAAAATTTTAATTCTCAATTAAAAATAAAAATTCGAATATTTGTTAACAAAAATAAAATTAAAATATCGAATAAAAAATTAAAATATTTAAAAACATTCGAGTATTTTAAGAAACAAAATTAAAATACTGAAAAAAAAGTAAAATATTTAAAAAAATATTTAAACAAAAAGAAAATTAAAATTCTCAATAAAAAATAAAAATTCGAATATTTGTTAACAAAAATAAAATTGAAATAAGTACCGAATAAAAAATTAAAATAAAATTTAAAAGCATTCGAGTATTTCAAAAAAAAATTAAAATAGGCTGAAAAAACTAAAGTATTTAAAAAAAAATTTAAACAAAAGGAAAATTAAAATTCTCAATAAAAAATAAAAATTCGAATATTTGAACAAAAATAAAATTGAATAAATAATTAAAATTTATAAACATTCGAATATTTAAATAAAAGAAAAATTAAAATACAGAAAAAAAGTAAAATATTTAAAAAAATATTTAAACAAAAAAAATTAAAATTCTCAATAAAAATTCGAATAGTTGAACAAAAATAAAATTGAAATAGTGAAAAAAAGTTAAAATTGATAAAGATTCGAAATATTCAAACATAAGAAAAATTAAAATACAGAAAAAAAGTAAAATATTAAAAAAAATTAAATTATTTAAAAAACATTAAAGTAATAAAAAAAATAAAACAAATTCCCTCCTGGGCAATATTGAGAATTTCGTCTATTTTCTGATTTTTCAAATTGCAGATTATTTTCGTAACATTATTGTGCTGCATTGTGACAATAAATGCCGCGCCACAACAACGTCCAAATGAAATAACAATTGTCAAACAAGAGGAGAACAATAATATTGGCGTTGACGGCTATCACTACAGTTACGAGCAGAGTGACGGGCAAAAAAAAGAGGAGACCGGCGAATTACAAAATCAGGGCACAGAGAATGAAATAATTGTCGTACGCGGCTCATTCAGTTTCATTGGGGCCGATGGAAAAACATACAAAGTTGAATACACCGCCGATGCCGATGGTTTTCATCCCGTTGTTTCCGTCGCCTGAAAAGTGCAAGAAAAAAAACAAAAAATCAAAAAAAAGTAACAAAAATCAAAAATTTTTTTAATTACATTCAATTTTAATAGCGCAAACAAAAAAAAAAAAATTATTTCACTCGGAAAAAAAGACATTTTTTTCTCTAAAAGAATTTTTTTCTCTAAAAAGAATTTTTTCTGTAAAGAATTTTTTCTACATAAACAATTTTTTCTGTAAACAAGTTTTTTTGTACAAACAATTTTTTCTGATAAAGATTTTTCTCTATAAACAATTTTGATTTTTTCTCGAATAAAAATTTTTTTTCTCTATAAAAAACTTTTTCTATAAAGAATTTTTTTCTTTAAACAATTTTGTTTTTTGAAATAAATTTTTTCTCTAGAAAGAAATGTTTTCTATAAAAAAATTGTTTCTGCAAAAAAGATTTTTTTATAAACAATTTTATTTTTTGAAATAAAATTTTTTTCTCCGGAAATAATTTTTTCTACGAAAGAATTTTTTCTATAAACAATTTTTTCTACGAAAGAGATTTTTTTCTATAAAACAATTTTGTCTTTTTGGAATAAATTCTTTTTCTAAAAAGAAATTTTTCTACAAAGAATTTTTTTCTATAAACAAATTTTTTCTGCGAAAGAGTTTTTATATAAACAATTTTGGTTTTGCGAATAAATTTTTTCTGGAAATTTTTTTTTTCATTTAAAGAAAGAAAAAAATGATAAATATATATAAATACAAATATATTTAAAGGATCTCCGCAAAGTCTGATCCAGTCGCCTGGAGTTGTTTAATCTAATTTTTTTTCTATTTATATTATTCATAGAATTTTATTCTTCGGGTTTAGTGAAAATTTTTCAACAAAAAAAAAATAAATAAAAAACGAATGTATAGCAGAAAATTTCAATGACAAAAATTATTTTTCTAAATATTTTGTATACGAATAAAATAGAAATATAAGAAAGATAAATTTTCCATGTACCCGAAATAATAAATTTCAGTTGAAAAAGTAAATTTACTTTTATTTTAAATCGTCGTTTTCCTTTTTGAACGATTTTTTTTCCATTTTTTAGATTTATTTTTAATCATTTTATTAATTTTTTTTGCTATTTTCTTTTTATTTACTTTTTTTCTCTTTTCATTTTCTTTAATTTTCTTTAATTTAATTTTTCTTTTAATCGCTTATTTCTTTTTTTAATTTATTATTTCAATTTTCTTTTTATTCTATTTCAATTTCTTTTTTAGCGTTTTTTTATTTTTATTTCTTTTTCTCTATTTTTTCAATTTTCTTTTTATTTTATTTAATTTTTTTTTGCATTTTTCTAATTACTTAATAATTTATTTTTTTTTTTGTGTAATCTTTTTTTTCGTAATTTTATTTTTTTTTATATTTTCAATTTTCTTTTTATTTCTTTTTTCTCAATTTTAAATATTTTTATTTTGCTTTCTTCTTTCATTTCCTAAATTATTCTTTTATTTTCTATTAACGGTTTTTATTTTAATCTTTTAGATTCATTTTAGTTTTTTTAATTTTCTCTTCCTTTTCTTTCATTTTTTCTATATTTTCTTTAATTTTCAGGTTTGTTTCCTACATTTCTTTTCATTTTATTTTATTCTTTTTATCGATTTTTAAAATTTTTTGTTCATTTTCACAAATATTGTTTTTCTTTTATTCACTTTTCTTTTCTATTTTTCTTTTATATTTTCTCAATATTTCTTTTTATTTTCTTTTAATTTTTCTTAAATTTCCATTTATTTGTTTTTTTATTATAAATAAATAAATTTTCTTTAGTTTTTAAAAAAATTTTTAAAATTAATTATTATTTTTTTAATTTTCTTTGATTTTTTCTTTATTTTCTTTAATTTTTTCTATACTTTCTTTAATTTTCTTCGAATAGTTTTTTAAATATTTTTAATTTTTTTTTATTTTTCTTTGATTTTCTGTTTATTTTCTGTCATTTTTTCTATATTTTCTTTAATTTTCTATTTATTTTCCTAAATTTTCTTTGATTTTCTATTTATTTTCTTTAATCTTTTCTTTAATTTTCTGTTCATTTTCCTAAATTTTCTTTTATTTCCTTCTAATAGTTTTTTAAATTTAAAAAATTTTTTTTAGCTTATTCTCATTTTTTTTATTTATTTTTTTTTTTTGATTTTCTTTTTTTTTCCTTTTGTTTTTTTTTCTAAATGTTCACTAATTTTTTGTTTATTTTCCTAAATTTTCTTTTAATTTCTTTTTTAATAGTTTTTAAAAAAAATTTTTTTTCGTTTCTCTTTATTGTTTGTAATTTTTTCTATAATTTTCATTAATTTCCTCTTTATTTTCCTAAAATTTCTTTTATTTCCTTCTCATTATTTTTTAAAAATATTTTTAATTTAATTTTCTCAATTTTCTTTGATTTTTTCTATATTTTCTTTAATTTTTTGTTTATTTTCCTAAATTTTTTTTTATTTCCTTTTTTAATAGACTTTTTAATATATTTTAATTTTTTTTAATTTTCTTTGATTTCCTCTTTATTTTTTGTAAAATTTCTATATTTTCTTTAATTTCCTGTTTATTTTCCTAAATTTTCTTTGACTTTCTATTTATTTTCTTTAATCTTTTCTATATTTTCTTTAATTTTCTGTTCATTTTTCTAAATTTTCTTTTATTTCCTAGTTTTTCTTTGATTTTCATTTTTCTTTATTTTTCTTTTATTTTCCCCAAATTTCTCATTATTCCCCCTAATTTTCTTTTTATTCTTCTATCTTCAATTTTTTCCTCATAAAAAAACAATCAAAAACAATTTTTTTCGATAAAATAATTTTTCTCCAAATTTCAAAATTCACAAAAGAAATTTTTCTTTTTTTTTGTTTGTAAATTTCACAGTTTATTGGATTAAAAAAAAATAAGTTTTACAAACTTAGTTCTAAACTCGTTTCTTTCTTTATTATTTAAAAAAAAACACAGACAAAAGAAAACGAGTTGTGAGATTGCAAAAGAAATTCGTCTGGCACGATAAACTCTTAACACACAAAATATATAATATTCTATATATAATATAATAATATAATGTATATATTAGTACAAAATATAAATGAGAAGACGCTGAATCTTCGCTATGTACAATCAATTGTCACTACCATGAGAATTAGTTAATCGAAAACATTCTTTACATTCACTAACATTTAAATTTAAAATTTAATTCATTATTATCACCTCATCCAATTCCTCATCATTTTTTTTTTATTTTACAAAAAAAATGTTGAAGCATAACCTTTTTTTTCCGTTTTTTATGCTTCTTTTTGCTTAATTTTTGTCATTATTTTCTTTGTCTGTATTTTATTATCGCTATTTTATTATTACTTTAGTAATATTGTTACTACTTTTTATTTTAATAGTAAAATTTATTATTAAAACGTATAATTATTATTATAATAAATTATTATAATTAATTATTAATAATAATATTACAAATTACAATATTTAATAATAATTAATTATCAAATAATGAAAATAATAATAATTTTAATAATTATAATTATAATATTATTACAACAAATTTATTACTATAAAAATACTATTAATATTAATTTGTAAAATCATGAATTAATAATAATAATTAATAATAAGAATAATAATAATTAGTAATAATAATATTCGAACAATATTTTTCGGTGAAATTGTAAATTTTTCAAATTTTTTTAATTCCACCAGTATTTTCAAGAATTATTAAATAATTCTTCCTTTAGTCTTTATTTTCGTCTTATAATCCATTATTTTCGTCTTTTTTGTAATTCTTTATAGATTTTCTTTTGCTTTGTGTTATTTTTTTAAATAAAAAACCAGAAAAAAAATCATGAGGTTGGATTCGGTTCGATCTTTCCATTTTCTCTTAAACAATTAAATACAAAAAACTATGAAAGCTCCAGTATATAAATGCGTATAGTGAGAGGTAGAAAATTTAATTTTTACCTCCGAAGAAAAAAAAAGAAAACTAAAAGACACTTAATTTTTTAGATCAGATTTTTAAAATCGATGATTACTTATTTTTATAAACAAATGTTCGTTTCTTATTTAAAAAGAAAGGAGCAAATGAAAAAAAAAATTGATAGGACAAAATTAAACTCTAGACGAATTGTGAGATTCATGATAGAGGTGTTGATCCGCCCCAGGCGCGAATTAAATTAATTGTTTTATTTAATTTTGCGCACCATTCGAGTCGATCTTCTTTTGTGTCCGCCGACAGCAAGTGTCTGGAAAGAAATTTTTTTTATTTATTTCACTTGGATTTTATACATTTTTATAATTTTTGGTTTGCTTTCAGAAAATTATTGAATAAATATGAAAATAATTTTAAAATTCATTTCGAAATTTTTAAAATTTCGTTACTTATTAAACTCTTTGAAAAAGTTCAATTATTTTAAATACAATAATTTTAATTAAAATTTAGTGGTGGCATTTCAATTATTTCTAGAAATTGATAAAGATTTTTTCAACAATTTTTCAAATAATTGAATTCTTTTCAATTATTATTTAATTAAATAAATTTAATTGAAAATTTTGAAAGTAATTGAATTTTATGAACAATTTCTTTCAAGTTTTTAAAATAAACGTGTTTCTTAATAATTGAAATTAAACATTTAATTATTGAATTTTATTAAAAATTTTAGAAAATAATTAAATTAAACAAAATAATTGAATTCTTTCAAGAAATTTTATTAAAATTATGTATTAAAAATAATTGAATTCTTGCAAAGAAAAATTAAAAAATTTTAGGTTAAATTCAGTTTTAGATTAATTTTTTATTAGAAACTTCTTCGAGAATTCAATTATTTAAATACAAAAATTAAATTCCCTGAAAGAATTTAATTATTTTTTTTCATTTGTTTTATTCGTTTTTATTATTCGTTTGAGAAAATCAAATATTTTTAAAATAAACTAAATAAAAGTCTCAAAAAATTGCAATTCTTATTTTATAAATATAATAAAATTTCTCTAAAGTATTCAATTTTTTTTTAAACTCCAATAAAATTCCTTTTAAAAATTCAATTCATTCAAAAATTTTGATAACAGTTTTTAGAAGAATTAAATAGGAAATTTTAAATACAATTTCAATAAAATTTCTTAATAGAAGTCAATTTTATTGAATTCCATTTTATGATAAAATTTCTCATAAAATTTAAAAATTTTTTAAAATAGTTAAATTTTAAAAATAGTTAATTTAAAATAGTTAAAGTAATACTTTGAAACAATTCAATTATTATCATAAATTATTATAAAATTCTTGACAAGAATTCAATTATTTTCTAAAGTTATGAGAATCTTCGGTTGAATTAAATCATTTTCATATTTCTTAATGCATTTCAATTACTTTTAAAAATTCTAATTATATTCTTTCGCCGGAATACAATTAGTTTTAAAATTTTCAATTATTTTGAAATCAATTTTTTTTTTAATTCTTTAAAGAATTTTATTGTATTCGAATCTTTTAAAATAAATTTTTCACAAGAATTCAATTAATTTCACAAATAATAAAATTTTACAAAAATTTCTCGATAGAATTCAATTATTTTCAAGAAATTTTTTTTTTAAATATTGGAATAATTTCAAGATTCAAAATAATAAAACAAAAAAAATAATAAAAATAAAAAACAAAATAATTGAAAAAACATTTAAATAATTGTATTATTCAATTATTTTCAAAAAGTAATTGAAGAAATATTAAAATAATTTCAAAATTCAATTATTTTCGAAAATTTCCGTTACTTTTTAAATTCTTCAGAGGAATTCAATTATTTTTAATACAATTTTAACTAAATTTCGTAATTGAATTCAATTATTTCTAAAAATTCATAAAGAAATTTTTCAACAATTTTTTTTTAAATATAATTGAATTCTTTTGAATTTTAATAAAATTTTTAACAATTATTACTTTTTTGAAGGAATTTGATTACAATTGTATTAAAAATAATTGAAATTCTGCGACGAGTGTTATTATTTATCAAAATAATTAAATTCCTAAAAAAAAAAATTTAGGTATTATTTATGAAAATAATTTAATGTCTGTGTAAATTTATATTAAAATTTTCTTTAAATAAACAATTTTTTTTCGAAAATCTGATTAAAGTAGTAGATATTAAAAATCATTGAACTGAGGAAAATTTTTTTAAATAATTAAATTTCGGAAAAGAATTTCATTTTATAAAGATAATTAAAATTTTGACGAGAACTTTTTTTAAAAAATTTTTTTAATATAATTAAATTTCTGCGAAGAATTTTATTACTTTTGAAAATAATTGACTTTCTCTAATTATTTGTAACTTTTCCAAAATTTATTTTTTTTTTTTTTAGTCCTTTTAACTAAAACTCTTCTATAAATTCATTATTTTTAATAATTAATTAAATATACCCTACTAAAAAATTTAACTAATTTCAAAAGAATTTAAATTATTAACATTTTTTCAAAAATCTATGTTCTTTAAATTTTTTAATTAAATTCATTCAAAATTGAAATTTTATAAAATTTTTTATTCAAAACCTTTTGAAGTTCATCTATTTATGAAAATTGTAAAGGAAACTTTTTTTAAATTTGAATTAATTTTGAAATATTAAAGTAAAATTAGGTAATTATTAAATAATTTTTATGTAATAATTTTAAGATAGTTGTTCACGAATTAAATTATTGAAAAAGAAAAATTATTGTCAGAAATAGAAGAAATTGACGGTTTTATATTAGATTTCGTGGTAATTTTATAGTTTATGAGGCAAACAAAAGAATGTTTTTCACTGCTTTTAATAAAAATTCCTGACTTTTCCCTGATTTTCCTGACCTGTGACAACCTTGAAATTGAATTCAATTGGAATCAAATTAAATTGAAATTGAAATTAAATTGAAATGGAATTCAGATTAAATTGAAATTAAAATTGAAATTGAATTGAACTGAATTGAAATTAAATGGAAATTGAATTGAAATTAAATTGAAATTAAATTATAATTGAATTCAGATTAAATTGAAATTAAATTGAAATTGAATTGAAATTAAATTGAAATTAAATTAAAATTGAATTCAGATTAAATTGAAATTAAATTGAAATTGAATTGAACTGAATTCAAATTAAATTGAAATTGAATTTGAATAGAAATTGAATTGAATTTGAATTGAAATTGAATTGAATTCAAATTAAATTGAATTTGAATGCAATTGAAATTAAATTAATTGATTTAAAAAGTAATTTCAACTTTAATTTATAATAAAATTCATAAGGATTTGTAAATAATACCTGACAGTGGTGTTCGATCCATTTCGCACCATAATGAGACTGTCGACATCGCCGGACTGTGCGCGTCTCATTGTTTCGAGTAAAAATGTATTTGGCCGAGCGCAAATGTCCCTCGAGACCAAACCAACACTTGTCGTGGCAATTCCCTGCAAATCGAGACTGCCGATCGGTGTCTTCTTCCTCTCATCGTCGGGATACTTCCAGTAGGAGATCGTGTCGCCCTTCAGCAAACACCAGCGACGATGCCAAGCGCCGAAGCCCGAGACGTCCTCGAACATTGTCAAGAAGCCCCGATGCTCAATTGCAACCGACAATTCGCACGAAACGTGCATTTGTAATTTTCCCTCCAATGGCGAGTTCGACGGAACCTAAAAGTACAAAATTTTCACCGTTGTAATTAATTAACGTTAAACGTAAAGTAATTAACGTTTTTTTTAAATAATTCAATTCTTTCGAGAAATTTTTTTTTGACAACACTTTCATTATTTAGAAAAAGAATTAAATTTTTTCAAAGTATTTGGTTTGGATTTTTTTCTTATAAAGAATTTAATTAAAAAAAATTTCAAAATAATAAAATTTTTAGCGATGAATTTTTATTCAAATTCTTTAATTTAAAATAATTAAATTCCTGGGAAAAATTTGATTAATTATGAAAATAATTGAATTCAAGGAGAAAATATAGAAAAATTACCTTGTTTAGAGTGAATTGTTGTCGATGAACTTCACGGAGACTGAAGACGACATAACCAGCGAGAGAAAATGCGGGCGAACGAACAGCCGATGGACCAGCGGGACTCTGTACCGCTGGCATTATTAATTTACTCTCATGTTTTAAATATTTCTTCGGCGTTTTGCCGCCGGGCTGTAAACAAATTGAAAATGAATTTAAAAATTACAATTTAAAATGTTAATAATTAATAATAATAATAATAATAACTATTATCAAAGTAAATATTAGATAGTCGCAACTGTAATTAGTTGCAAAACCTTTGTTTTTCAACTAATTACAAATAATTACAATTACAAATAGTTTTCATCGCTGTTAAAAATATTATTAGAATAATTACTATAATCCCTATCACGATATTTGCAATAATTACTATAATTACCATCACAATTATTGCTATAATAATAATTATTATAATTACTATCAAAATTATTACAATTATAACAATAATTGTAACAATAATTATTATTACAGTAATATTATTATTGTGAGCTATAATTATTGCAAAAATTATCTATTACAATAATTATTATTATTACCTACGATTATTGTAATAAATAATTATTACACTTGTACAATATTATTAGCAATTAGCATACCTATGTTTTTTTTAGCAAAATAAAAAGAAATACCTTTTTAGATCCAGAGGACGAGGAATTGTTGTGAATGTGATATTTAATTTCATGTGGTAGAACTTCAGCACGAGTTTGAAGTGAATAAACTTCAATGGTAATTTTGAAGTCACTGTAGAGATCCTCAATTTTCAATGTTGAGGGGAAACGAATGCAAGAATCGCCCGGCTCCACTTGAATTACAGGCGTTGAAACAATATTCTCCATGTGACGCACAAGGCACAAGAAATGAAGACGCGTATCTGTTTCAAAAAAGGAGAATTATTATTTTCATTCTTTTACCTCTCAAGATAATAATAATAACAAGAAAAAATTAAACAAAAAGTAATAGAAACAAAAAGAATAGAAAAAAACTTAAAAATAAAGAAATATTTAAAAACAATAAAGAAATATTTATAAACAATAGAAAAATGTATTTAAAATGAAAATATACAGGGTTGCCACGAAAATTTAATTTTGTTTTTCCCTGACTTTTCCCTGATTTCCAGACAAAATTTTCACTTTCTCCCTGACCCTAAAGAATATACCGATTCACTCTAAAAATTATTAGATAATCAAAGAAATGTTCTATTACATTTATATTTACGAATTTCTTTAAGGTCATGTTATTCAGTGGTCACGTGTTCCCATAGTAAAGTATATGGAGCACGTGACCACTAAATAACATGACCTTAAGTGGAAAATTATTCGACAACATCAATAACTTCTTTTTTAAATAAATACTGAATAGTTATTGTTTTTCTATAGGAATTAAGGATTTTAAATCCAAACCTTCTCAAATTAAACAACTTATCAAAAATTCTTATAAAACATGAAGAAATCGATCACTTTCTTCACGTTTTATAATAAATTTAAAATTACAGAGTGACAAAATCATTATTTTATATTACAAGAATAATTATTGTTATTGTTATAAAAGTAATTTAATTCTTGCAACGAATTTTATTAAAAAAATTTTTAAAGAATTCAATTCCTGTGAAGAATTTTATTTGTGAAAATAATTCAATTCCGGAGAAAAATATTATTATTTATGATATTAATTAATTTTTTTGTGAAGAATTTTATGAAATTTTTTTTAAATAATTAAATTCTTGTGAAAAGTTTTATTTTTGAAAAAAATTGAATTCTTGGGAAAAATTTAATTAAAATTTCTTAAATAATTGAATTGCTTTGAAGAATTTTATTTTTTAAGAAAATAATTGAATTGTTTCGCAGATTTTTACAAACATTTGTGACAGTAATTGTAATTCTTATAAAATAATAATAAAATAATAAAATTTACTGTCAAGAATTGAATTATTTTCATAAATACAAAAATTTTTGCAAGAAAGTCAATTATTTTCGAAAATAATAAAATTTACTCTCAAGAATTCAATTACTTTCATTAATAAAAAAATTTCCGCAAGAAATTAAATCATTTTCAACTCAATGCAATTCAAATTAAATTTATTAAAAGAATTCAATTATTTTCAAAAATACTAAAATTCCTCCAAAGAATGCAATTATTTTCATAAATGAGAACATTTTTTGCAGAAATTTAATTATTTTCAATACAATTTTCATAAAATTTATTGAAAGAATAATAAATTATTTTGAATTCAATGTTTATAAAATTTATTGCACCAATTCAATTTTTTTTGAAAACTTTTAATAAAATTCTTCGCAAAAATTCAATTATTTAAAAAAAACAATAAAAATCTTCGTAGAAATTCAATTATTTTAAAAAATTAATAAAATCTTCACAGAAATTCTATTATTTTCAAAGATTATTAAAATTCTTAGCAATAATTCAATTATTTTCATAAATAATAACATTCTTCTGAAGAATTCAGTTATTTTCATAAATAATAAATTTGTTTTGCAAAAATTGAATTATTTTCAACAAAATTTTAATAAATCCTTCGAAACAAATTAAATTGTTTTTTCAAATAGTAAAATCTTTGCAAAAATTAAATTATTATCAATAAAATATCAGGAAAGAATTCCTGTGAAGAATATATTTTATTTGTGAAAATAATTCAATTTCGGAGAAAAATATTATTATTTATGATATTAAATTAATTTCTTGTGAAGAATTTTATTCAAATTTTTTAAATAATTAAATTTCTTATAATTTTTTATAACATTTTGAAAATAATTAAATTCCATCGACAAAATTTCATTAAAAAATTGAAAATAATTGATTTATTGCCAAGAATTTTATTATTTTTAATAATAATTGAATTGAATAATTTAATTATAATTGTATTCAAAACAGTTGAATTTATGCGAATTATTCTCAAGAATTCAATTAATTTCAAAACGAAAAAAGTACTTCAAATTAATACAATTATTTTTTTCAAATTTTAATAAAATTCTTTAAAACGATACAAATTATTTTTAAATAAAAATAAAAATTTAATCTGACGAAGAATTTTATTAAATTTTTTTTTAAATAATGGAATTCTTGTGAAAAGTTTTATTTTTATTTTATAAGAAAATAATTAAATTGTTTCGAAGATTTTTACAAACTTGACAGTAAAATTGTAATTCCTATAAGGAATGTTATATTTTACGAAAATAATTGTATTCTATAGTCAATTTTATTATAATTTTTCAAAATTTATAAAGCATTTTATCTCAAAATTTTTGAAATAATTGAATTCTCGAGAAAAATTTTATTATTTATGAAAATAATTGATTTCTTACGAAGAATTTTATTCAAATTTTTTTCAAACAATTGAATTCTCATAAAAAAAATGTATTATTTGTGAAAATAATTGAATTCTTAAGAAGAATTGTATTGAAAAAGAATAGGAAAATTTTATTAAAATTGCAATTTTATTAACTTAATCTTGTAAAGAATTTTGTCAAAATTTTTTTAAATTATAGAATTTTTAAAAGATTTTTATTTAAATTTTTCGAAATAATTAAATTTCTCAGAACTATTTTTTTTCTATTCTTTGAATATATTTGAATTCTTTCGATAAACTTCTTTAAAAAATTTATAAATAATTGAATTGGTGCGAAGAAATTTATAAAAAATTGGAAAGTAATTGAATTCCTGTGAATTTTTTATTAAAATTTCGTTTAAATAATTGAATTCTTTTGGAAAATTTTATTAAGATTATTAAAAATAATTGAAATGAGGAAAATTTTTGAAAATAATTGAAATTTTGCCAAGAATTTTATTACATTTTTTGAAAATAATTGAATTTCGGAGAAGAATTGTATTATTTGTAAAAATAATTGAAATTTTGACGAGAATGTTTATTAATTTTTGAAAATGATTGAATTTCTGTAATCAGTTGTTTTTAAAATTTCTATTTAAATTGATTAAAAATTGAAATTTTTAAAAATTTCATATTGAAGCCTTTGAAGTTGATCTATTTATGCAGATTTGAAACGCAACTCTTTTGAAATGTAATTAATTTTGAAAATTTTGAAGTAAAATTATTCCTTAAATAATTATAATTAATATTATTCCTTAAATAATTTTTGAGTAATAATTTGATGATAGTTGTTGAAGAATGAAGTAATTTAAAAAGAAAATATTGTCTGAAAGAGAAAAAATTAAAAGTTTTGTATTAAAATTCTTGTCAATTTCATAGTTTGTAAGGCAAACAAAAAAGACACAAAAATTCAGAATTTTCTTATAAATTCTAAAACTTAAATTTTTTTCAGTACTTTTAATAAAAATCCCTGACTTTTCCCTGAATTCCCTGACTTGTTGCAATCCTGATATAGTAAAAATAGTAGAAAAATATTTAAAAACAATAGAAAAAGTATTAAAAATAAAAAAAATAGTAGAAAAAAGCATTAAAATAGCAATAATAATAATAATAGAAGTTAATAATAACCTGCATCTAGATTGCGAACATTTTCTCGCTTAATTGGCAAAGTGATTGCCGAGACAGTGAGCGATCCATTTTCCTGTATTTCCGGAGCTCCCGGAACAACTGGTCGCAATGTTCCCTCGACTTTAAGTCGTTGAATTTCATGAAGCGCCGCTTGCCTTCGATGCGCTGGAAAATAATTATTTTTTTCTCAAAATCATTGCCCCAAAAAAACATGAAAATTCCAATCTAATAGAATAAAAAATAAATAAAAAAAAGAGAAAGAAGAAAGAGTGAAGAAACTCACTTGCTAGAAGAAGAAGTCTCTCGCCTTCGACCTGCTCCCGTGATCCACTGAATTCAACAGTTGAATTGCACAAATTGAGTGCCTGACTTGCCTGGCCAATGGTGGTCTGCTGCTTGCAAACCTCCTCCAACAATCGTTTAACTTTCTCCTGAACGAGAAGTGCCTCTTGTTTATCATCGATGGGCGGACTTCCCGGCGAATCATTCCCATCGGGAATACGGGAAATTAAACGAACTGGCGTCTTTGGCGTTTGTGACTGTTGACGACGATAGAAACTCACACTGTGCATTAGGGGAACGCAATTTTCACCCTCAACAATGTACGGTTCCTTCTTCTGTTGCGCCATTGATGGCGAATTTATTTTTATCGGTGAACGATAAGTGTTTCCTTGAGTGTATTTAAAACTCGTGGATGTGGCGGATGGACTTTTACCTCCTCGATTCAATTTCGGGGGCGTTGGTCCCTCCTGATTGCCTTGAAGGGCAAGACACTCGTCTAAATATTCGTCCATTTCTTCTAGAACTGAAATATCAGACGTGGAACTGTCCATATCTGGATAAATTGTTCTCTTTTTATTCAAAGCCGACTGTTGATTAACAACGTCCAATATACTTCTTCCTAAACTCGTATTATAGATATCTTCACATTCCTCATCGTCATCGCTGTCGTCTTCCGTTTCATCCTCGACATAATAATCGGCCTCAGTTTCCGTTTCCGTTGGCTCCTCAAGAGTCGCAGTCTCTGGCTCTGTGCTGCCAACGGTGAATTCCGTCTCCGAATCTGTTGTACTTTCCTCAATGCCGGTGAGATCGGGATAAAGATTTCCCGGCTTCGGCGCACAAACTTTTACACGTTTAATATCGTCAACGATTCGCGGTTGATTCGATTGCACCGAACCTCTGACAACTGGAGAAAAAATTTCAAATTTTAATTTCAGAATTGAAAACAAAAAATAGATTTCTTTTTCCTTTTAAAAATAGAAGAAAGAAGAATTAATTTTTCAAACCTTGTCGTTTGAATGGTGAATTTTTCAATGGTGACGAGCGTCGATCGGAATTTTTCGGCAAAGGCGGCGGAGGTGGAACAAAATCTTGCTGTGGAGAAAGAGAAAATATTTTTATATTCAGATTTTTTGCTTATATTTAAAAAATATTTTTTGTTGATTTTTTGTTTATATTTAAAAAATATTTTCAAATTAATAATTAATAATTGGTAATTAAATACAACGAGTGAAATTAATTACCGGTGCTGGTGTTGGTTTAACGGGGCAAATTGGAGAATTTTTCGGGGAATTTGATTTTCCCTCGCTACTCTCGCTGGTTCTGAGAGCGCAACCAACTGCAACCGTCGGCACTTCTTTGCTTCTCGTGAAACGCGATCTCAGCATTTCCAATTCCTTCTGTCGCTCGCTCTGTATACTCTGAAGAATATTATTCTCCAATTCCTGTGTCACTCCTTGCTCATAAACATTGCGCTGATTCGAAACTTTCTTCACGCTCGTCTCTGTTTTTTGACACGAATCTATTGACAAACAAACAAACAAAAAATACATCTCATTAAATTAATTGAAAATTTAAATAATTTAATTCTTAGTTTTTTGGCTTTGAAATTTTGTCAAAAATAGACAATTTCACACTTTTAACCCGATTTTTGTAAAAAAAAAAAAAAAAAAAGATGAAAATTCTAGGCGCTTCCGACGAACCTAACAATTTTTTTTTCTTAATTTTGTTTCACTAAGCGATTATTTTTAAATTTAGCGAGGTCTTCGTAATGATTTTTGGCTTTGAAATTTGACAAAAATAGCCAATTTCACAGTTTTGGACCATTTTTTAAAAAAGAATTAAAATTGTTGGTGCTTCCGACGAACAATTTTTTTTTTCTATTCTGTATCACTAAATAAATAATTCATTAATACACAACTTTTGATGAAATTCCCTGACTTTTCTCTGACCAATTTTACATTAGAAAATAAAAACTTGAAATAATTTTAAGAAATTTCGATTAAGCTTTTTGAAAAGAATTAGTTCCATAGAATTTTTAATTATTAAAAGTATGAAAAATTTCGATTTTTCAAAGATTTTAATTCTGAAACCTTTACAAAGTTCAATTACTTTTAAAAAATTGCAATTATTAGTAACTTCTCCAAAATTCAATTATCTAAAACATTAACTGAAATTAATTTTTAAATCAATTTTTATTAGAAAATTCCACGGGAATTCAATTATTTAAATATAAACATAAATAATATATTGAAAAATTGAATGCTTTATAAAATTCAATTCTCATAAGGAATTTTATCAACAAATTTTTGAATAATTGAATTCTTTCGACGAATTTAAATAACATTTTTGAGAATAATGACATTTCTCGAGAAATTCCGGTAAAATTGTATTAAAAATAATTGAAATTCTGGGATGAGTTTTATTATTTATAAAAATAATTGAACTATTGCGAGAAATTTTATGCAAGAATTTATTTTTCTTAAAAATAATTGAATTCCTGTTAAGAATTTTAATAATTTTTGAAAATAATTGAATTCATGTAAGGAAATTTATTAATTTTTAATAATAATTGAATTTCTGCGAATGATTTTAATAAATTTTCGAAAATAATTGAATTCCTGTGAAATTTTCATTATTTTAGAAAAATAATTGAATATTCGTGTAGAACATTGTCAATTTTGTTTTTAAATAATTGAATACTGTTGAGAAATTTTTTGAAAATAATAGATATACAAATTTTTGAAAATAATTTAAACTTTGCCATGAATTTTATTAAAATTTTTGAAAATAATTGAATTTTATTACTTTGGAAAATAATTAAATTCATGTGAAGAATTTTATTAAATTTTAAAAATAATTGAATTTCTGCTAAAATTTTTATTTTTATTTTTTTTTTTTGAAAATAATTGAATTCCTGGGAAGAATTTCATGAAAAGCTTTGAAAATAATTTAATTCTTACGAAGAATTTTATTAATATTTGAAACTAATTGAATCAATTAAACAAAATTGTTTTCAATTAAAAATCATAAATTAATTTATAAATGAAATTTAACATTCTAAAGCGTAAAGATAATTAAATTCTTTCACGAAAATTGACAATTATTAAATTCTAATAAACAAATAAGGTCAAAAATTTTCAAGATAAATTGAAATCTTTCGTGGAACTTTATTAAATATATTTTAAAAAGTAATTCAATTCTGTCAAGAAATTTTAAAATTTAATTTCAAATTAAATTGTGAAAATAATTGAATATCTCTAATGAATTCTATTATTTTTAAAAATAATTGAATTTTTAACAAGAAATTAATAAAAATGTTTGATATTAATGTTATTTCGACAGAAAATTAGAATTCTTTCAAAGAAATTGAATAAAATTATATATAAAATAATTAAATTCTTCTAAAAAAATTTATCAAAATTTTTGAAAATAATTGAATTCAGGCCTCGAATTTTATTATTTTTTGAAAATAATTAAATTCCTGGGAAGAACTTTATTAATATTTGAAAATAATTGAATTCTTGTGATGAAAATTGTTATTTATGAAAATAATTAAATCCCTAAAAAGAATTTCTTAATTTATGAAAATAATTGAATTACTGCGAAGAATTTAATGCCAAATTTTAAAACACTTGATTTTTTCAAAAAAATTTATGCAAATTCTATTTTAAATAATTGAATTCCTGTAAAATTTTTATTTTTTTTTGGAAAATGTTTGAATGTTTATGTAGAATATTATCAAAATTTTTGTTTAATAATTGAATTCTTTTGGGAAATTTTATTAAAATAGTAGAAAATTAAATGGAAAATCATTGAATTAAGAAAAATGTTTGAAAATAATTGAAGTTTTGCCATGAATTTTATTAAAATTTTTGAAAATATAATTTAATTTTATTAACTTTTGAAAATAATTGACTTCTTGTAATAATTACTATTATTTATGAAAATAATTGAATTTTGCAAAGAATTTTATTAAAATTCTTGAAAATAATTGAATTTTGCAATTCAGTTTTAAAGATAAAATTGAAATGTTGACAATTTTTTATTAGATTTTTTGAAAATAATTGAATTTCTCCGAAGAATTTTATTAATTTTGAAAATTTATTAAATATAATTTAATTCTTCTGATGAATATTGTTGTCCATGAAAATAATTGAATTCCAACGAAGAATTTTATTATTTTTTTTTTTTTTTTGAAATAATTGAATTTATGCTGTAAATTTAATTAAATTTTTGTAAATAATTGAATTCCTGTGAATAATTTTATAATTTTTTAAAAATAATTGTATTTCTGCGAAGAATTTTGCTAATTTTAGAAAATAATTGAATTTCCTACGAAGAATTTTATTATTTTTTTAAAATAATTGAATTTATGCGAATAATTCAATTAAATTTTTTTGAAAATAATTGAATTCTTGCGAACAATTCAATTACTTTTTGAAACTAATTGAATCCTTACGAAGAATTTTATTATTTTTTTTAAAATAATTGAATTCATGAGAATAATTAAATTAAATTTTGAAAGTAATTGAATTTCTGCGAAGAATTATATTAATTTTGAAAATTAATTAAATATAATTGAATTCTTCTGTTGAATATTGTTGTCCATGAAAATAATTGAATTTTACAATGAATTTTTATAAAAATTCCTGAATATAATTGAATTTCGGCGAAGAATTTTGCTATTTATAAAGATAATTAAAATGTTGACGAGAATTTTGTTTAAAATTTTTGAAAATAATTGAGTTTCTGGAAAGAATTTGAATATTTATTAAGATAGTTGAATTCTTTCAAAGAATTGCTTTAAAATTTTAAAAATTGAAACGAATTTCAACAGAATTGAAATTAAAATTTTCCAAAAAAAATACTTCACTAAATGATTTATAAAGTAATAACTTTATGGCAGTTCTTCAATAGAATTATGTTATTTAAAATAAATTATTGTTAGAAATGGAAAAAATTTAAGGTTATTTTTAGAATTCGTGGTAATTTCAGTTTATGAGGCAAATAAAAAGGCACTTTTCCCTGAATAATTCTACATTCCCTGACTTGTGGCAACTAAATTCGATCGAATTCTCGTAGATTCTCAAAGAATTCGATTGAATTAAAATTTCAAGTTCAAATTTTCTACTAAAAAAGAAGAGAATTTGAACTTGAAAGTTGAACGACGAAAGAAGACAGAAAGATAAAAAAAAGAGAGTATGGTTGTTTGAATAAAATTTTTTTAATTGAATTCAACAACCATACTCTCTTTTTTTCTCTTTCTGCTTTCTTTCGTCGATTAGCGATCGTCTCTTTTGCTATACATTCAAAACAATTCTCTGAAAATAAAAAAAAATTAGATTCAAATAAAAATTGTCCTTAATTACCAGCTGTATGTTTCTCCTTCTCCATCAATTTCTTGGTTGGCACGGACATGGTGAGAGGCGCCTTGGGAATAAGCGCCTCGCCCTTGTTGCGTTCGAAGAGCGCCTTCCTCTCGGACAATGACATCTCGGCGGGATCCTTGGCCTTGACGAAATTACTGTTCGTCCTTGACTCGAACATGGACGCCTTGCTGAGCACGGAACCTGGTGACTGTTTTATGGAACTCTTAGGAGATCCGCTATAATCATACTTTGATATTCCACGTGTATTATTACAGTTGTTACCAACATTTGATGTTTGATGAGCAGGAGTGATTTTCTTCTCGGGCGTTGTTCTCACTTTATTCTCATTGAAACGCGATGAACCCGATGGACTGCCAACGCTACTTGCCACTGAACTTGTTGTACTAAATTTTGAACTGCTATTCATTCTTGATGTGTTGACACGAACGTCCTGCTTCTCCATTGTGCCAATGACTTCCGGCAGTGCCTCATTGCGTTTCCTCGGCGAATTATTTCCACCCTGGCCATTATTTTTCGCCCCCTGAGAACAATCCTTATAGTCATAGACGAGGCGAGAATTTCTTTTAGTGCGACTAAAACCTTGTGCCTCCTGTAAAACATTCAAACTCTCACATTTAAAAAAAAAAAAAAAAGAAGAGGAGAAAAATAAGTCTTCAATTTTCGTAGAACGAGAGAAATGTTCAATTATTCCAAATTCGTTCGTTATTTAGTTCACTAAATAAATTCAGTTAACAAAAGATCCAAATTATTCGATTCAAATAAAATTCAATTAAAATACGACCGATTTGTTCAATTCAATATAATTTCAATTATAATACGTTCAAATTATTCAATTCAAATATAGAATTCAATTAAAATGTATTCAAATTATTCAATTCAAATAAAATCAAATAATAAACGACCAAATTATTCAATTCAATTAAAATGCGACCAAATTGTTCAATTTGAAATACAAACTCAATTAAAATACGTCCAAATTGTTCAATTTAAAATAAATTCAAATAAAATGCGACCAAATTATTTTCAAAAATCAATAACATTCTTCGCAGAAATTCAATTATTTTTAAAAAATAATTGAATTCTTCGTAAGAATTCAATTATTTTCAAAAAGTAATTGAATTGTTCCCAGAAATTTTCATAATTTATTAAACTTCTTCGCAGAAATTCAATTATTTAAAAAAATTAATTCAATGTTTCGCATGAATTAAATTATTTTAAAAAATAATAATATAATTCTTCGTAAAAATTCAATTATTTTTAAAAAATAATTGAATTCTTCGTAAGAATTCAATTATTTTCAAAAAGTAATTGAATTGTTCCCAGAAATTCAATTATTTTCATAATTTATTAAACTTCTTCGCAGAAATTCAATTATTTAAAAAAATTAATTCAATTTTTCGCAAGAAATCAATTATTTTTAAAAAATAATCAAAATCTTTGTAGGAATTCAATTATTTTCTAAAATTTGCAAAATTCTTTGCAGAAATTCAATTATTTTCAAAATTTAATTGAATTGTTCACAGGAATTCAATTATTTAATAATTAATAAAAATTAATTAATTAATTAATTAATTAATTAATTAATTATTTAATTATTTATTTATTTTTTTTATTTAATTTTTCGCAAGAAATCAATTATTTTAAAAAAATAATCAAAATCTTTGTAGGAATTCAATTATTTTCTAAAATTTGCAAAATTCTTTGCAGAAATTCAATTATTTTCAAAATTTAATTGAATTGTTCACAGGAATTCAATTATTTTCAAAAAGTAATTGAATTGTTCGCAAAAATTCAATTATTTAAAAAATTTAATTCAATTTTTCGCACGAATTCAATTATTTTCAAAAATTAATTTCATTTTTCGCAGGAATATAATTATTTAAAAAAAATTAATTAAATTTTTCGCATGAATTCAATTATTTAAAAAAAAATAATAAAATTCTCCATAGGAATTCAATTAATTTTTAAAAAATAATAAAATTCTTCGCAGAAATTCAATTATTTTCAAAATTTATTAAAATTCTTCGCAGAAATTCAATTATTTAAAAAAATTTATTCAATTTTTCGCATAAATTCAATTATTTTTAAAAAATAATGAAATTCTTTGTAGAAATTCAATTATCTTCTAAAATTTGCAAAATTCTTTGCAGAAATTCAATTAATTTTTAAAAAATAATAAAATTCTTTACAGAAATTGAATTATTGTTTAAAATGAGTGAAATTCTTTATAGGAATTCAATTAATTTTAAAAAAAATAATAAAATTCTTCGCAGAAATTCAATTATTTTCAAAATTTAATTGATTTGTTCGCAAAAATACAATTATTTTTAAAAATTAATTCAATTTTTCGCAAGAATTTAATTATTTTTAAAAATTAATCAAATTCTTCGTTGGAATTCAATTATTTTCTAAAATTTGCAAAATTCTTCGCAGAAATTCAATTATATATTTTCAAAATTTAATTCAATTGTTCACAGTAATTCAATTATTTTCAAAAAATAATTGAATTGTTCGCAAAAATTTGGAAGAATTCAATTGATTTCAAGAATTTTGATATAATTTTTTAGAATAGTTGAATTATTTTCATAAATAAATTTGAATAAATTTCTTGATAGAATTGAATTATTTAAAAAAATTTTAATAAAGCTTCTCGAAAGATTTCAATTTATCTTCAAAATTTTGGACGTAATTTGTTTATTAGAATTTAATTACTGTCAAGATATTTGAAATTCAATTCCTTAAAAGAATTTAGATGTCTTTAAAAGATTTTAATAAAATTCTTTGGAAAAATTATTTTTTAAAATTTTTATAAAAATTCGTCTTAAGAATTGAATTATTTTCAAAAACGTTGGTAAAATTCTCCACAAAAATTCAATTATTTTCATCAACTTTAAAAATTCTCCTCACAATTTCAATTATTTTTATAAATAATGAAATTGCTTGAAAGAATTCAAATATTTTTCAAAATTTAGAGAAAATTCTTCGCAAAAATTCAATTATTTTCAGTAGAATTTCAATTAAATTTCCTGAAAGAATTTAATTATTTTTACGTTTTAGAATGTTAAATTTCATTTACAAATTAATTTATGATTTTTAATTGAAAACAATTTTGTTTAATTGATTCAATTAGTTTCAAATATCAATAAAATTCTTTGTAAGAATTAAATTATATTCAAAATTCAAAACTTTTAATGAAATTCATCGCAGGAAATTAATTATTTTGAAAACTTTTAATAAAATTCTTCGTATGAAATTCAATTATTTTCAAAAAAACAAAAAAATTCTTCGCAAAAATTCAATTATTTTGAAAAATTATTATAATACTTCGTAGTAGTTTTTGTATTTTTAAAAATTAATAAAATTCTTCCCAGTAATTAAATTATTTTCAAAAATTAATTGAATTTTTCGCAGAAATTTAATTATTTTAAAAAAAATAATAAAATTCTTTCCAAGAATTCAATTAGTTTCAAAAATTAATTGAATTGTTCACATAAATTCAATTTTTTTCGAAACATTTTTATTTTCTGTATTAATATTATTTTGACTAAGAATAAATAGTGAATATTTAAGTATTTATTTTTAAAAAATTATAAAAGTTTAGAAAAAAAAATTAAATTTTACAAAAATTACTCTATTTAAATAATTGAATTTTGAATTGATTTCAAAAAAGTATCAGTTAAATGTTAAAGAAAATAATTAAATATTTGAAGGTTATAACATAAATTTTTTTTTTTTTAAATAATTGTCCCTATTTTAATAGTTTTTTAAATTGAAAGCTCTGAAAATAAGCTGTAAAAGTATATAAAAATATTTAAATAATTTTTATTTCAAAAATATTATTAATATATTATTTTTCTACAAAAATGTTTTTAGAAATTTTGCATAATTTTATTAAAAAATTCTAGAAAAATAACTGAATTTTTAAAGAATTGCAGTCACAATTTTTAGAATTATATATTTAAATTTCAAAAAGGCTTTTCATTGAAATTATTTGAAATTTTAACTTCTGTGGGAAAATTAATGTTTCTAATTTTTAATAATTTTTGAATAAATTAATTTAGAAATTCGGACAAAAAATTGGTTTTTTAAAAGAAAAAAAAAGAATTAAATTTTTTTGAAGATAATTAAATTCCCGAAAACTAATGTCAGGTAATTTTGAAATTTATTTGGAAATAGAATCGTATCTTTGAAGAATTCTGTAATTAGACTTTTACATGAAATAGAATTTTAAAAATATTTAAGTAATTTTATATTATTTATTTTTTTTTATTAATAAAGAAAAAAGAATTCGTTAGGAATATTTTAACCCTTAGAAGAAAATCTGACACCGTGTTAATAATTTTTTTTTTTAAAGCGAGAGAGAGATTGTTAAAAGGCGACAAAAGATAATAAAATAATTTTTTTAGTATTTAGTAATTATTATAAAATATATTAATAAATACTAAAAAAAAGAGTATTTTTCTTCTTTTTTTTTAGTAAAAATTATAATTAAAAATATTTACCAAAGAATCCAAAACGACTTTGTCCCATTTTAACTGTCGAGTTGTATTTTTTTGTGTTCCACTCGTTCCCGGTTGTGGTTCGGCATTTTTCACCTGTTGGTTTAATTTAGCCTGAATTTTCTCCGCCTTCGAAACTGTTGGCTTTACCTATCGAGAAGAAAAAATGAAAAAACAGCGTTAAAAAAATTAATTACATTTTTTTCTTCTTTTACGAAATTTCTCAAATAAAACAGAATTAAAAATAATAATTTATAACTTAAAAAAAAGGTATTAATTTTTTTTCTTTTATACCAAAGTTGGATGTGATAAATCGTCCTCCCAATTGTTAATTGTCGAGGCGAGCGCCGCTAATCTATTTAAACGTGCTCCACTCTTTGCCGATTTGAATTCCACACTGTCTTCATCATCATCATCATTGGCTGTGAATTTTTCCTCTGTCCTGTGAATCGGCGAACTCAATTCTCTGTCGTCTTCTGATCATAAAGCAAAAGTACATTTTTTTATTTAGGAAAATTAATTTTTCTCTATTTAATAAAAAAAAGTTTCATTCATATTACTTTTTATTGAAAATTTTTTTAAATTTTCGAAGAAAATAGTTTTAAAAAAGCAATAAAATAAATAAAATAGCTAGTAAATATTTTAAAGAAATTTTAAATAAAATTCAACTCAGTAAAATTTGATTCTTCATTTACCTTTTTAATGTTAAAAACTTAAATTAGAATTTCATGAACTTTAAAATTTGAAACAAAAAAATAATAAAAAAAAAATCAGTTGGAACAATTTCAGGTTCAACATTTTTAAAAATTCACTTATTAACAAATATATTCTGAATTTTACTTGGGAGTGAAAAATGTAAGTTTAGAGGAAACTCACCGGAATACAATTTTCCGAGCCTTTGTAATTTGGACTTAACACTGATCGGGGGTAAACTCTCACCATTTTCCTTCGTTTCAATAGGAATTTTCAAAGGTGATTTTCTCATCGCTTTCAATGGCGAAACAGATGGCGAGGAACTCTTTGAACTTGGACTCGAGCTCATCACTTTTTTCGGTGACTTGGCGGTTATTTTTTGAGTTATGGCTGCGAAAATTCAGTGAAAGATTCAAATTTTCGAATTTTCTTTTCATTATTTTATCATTTATATTTATTTTTATTATTTTTTTACAAATAAAAAAAAATTTTTAAACAATTAATCTTTTTTGTCGAAATTGACAAACAAAATATTTACCTAATTTTAAAATATTATTTACTAAACATAAAATTCTTTTGCAAGCTCTATTAATTTTTATAGAATTTGAAAAAACAAATTAAATTTGTTTCTTTTTGGAAAGAAAGGAAATATTACCTGGAACTTTAGCCAAAATTGCGTTAGCGTCCTTGAGAGGACTTCGCCTTCGTTTGACATCATGTCCGGCATTTGATAATTGTGTATCTAATTTTTCTCTCCTCGCTTTTGCTCTCTCCAACATACGCTGAAATTAAATTCCATTATTAAAAAAATTGACCAATTCAAATAATTAATATTCAATTATTATTATTATTATGAATATTTTAATGATTTTTTTAGTTATATTATTTCCATTTCAATTATTTTTACTATTTTTTCGCAATTATTTCTATTTTTATTAATTAATATTCGAAATTATATAAATTTTAATTATTTTACACACAATTTTAATAAAATTCTTCGCAAAAAATTTTATTATTTCCATACAAGTTTTGATTAAATTCTTTATGAGAATTGAAATATTTTCAATAAAATTTTAATTGAATTCCTAAACAAAAATTCAATTATTTTCGAAAATTTAAATTAAATTCTTAGCAAAAATTTCAATTATTTTAAAAAATTAATTCCATTATTGTCAAAAAATTCAATTACTTTAAAATATTAATTAATTTCTTCACGGGAATTCAATTATTTTCAAAAATTAATCAAATTTATTGCGTAAAAATTCAATTGTTTTCAAAAATATTAGTCAAATTCTTGGTTGGAATTCAATTATATTTAATAATTAATAAAATTCTTTGAAAAAATTTAAATCTTTTCCAAAAGAATAAAATTTTCCAAAAGAATTCAATTTAGAAAAATATTGATTAAATTCTTTATGAGAATTGAAATATTTTTAATACAATTTTAATTAAAATTCCTGGATAAAAATTCAATTATTGTGAAAAACTAATTTAATTCATCGCATAAAATCAATTATTTTCAAACATTTTCAAATTATTAAATTCTTCGCTAGAATTCAATTATTTTTAAAAATAAATAAAATTCTTGGAAAAAATTTAAATTTTTTCCCAAAACAATAAAATTCATTTCCAAAAAATTCAATTACTTTATTTAAATTTTTTGAAAATTCTTCGCAAAAATTCTATTATTTTCAGTAGAATTTCAATTAAATTTCCTGGAAGAATTTAATTATTTTAAAAACTTTTAATAAAATTCTTTGCAGAAATTCAATTATTTTCAGAAAAACGATAAAATTCTTCGTAAAAATTCAATTATTTTCAAATATTACTAAAATTCTTCCCAAGAAATTTAATTATTTTGAAAAATTTTGATTACATTCTTGATGAGAATTGAATTATTTGCAATACAAAATTTTAATTAAACTCTATTGAAAAAATTTAATTATTTTCAAAAATTTTAATTCAATTCTCTATACAAGATTTCAATTATTTTCATAATTAACAAAGTTTTTTGCAGGAGTTTAATTATTTTAACGAATTTTAATAAAATTCTTCGCAAAAATTCAATTCTTTTTCTAAATAATAAAATTCTATGCAGAAATTCAATTTTTTTTTTTTGAAAAATTTTGGTAAAATTTGTTTATGAGAATTGAATTATTTTCATAATTAATTAAATTCTTCGCAGAAATTTAACAATTTAAAAAAATTTGAATAAAATTCTTCGTCAAAATTCTATTATTTTCAAAAATTTTAATAAAATTCTTTACAGAAATTCAATTATTTTCAAGCATTTTTTTAAATCCTCATCAAGATTTCAATTATTTTTAAAAATAGCAAAATTCTTCACCAAAATTTCATTATTTTCAAAAACTTTAATAAAATTCTTGTAAAATTTTCAATTATTTTCAAAAAAATTTTCTCAATTCAATGATTTTCAATATTTACAATTTTAATAAAATTTTCCAAGAGAATTCAATTATTTTCAAAAATTTTCATAAATTTCTTCGCAGAAATTCAATTATTTTCAAGCATTCTTTTAAATCCTCATCAAGATTTCAATTATTTTTAAAAATAGCAAAATTCTTCGCCAAAATTCCATTATTTTCAAAAACTTTAATAAAATTCTTGTAAAAATTTCAATTCTCAATTCAATGATTTTCAATATTTACAATTTTAATAAAATTTTCCAAAAGAATTCAATTATTTAAAAGAAATTTTAATAAAATCGTTTAGAAAAATTTCAATTATTTTTATAATTTTATCAAATTTTACGCAGTAATTCAATTATTATTTTAAGAAATTTATAATTTATAATAAAATTCTGCCCAAAAATTTAATTATTTAAAAAAATTTCAATAAATTTTATTATATTAGAAGAAATTTAGTTAAATACTTTAAAAAAATTCAATTTTCTTTTTCAAAATAATTAAAATTCTTTACAGAACTTCAATTATTTTGATACATTTTGGTAAAATTATTTATGAGTATTGAATTATTTTTATAATTAATTAAATATTCTTCGCAGGAATTTAATTATTTTAAAAAAAAATTTAATAAAATTCTTCGCAGAAATTTAATTACAATTTTGAAAAATTTAGGATAAATTTCTTAAATAAGATTTTAATTTTATTTCCGATTCAAAATGTTAGAAAAGAAATATTTTTTATTAAAAACAATTTGATTTAATTCATTCTTAAGTTCCTATTTTTATTATTTTTACTATTTTTATCGTTTCAGTTTCGTTATTATTTTCAATTTTAATTATTTCTATTTATAAACACAATTTAAGTTACATTTTTTCTCTTAAAGAATAAATTATATACAAAAATTATAATTAAATTACGTAAACTTAATTATTTAATATAAATAAGTACCTAAATAAAATATAAAAATAAATATTTAATATGAAATAATTATAACAAATAATATAAATATAAACAAAATATAGTTTAATAAATAATAAATAATATAATATAATTTATAAAAGCTCTGTCAAAAAGAAACAATTTTTTTGTTACTGTTTTTATAACAACGTGCAAAAAAGGAAAAAATATTTAGGGAAGAACCTTCATAAATTCTCTAATTTATTTTACATTAGGATAAGGGAATTATGTCGGTTTATGATTTACAACTTTACTGTTGTTACTTCCTTCCTGTTGGGAAGTCGGTATTTTTGTACCAGTCAATGTTTGTGGGCTTTCTCCTCTCTCAACCCCGCCCCTCCCCTCTTTTCCCCTCTCACTCTCTTTCAACAACCAAGGGTTTTAAAAGAAAATAATAAATATACATTTTCCAGATGCCAAATGCCAACTGGTACTTTTTCTATAGACAAAATTTCCCTGCAAGGAAAAATAGTTGAACGCACGATTATTACAACTGCGATATACGAGAAGAAGAAGAACTTTTTCAAGGAGAAAAATATTCCCATGTGAAATTTTCAATGGGATTTTTAAACTCATAAATCAGTTAAATTTTATCTCTGGCCTCTTCTCTCTATTTTTTCTCTCTATCTCTTTTTCCGAAAAATTAAATATTTATCTTTTATCTCCCTCATCTCGAGAAAATGTCTATTTAACGATTTTTTCTTACTTTTTGGGGCCCTAAATATTCTTTTCTTTTTCGCGAATCATTGACTCCATAAGTAATTTGGAGTAGAAACGAATTTTTTTTTTCCGAAAAAGCGTTTTCGAAACAGTAACAAAATTACTCAAGTTTTAAACATTTTTTTTCGAGAAACGAGAATGAAATAACAAATTTTCCTTAATCATGAAATTACAGTTTTATACTTGGAAATTTAAAAAATTATTCAGAATCTGAAGCATATTTTTCAAATAAAAACCGTTGAGAGAAAAAAAGTACTGAATCAGCGAATACAAACAAAGCGAATACAAATACAAATTACGAATTTAATGTTCGGAAGTACCATGATATTCAAATTTACTCCCAAAGATTTAAAAATATAATCTCGTTCGAAAGGATCTTTACCTGAGTGAACGGGTCCATTCTTTCGATAATCCCTGCCTCCTCTTCTTTTTTTGCTAAGGATTCCTGGAACTTTCTCTTCTTTTTAAAACACTCACACTCACAAACAAAAGCGATTTAAAACACAATCAAATCAACACTTTTTTCAAGTCTCTTCTAATTATTATCACTGGTTTACAGAAGATAAAAAAAAATATCTTCTTTCACTTTCAAGTTACAGTATAAAACCGCACCCCCTTAAAAACGAATGTCGTTATTTTTTAGCCGTTAAGTTTTCAAACGCAATGATCGCCACCATGCGAAAAAGAATCTGACTCTCCAAGTTTTTGTTTACACTCAACTTTCAGGAGTTCACAATTCTTCCACATCGAACGAATTCAAAGGACTTTTACGCGAGCTATTTGTTATTTTCCTATTTTTCCAAAATTCAGAGGAAATTTTTTATTCTAACTTGTCTATCACTGGGAAAATGTCAAATTATCCGACAAGGAACAATTGTATTTAGAAAAGCGTCAGTCGGCACACTGACATTCTAAACTGACCAAGTGTGCCAACTTGAGAAAGAAAAATTCGCTACTCGGTCGGTAATGCAGTTTCCACCGTCTAGTAACTAAAAACCGGTTTTTCTTTTTTAATTTTAATCATTTTCACGATTTCCTGTTCACGAAAGAAAATATTAAAACTCAGTGAATAGAAAAGAAATCTAAATAATTACAATCATCATTTTGCAAAATCGAAATACCGTAATTTTCGATTTTTGAAAATTACTACGCGCACGCGCAGTTTAGAAGGGGAGGGGTCAGGGGGGGGGTTTATAATTTCCCGCTTTCAATTTATAATTTACGGTAACGGTGAATAAAATAATTGTTATTTATTAATAAAACAAACAGATTTAGTACAATTCGTGTCAATCTTGAGTAAATTTAGTAAATTTTTCGAATAAAGAAAAGTGTTTGAAAAAAAAACTTCTTTTGGGGGAAACAAATTTCCCCCGGAATAAATGACGTGCGCCATCTTGCGAACGCTGTGTTAATTAAAAAAATTTCCAGAGCAGTTGTCACATACACGCATAATGTGTCAAAGTTGTGTTTTTTCCCGAAAAATTACATTTTCTTTGAAAAAATCAATGAAATTCGTCTATTTTATGAAAAAAATAAACAACCGGGATCCTAGGAGAATCTAACAAATAGTTTGTGTTGTTAATAATAAAAGGTAAGTGGTGAAATTTTTCGTATGAAACAAGTTTTCTCTATATATACACACACACCAACGAATGAAAAAACGAAAGAAAAGAAAACAGCTTGAAAAATATTTCCACATTGTTAAATTTACAAAAAGTTGTAATTTGGTTTTTTAATCTAGTTTTTCTTGTTTTTCTCCGTTTTTTTCTTTCTTTCTCTTTTTCTCTCTTTTTTCATTTATTTACCAAGTGAATCTAACCTCCAAACTGTCACTTTTTGATCTCTTAACCTACAATCAAAGTTTTATCAAAATCTTAAGTTTTTTTTTTGTGTGTCAATTTAAATGTTACGAAAATGTGTAAATTAGTCATTAGAGAATAAAATATTTAGTTTTCTTTTTATTTCGAGAGGAAAGAATTGTTTTTTGTATAGTTTCTGTAAAATTGGTTTTCGTTCCTGAAAGTTTATATTTCTCGAGTTATGTAAACATAAAACATAGAAGATGCCAATGAACGATATTTATGTTCTTTTCATTCAGTTCGTGCTTTGATATCTTTTTTTTTCCTTTTTTGGTTGCATTTGATTCATTTTAATTTAGATTTTTTTTGGTTATTAGTATATTGTTGTTTTGATTCCATTTTCGACTGTTTGATTTTTATTTGTTTCTTTTTTGTTTATTAGTCAATTTGCTTTCCACTTTTATTATTTATTTATTTCAATATATACCTAAATTTCTTTATTTAATTATTAAATAAATTTATTCTTTTTATTAAATAAATTTACTTTTTTTACTAAATAAATTTACTTTTTTTATTAAATAAATTTACTTTTTTATAACATAAATTTACTTTTTTTATTAATTAAATGTATTTATTTAATAATTTTTTCTTCTTTATTTATTTTGTTTTACTTCCTTTTTATTTGTTGTTAATTTTATTTTTTATATATTGTCAATTAATTAACTTCCTTTTTATTTATTAATTATTAATTAATTATCTTCTTTTTTATTTATTAATTACTGATTAATTTGCTACCTTTTTTACTTGTTTATTTATTTTTATTAATTAATTTGCTTCCTTTTTATTTACAGATATTCTTTTTTTCCTTTTTATTTATTTATTGTTAATTATTTTGCTTCTTTTTTATTTTTTCATTATTAATTATTTTGCTTCATTTCTATTTTTCTATTTATTTATTGTTAATTTTCATCCTTGTTTATTTTTTATTAATTATTTATCTCTTATTAATTATTTTCCTATTTTATTTAGTGTTAATTTTTATTCTGCTTTATTTATTATTCATTTTCTGACTTTTATTTATTGTTAATTCTTTTTCCTTTTTTATTTTCTTAATTTATTTTGATTTTCTTTGTTTATTGTTAATTTTTTTCTTTATTTGTTTGTTTAATTTATTTTAAATTTTTATAATTATAAAAATTTATAATTAAATAAAGTTAATTATAAAAGAATGAAAATAAATTAGGCAAACAAATAAGAAAAAAATTAACAATAAAAAAAATTCCAAATAAATTAAGAAAGAAAAAAAGTAAAAAACTTAACAATAAATAAATAAAAAAGAAAGAAAATTATTATTAATTTTCCATCTTTTTTTTATTTATTGGCAATTTTTTTGTTAATAAATAAACAAAAATAAGGAAGTAAATAAAATAATGAAAGAATATTTATTAATTGACAATAATAAATTAATAAATAAAGAGGAAGAAAATTAAGAATAATAATTATTCTTAATTTTAAGAATAATTAATTAAATAATAGAATAATTAATTAAGAATAATTATTCTTAATTTTCTTCCTGTTTATTTATTAATTTATTATTGTCAATTAATAAATATTCTTTCATTATTTTATTTGCTTCCTTATTTTTGTTTATTTATTAACAATTATTTATTAACAAAAAAATTGCCAATAAATAAAAAAAAGACGGAAAATTAATAATAATTTTCTTTCTTTTTTATTTATTAATAATTTTCTGTCTTTTTATTTATTTATTGTTAAGTTTTTCCCTTTTTTACTTTCTTAATTTATTTTGAATTTTGTTTTATTGTTAATTTTTTTCTTTATTCGTTTTTCTAATTTATTTTCATTCTTTTATAATTAACGTTAATTTTTTTCCTATTTTATTTATTTATTGTTAATTAATTTTCATCTTTTTTATTTATTGTGAATTAATTTTCTTTCATTTTTTATTGTTTTTATGTTTGCTTCCTTTTTATTTGTTTATTTATTTTTGTTAATTAATTTACTTCCTTTTTATTTAATATATAATTTTTTTACCTTTTTATTTATTTATTGTTAATTATTTTGCTTCTTTTTTCTAATTTTCCATTTATTTATTGTTAATTTTCTTTCTTATTTACTTGTTTATTTATTTATTGTTAATTAATTTACTTCCTTTCTATTTTTTACTTATTTATTGGCAATCTTCTTGCTTATTTTTTTGTTGTTAATTATTTATATCGATTTTTAATTATTTTCCTATTTTATTTATTGTTAATTAATTTTTTTTTCTTTTTTTTTCTTGTTTTTTTTCTTTTTTGTTTATTGTTAATTGTTTCCTTTTTATTTGTTTTTTTAATTTATTTTGATTTTTTATAATTATTGTTAATTTTCTTTCTCTTTATTTATTGTTTATTTTCTTTATTTTTTATTACTTTTCTGTATTTTTTTTATTTATTTATTGTTAATTTTTTTCCTTTTTTATTTGTTTAATTTTTTATTTTTTTTTGTTAATTGTTTTCTTTATTTGTTTGTTTAATTTATTTTGAATTTTTTATAATCATTGTTAATTTTCTTCCTTTTTATTTATTTATTATTGTTAATTAATTTTCTTTCATTTTTTTATTATTATTTTATTTGCTTCCTGTTTATTTATTTACAACTATTTATTAACAAAAAGTTGACAATAAATAAATAAAGAAAAATTAATAATAAATAAATAAAACAGTAAGCAAATTATTATTAATTTTCTTTCTTTTTTATTTATTTATTGTTAATTTCTTATCTTTCCCATTTGTTTAATTTTACTTTTGTTTCTTTTTTATATTTTTATTTAATTTTATATTTTTTAAATATTTATTTAATTTTAATATAATTTTCTTTATTATTTTTAATTAAATTTGTTTAATTTATGATTTTTGTTAAATTATCATTAAGTATTAATTTTTTTTTTGACTTAAAATATTTCGAAGACTATTTAATAAACATTGTTAATTTTTTTTACAGTTATAAATAATGAATGTGAATACAAATACAGGCGAAGGCGGTGATAAACGTCTACCTGAAGCGACAGTACAAACAATTGCTCAGAACTTAACAACAATTCAAACAGTGCAAAGCACTCAAAATGTTATTCAAAGTAATATTCAAACAATTCAATCGACGCAGGCAATTATTGGCAATGTTGGACAATCCGGAACAACACTCGTTGGAAAATCAGTTTCACTTGATTTAAATCAAAAACTCTCCCTCGCCAAGCCCGGAATTCCCTCCAATATTGTCTCGTCAACCGATTCAAATAAATTAACGGCCACTGTGAGTAATTTTCAATTATTTCTTTATTTTCTTATTTTTCTATAATTGCATATTTATTTTTTTTTTGAAATATTTTCTTGTTATATTATTTTATGCATTTGATTATTTTTTTTCTTGTATTTTCTTTATTTTTGTATTTTCACTTCATTTGTTTATTCATTTTCCTATTTATTTCCCTTTCTTCTTTCTTTTCGTTTGTTTATTTATTGACTTTTCTTATTTATTAATTGAAGTAGAAAAAATGTAATAAGTGTAATAATTTTTTGGGAAAAACTTTCAGTTGTGTCAAATGAGTCCTCTTCGCATAATAAGTCCAAATATGATAAGCAATGTTGAACGCCAATCGAACCAGCCATCGAGCCAAGAACAACAGCAAGTTGTGACGAGTATTCCGGCGACTTATCACGTCCCCAGGGGTCCAGCAGCTGTGGCGAACATCTCATCGCCGAGAGCCACCGTCGCGACTCCAATTGTCCGATCAACCGCGGGTCAAACTGTTCCCATTTCACGACCCGGGTAATTATTATAATTACACATCGAAATTCTCTCAAGTCTCTTTTTTTCTCTTACTACATATTTGATTATCCTTCTCCTTATTCTCTATAGATTCAAAGTTTTTTTGTTTTATTAGAACTTTACTCTTATTTTCTTTACTCATTTTTATTTTTTACTACATTTGCTACCATTATTATCTATTTTTCTGTTATTACTATATTTACTACACCAGCAAATGTTATTTCCTTTTATTATTATTATGAAAATTAGAAAACAAAAATTTATTTTCAAGCATAAATATTAATTTCTGAATAATTTCGAATTCAAAAATTTTTTAAATTCAATTATTAACTAATTTGTAAATTAAATATAATTACTTAATGTTTTCAAAAATTTTAATAAAATTCTTCCCAGAAATTCAATTATTTTCAAAAACTAATTAAATTCTTCGCAGAAATTCTATTATTCTCAAAAATTAATTGCGACTTCTTCACAGGAATTCAATTATTTTCAGAAATTAATTGACTTCTTCACAGGAATTCAATTATTTTTATAATTTAAATGAAATTCTTTGCAATAATTCAATTATTTATCAATACTTGAATAAAATTATTCGAAAGAATTTCAATATTTTAAGATGTTTTTAATAAAATTCTTCAAGATAATTCAAATATTTCCACAAATTAATAAAATTCTTTACAGAAATTCAATTATTTTCAAAAATTAATAAAATTCCTCACAGGAATTCAATTATTTTCAAATATTAATAAAATTCTTCATAGGAATTCCATTATTTGCCAAAATTAATTTCATTATTCGCAGAAATTCAATTGCTTTCAAAAATTAATAATTTCTTTACAGGAATTTAATTATTTTCAGGAATTTTGATAAAATTATTTAGACGAATTCAATTAATTTCAAAAATTTTGATCAAATTCTTCGCAATAATTAAATTATTTTTAAAAATTTGAATAAAATTATTTAAATTCCTTTAAAAGAATTGAAATATTTTGATAAATAATGAAATTTCTCGAAAGAATTGTATTATTTTAAAAATTTTTAATAAAATTCTTCCCAATAATTCTATTATTTTCAGTTTAAAAAAAATTCTTTACAGAAATTCAATTATTTTCATGAATTTAATAAAAAATAATAATTAAAAATTAATAAAATTCTTCTCAGGAATTCAATTAAAAAAATTCTGAGCATTATTTCAATTATTTTTTAAAATTAGAAAAAATTCTTTGCAACAATACAATTATTTTCAATAATTAATTTAATTAATCGTAGAAATTCAATTATTTTCAAAAATTCATTTCATTCATAGTAGAAATTTAATTATTTTTAAAAATTTAATAAAATTCTTTGAAAAAATTAAAATCTTTTTCTAAATAAAATACAATTTTTTGCAGAAATTCAATTATTTTCATAATTTATAAAATTCTTTGTAGAAATTCAATTATTTTAAAAAATTTTTATAAAATTATTTTGAAAAATTTTCGTAAAATTCGTTATAAGAAGTCACTTATTTTTAATAATAGAATTTTAATAAAATTCTTACCAAGATTTTAATTATTTTCATAACTTATAAATTATCATTAAAAAATTTAGGAAACAAAAAGCAAACATAATAATAAGTAAATTCAATACAACGATTATTAATTCAGATTAACATTTTTCTTATTCTCTCTAGATTCCAATTTTTTTTTTTTGTTCTGTTGAGACTATTTTTATTTTATTTATTATTTTTTTCTACATTTACTGTTTTATTTTTTTTATTTTGTTAACATATTTATTATTCGTTTACCATTTTACTTAGTATTTTTTTTTACTTTTTTACTTCTTTTTAAAAATTTTTTTTTGTTTATTACAATTTTGACCGATTTTATTGTTTAGAAATTTAATTACCAAATTTACTCCTTTTTTTACTGTATTTACTATTTTCTCTTATTTATTATTTGAAACTCTTTTTTGTTGTTAATCTCTTTGTTGAAACCGCTTTTCAATGATTTCTTTTTTATTAAAAATAATAAAACTAGTCCCGTCCATGAATAAAATAAAATACAATTCTTCCTCTATGGGGAAGCAAAAAATAAAATAAAATGATAAAAATCGTATTTAGACCTTTTTTGTATCAATTTTCGGTTGGATTAATAAATTATAATTAAATTAAATTAATAATAATTACATAGATTATAATATTATAATTATAATGATAATTAAATTAATAAATTATAATAAAAATTACAATTGTTTTTTTTTCTGTTATTTCAGTGTGAGCACTACAGTCGCGAGTCCGCAGTGGCCCACGAAGACGCCGTATTTGTACGTGCCACCGCAGAGACATCCCTTGCCGATTGTGCAGCGAGTAACGCGGCCAACAATGGCGTCGACGGTCTACAGTGGCAGTCAGCAGCCACGCATCGTCACTCCGACCCCAGGTCGTCCGGTTCAAGCCGTCCAAACGGCAGTTGTCACTGCAGTTCCCGGCGTATCGGGCGGAGCACCCTGCCGGCTGCGAGCGCCCGTTCTTCAAACCAACAACAACGTTCCCCGCTTGCCTCTGCCCCAGGCCAGGCCCCCGACTCCCCAGGACAGTGTTCCTCAAATCTCGCAAAGTCCAAGAACAATCTCTCAACCAATTCAGGTACAATTTCTCTATTTATTTATTTATTTACATTTTTATTTCTCTTCTATTTTCGTATTTATTTACATTTCGTTTTTATTTCTATTACTATTGTCTTTTCGTGTTTATTTCTATTTCTATTGTATTTTCGTATTTATTTCTATTCCTATTGTCTTTTCGTATTTATTTCTATTTCTATTGTTTTTTCGTATTTATTTCTATTTCTATTGTTTTTTCGTATTTATTTCTAATTCTACACGGAAGAAAATATTCACCTGGAACAGCAACAAATTTCACTAGATTAGCTAAATTTTTAGTTGTTTCAGTTAAAGCTTTCGCTATTTTAGAGAAACTTATCGCTGTTCCAGGTAAAACTTATTTTTAGTGTATTTATTTATTTATTCTACTTTAATATTTTTTTATTTACACTTCTGGTGTATTTTTATATTTCTTTTCTATTTCAATTGTATTTTCATATTTATTCCTATTTCTATTGTCCTTTTTTATTTACTTTTATTTCTATTGTACTTTTTTATTTACTTTTATTTCTATTGTATTTTTATATTTATTTCTATTTCTACTGTATTTTTCTTTATTTTATGCCTTTTTATATTAATGTTTTATCTTTACCTATTTTTTTTTTTTTTATTTATTTATTTCCTCGGAATAAATTGACTTACAGAGTTTTTATTAATTTGAACCACAGTTCAAATTAATTTAGTTGGTATTTTTTAGTTAAGTTAGATTTAAATTGTATAAAAATATTTTCAGTTGATTGAAATTTGAAAAAAAAATGTTTCAGTTGACGCAAACAACGCGAACGTTGACAACAGCGACAACGGTGAGTCGCATTGCGGTAACGGCGCCAGTTATTGGAGCTCCCAGCAGAATAACGAGCGTTGCTTCCGTTCAACCGGTTGTCAATAGACAAGTCACTGTCAGCACAACACCTGTGACAACCAATGTTTCCGCCACTGTCAGTCGAATCGTTCTCCCCCAGCAGCCGGTAATTTTACAACTCAAAATAATTTCCCAATTTTTCCCAAAAAAATTAAATCGTTATTATTCTACTAAATAAATACGAATAAAATTATTAAATTTTAATAATAATAATAGGTAATATTAAGTTTAATTCTTTAAAATTCAATTATTTTTCAAATTTTCAATTAAAATTCTTCAAAAATACGATTATATCTCAAAATAAGTTTTAAAAGTAAACAAATAAAATTCATTAAATAAGATATCAAATTTATTTCAATGAAATAAAAATTGTTTCAAGTTTTTAAAATTATTTTCAAAAATAGAATAACTATTTTTAAAAAAATTTAATTACATTTTTTCAAGAAACAAATTTTTTCCGAATTTCTAAATTAAATTATTCAAAAATTCAATATCTACTTTTTGTTAAACAAAAATTTAGAAACTTATTCTTATTTACTTTTCCACAGAAATGAAAAATTCCAAATAATTTCAATGAAAAACCTTTTAAAATTAAAGCATTTCTAAAAATTGCAACTGTAATTCTTCCAAAATTCCATTTTTTTTTTTAGAATTTCCGAATAAAATTATTCAAAACTTTAAGAATTTTTTGAAAGAAAAATAATGTGATTAATAATTTTTTTGAAATAAAAATTTAGGTATTTTTATACTTTTGCTTCCCTTAAATTTCGAAAGAATTTAATTTATAAAAATATTTTAAAATTTAATTCATTCCGAAAATTCTTGTCCAAACGCTTTAAATGTTTAATTATTTTCTAAAATTTTAACTGAAATTTTTTTTAAATCAATTCCTATTAGAATTCAATGACGAGAATTGAATTATTTAAATGGAATAATTTTTGTAAATTCATAAAATAATTTATATTAAAAAATACAATTTTTTAAATTTACAAATATAATGTTTAAAGATGAAAATATAAAATTAATTTTAATAAAATTTTACAAAATTTCTAATTGTTCCATTTTTTTAAAAAAATTATTTCCGGGTAACAATTTTGAAAAAATTTTAATTAATATTTTTCAAAAACCACTTTTAAAATTTCCAAATTAAATCTTTCAAATTTCAATAATTTTTGTAAAATAAATATTTAAATTACTTATTGTTCTTTATTTGGTTAAAATTTCGAAATACTTTCAATATAAAATTATTTGAAAAATTCTTTATGTTAATTTTAACTGCAAGTCTCAAAATTAAAATATTTTTTAGAATTTTTGAATAATATTATTGAAAAGTTTTAATTTTGAAGGAAGCTAACAAATTAATAATTTTTTATATTTTAATATTATATATTATACTTTTACGGCAATTAGAATTTCAAAGATTTCAATTTAAGAACATTTTGAAATTTCTCATTCGAAATTCATTCAATGAAATTTTATTAAAATATAGAAAATAATTAAATTTTTTCGAAGAATATTTACTATTAACGGTTTTGACAATAAATCAATTCTTTCAAAAAATTTCTTTAATTTATTGAATATAATCGTTTTTGTTAATAATTGTAATTAATAATTTTACTTTTAAAATTTCATTAAAATTATTGATAGAAAATTAAACTCTTTTAAACAATTTTATTAGAGTTTTTGTAAATAATTAAATTCTTTTGAAGAATTTATTTGAATTGTTTTTAAAATGTTGGAGTTTCTTTAATAATTTAAAATTATAAATTTTGAAATTAATTCAATTAAACAGAGAATTTTTTTCAAATTTTTAAAATAATCGGGTCTGTTAATAATTGTAATTAAATATTTGATTTTTGAAAGTTATTAAAATTGTATTGAAAATAATTTAATTCTTTTGAAAAATTTTATATAATAAATTTAAAAAAAAAAACGAATTTTTTAGTAAAATTTTATTAAAAATAATAAATTGAATTTTTGCAAAGATTTTACTGTTTCAAAAAATAATTGAACCGTTTCGAAGGATTTATTAAAATTTTAGGAAATAATTGAATTCTTTCGTGAAATTTTATTAAAAATTAAAAAAATTGAATTTTTTCGAAAAATATTATTAAAAATTAAAAAAAAAAAGTGAAATTCGTTTATAAAATTTTATTAAAAATGGAAAAAAAATAATTGAATTCTCGTGAAGAATTATATTAAAATTTATAAAAATATAAACAACAATAATTAATTATGTACTTAATAAGTATATTTTAAAAAATTTTGATTATGAAATCATTCAAGAATTTATATTTGTAAATAAAAAATTTTGTAATTTACTTCATAATAACAAATTTTATATCACGTTCCACGTAATATTTGCTAGTAATAATTAAAATTCGTAAGAAAAAAAGTGAGTAAAAACAAAATTAGAATAAATAAGAATAAAATGAAAAATAAGTTTTATTATCTAAGTAATAAAAGTGAACATTTTATTCTTATTCATTCATTTAGCAGAATAAACAAGATTTTCTTTTTCATCTAGAATCAGAATTGAAAACTCTTCTGAAAATACGGAAAAAAGTCGTATTTTTAACAAAAAGGAAAAAAACTGAATTAAGAAAATACTTTCGACTTTTTTCGTAATTTGAATCGAAAAATACGTTTTTTTTTTGGGAGAAGAGGGAGAGAGTGTTATTAAAATGAATTTTTGTTTTTTCATTAGCCGACAATTCCTCGAGTCGTGCAAACTGTGGCCTCAGTGTCGACGCTTGGAGGGCAAGTGTCGCGGGTGATAACAACGCAGGCGAACACGGCGAATGTGACACGCGTGGCGCAACCTGGACCGCAGTCAGTCGCCAGAATCACGGGAATCTCGATGCATCCGCTGCCGTTGACACCGACGCGCACCACGTCGGCGACAATTAAAACGACGCCAGTATTAAATGTCGCGCAGACGATTCAGCCGAAACAATCGATTCAGCAATCGACGTTGAGGATTGTCACCACCACTGGGGTCTCCAGTTCCACGAATAGCTCTATTGTTAGCAATACACCGCCACCCGTCCAAGGTTTGCTGATTCAATTCAATTTCTGCTAATCGACAAACTGACGAATCAATTGACTAACGAACGAATTAATTAATTAACCAACTGACTAACGAACTAATTAATTGACTATCGAACGAATTAACAAACTGGCTAACGAACGAACTAATTGACTAACGAACAAATTAATTAATTGATTAACAAACGAACAAATTAATTGACTAACGAACGAATTAATTAATTAACCAACTGACTAACGAACTAATTAATTGACTAACGAAGGAATTAATAAAGTTACTGACTAACGAACGAACGAATTAAATTACTAACGAACGAATTAATAAACTAACTGACGATTTAAATTACTAACGAACGAATTAATAAACTAACTGACGAATTAAAATACTAACGAACGTATTAATAAACTAACTGACGAATTAAATTACTAACGAACGAATTAATAAACTAACTGACGAATTAAAATACTAACGAACGTATTAATAAACTAACTGACAAATTAAATAACTAACGAACTTACTGACTAAATAAATTAATTAATAAAACTAAATGTGTAAAAATAGGTAAAGAAATAAAACTGAATGAGACAAAATTGTAAAAAACAATAATTTGAGGGAAAATTAAAATAATTATTTGTCAATTAATTTCCAGCGACTTATTCGCAATATAGACCGGCAACTGTGCAACCTGTGAGGCTTTTGGTTGAGTCAGGATATGAGGAACCTCAACACAAACCGAACGCTTCGCCGAGGCCGAGTATTTTAAGAAAACGAGATCATGACAATTCACCAGCTAAAGGTATTTTTTTCTTCGAAAATTCATAATTTAGGGGATGTCTAACGGTCAGGGAAAATAGGAAATTCAGGGGAAAAAGTCGGAGAATGACACGGAAAATTTCATTCTAAAAATTTGTTTCAAAAGTTAAAATTTTTTTTCGAATTTGTAATAATTGGAAAAAATTTATATTAAGAAATGGAAATTAAGCCGAGTTTTTTCCTTTTTTTCTCAGGAAAAAATCAGGAATTTTTAGTAAATTAAATGAAATCTTTTCAACATTTTGAGGACAAAAAAATTCAGAATTTTCTTATGAATTCTAAAAAATTGAATTTTCTCCAAGTTTTTTTGATAAAAAAAAAAAAACAGAAAATAATTGAATTTCAGTGAAGAAATCTATTAATTTTCGAAAATAATATAATTTCTGTGAAAAATTTTACTAATTTTGGAAAATAATTGAATTTTTCTGAAAAATTCTACTAATTTTTGGAAATAATTTATTTCCTGCGAAGAATTTGACTAATTTCATAAAATAATTTAATTTCTTTAAAGAATTTTACTAATTTTTGAAAATAATTGAATTCTTGAGGAGAATTTTAATTAAAATTTGTGAAAATAATAGAATTCAGGCCAATATTATTATTAATTTTTTAAAGTAATTGAATATCTGCGAATAATTTTATTACAACTTTTCAAAATAATTGTATTCCTGCGAAGAATTGTACTATTTCAGAAAATAATTGATTTCCTGCCAATAATTTTACTAATTTTAGAAAATAATTGAATTTCTCTGAAGAATTTTACTAATTTTTAAAAATAATTGAATTTCGGTGAAGAATTTTATTAATTTTTGAAAATAATTGAATTTCTGTGAAAAAATCTGTTAACTTTAGAAGATAATTGAATTTTTTTGAAGAATTTTACTAATTTAAAAAAATAATTGAATTTCTGTGAAGAATTTTACTAATCTTTGAAAATAATTGAATTCTTGTGAAGAATTTCCTAACTTTTTGAAAATAATTGAATTTCTGTGAAGAAATCTATTAGTTTTTGAAAATAAAAGAATTATTAAGAAGAATTTTATTTTTAACAAGAATTGAATTCTTTTGAAGAATTTTATTTTTTTAATTGGAATTTTATTTAATATTTTATTTTATTTAATTTTGAAGGATTTAGTAAAGTTTTAGAAAATAATTGAATTTTTTCAAAAAATATTATAACGAATTAAGAAAAAAAATTCAATTCTTTCGTGAAATTTTATTGAAAATAATTGAATTTTCGCAAAGAATTTTTACTTTTTTTAAAAATAATTTGAATTGTTTCGAAGAATTTAATAAAATTTTAGAAAATAATTGATTTCCTGCCAATAATTTTACTAATTTAAAAAAATAATTGAATTTCTGTGAACAATTTTACTAATTTTTGAAAATAATTGTATTCTGCGAAGAATTTTATTAATTTTTTTTAAAAATAATTAAAATTCTGTGAAGAATTTAATTAAAAGTTTTCAAAATAATGAAATTTCTGCGAAGAATTGTACTATTTCAGAAAATAATTGATTTCCTGCCAATAATTTTACTAATTTTAGAAAATAATTGAATTTCTGTGAAGAATTTTATTAATTTTTGAAAATAATTGTATTCTTGTTAAAAATTTTAATACTTTTGGAAAATAATTGAATTTCTGTGAAAAAATCTATTAATTTTAGAAAATAATTTAATGTCTCTGAAGAATTTCACTAATTTTAAAAAATAATTGAATTTCTGTGAAGAAATCCATTAGTTTTTGAAAATAATTGAATTCCTGCGAAGATTTTTAATAATTTATAAAAATAATTGATTTATTGCCAAGAATTTTATTAAGATTTTCGAAAATAATTGAATTCTTGTGAAGAATTTTTTTTTAACAAGAATTGAATTCTTTTAAAGATTTTTTTTTTTTTTTGTTAATTGAAATTTTATTTTATTTAATTTTTAAGGATTTAGTAAAGTTTTCAAAAATAATTGAATTTTTTCAAAAAGTATTATAACGAATTAAGAAAGAAATTCAATTCTTTCGTGAAATTTTATTGAAAATAATTGAATTTTCGCAAAGAATTTTTACTTTTTATAAAAATAATTTGAATTGTTTCGAAGCAAGAATTTATTAAAAAATTTTAGAAAATAATTGAATTCTTTTGGAAAATTTTATAACGAATTAAGAAACTCTTTCGTGAAATTTTATTATATTTTTTAAAAATAATTGAATCATTTTGAAGGATTTATTAAACTTTTAGAAAATAATTGAATTTTTTTGTAGAATTTTTTAAAGAATAATGTAAAAAATTCAATTTTTTCTTGAAGTTTTATTAAAATTTTGATGAAAATTTCCAATTTTTTAATCTTTTTCCCCTTTTTTCAAGGTGTGGCGAAAAATTTGACACCAGTGCTTGCAAATCTACCACTAACCTCGACGACGACGACGTCGACGACATGCGTGAGTCCGCCCGGTTCGCCACGCGCTGACCGTGACACTGGCGGTTGTCAAAGTTCAGGATCAACGACTGTCTCGGCAACGTCGTCGCCAGGTCTCGACGAGGAGCCCGAACAAACGCGAATCAATATGAATATCAATATGAACTTGAATCTTAGTCTTGGACCGGCGATGGAAATGTCGCCGAGGAAGAAACCACGTAAACAGCAATTGTCGAGCGTTGAATTGACGGAATCGCGCGGCACCGACGAGGAAATGCATTTCATCACCGAGGAGAAAATAAAGAAGGAGAAGGAGGAGAAGGAGAAGGAACGGGATAAGAATGCCAGCGAAAAGAAGGCGAATTTTCCAATTAAGCAAGAGGCGAACGAAGCGACGCCGGTCAGGACAAGACCGACTCCCAGTTTATTGGGTAATTTCTCTTCTTTTTCTCTAGAATTTAACAAAATATTTTTTTTTAAAATGTTTTCTTTGTTGTAATTTCCGCGTTGCCACAAGTCAGGGAATTCAGGGAAAAGTCAGGGATTTTTATTAAAAGTACTGGAAAAAATTTAAGTTTTAGAATTTATATGAAAATTCTGAATTTTTGTGTCTTTTTTGTTTGCCTCACAAACTATGAAATTGACAAGAATTTTAATACAAAACTTTCAATTTTTTCTCTTTCTGACAATAATTTCTTTTTAAAGAACTTCATTCTTCAACAACTATCATCAAATTATTACTCAAAAATTATTTAATGAATAATTTTACTTCAAAATTTTCAAAATTAATTACATTTCAAAAGAGTTGCGTTTCAAATCTGCATAAATAGATCAACTTCAAAGGCTTCAATATGAAATTTGAAAAAATTTCAACTTTTAATCAATTCAAATAGAAATTTTAAAAACAAATGATTACAGAAATTCAATCATTTTCAAAAATTTATAAACATTCTCGTCAAAATTTCAATTATTTTTATAAATCATACAATTCTTCTCCGAAATTCAATTATTTTCAAAAAATTTAATAAAATTCTTGGCAAAATTTCAATTATTTTCAAAAATTTTCCTCATTTCAATTAATTTTAATATCTACTATTTTAATAAAATTTTCCAAAAGAATTCAATTATTTAAACGAAATTTTAATAAAAACTTCACAGGAATTCAATTACTTTCCAATTTTTTATTCCAATTCAATTATTTTTAATTTTTAATAATGAAGTTTATCGAAAGAATTCAAATATATTCAAAGAATAGAAAAAAATAGTTCTGAGAAATTCAATTATTTCGCAAAATTTAAATAAAATTCTTTTAATAACTCTATTATTTAAAAAAATTTTGACAAAATTCTTTACAAGATTTAGTTAATAAAATTGCAATTTTAATAAAATTTTCCTATTTAATTCAATTATTTTCAATACAATTCTTCTTAAGAATTCAATTATTTTCACAAATAATACATTTTTTTATGGGATTCAATTATTTGAAAAAAATTTGAATAAAATTCTTCGTAAGAAATCAATGATTTTCATAAATAATAAAATTTTTCTTGAGAATTCAATTATTTCAAAAATTTTGAGATAAAATGCTTTATAAATTTGAAAAATTATAATAAAATTGACTATAGAATACAATTATTTTCGTAAAATATAACATTCCTTATAGGAATTACAATTTTACTGTCAAGTTTGTAAAAATCTTCGAAACAATTTAATTATTTTCTTAAAAAATAAAAATAAAACTTTTCACAAGAATTCCATTATTTAAAAAAAAATTTAATAAAATTCTTCGTCAGATTAAATTTTTATTTTTATAAAAATAATTTGTATCGTTTTAAAGAATTTTATTAAAATTTGAAAAAAATAATTGTATTAATTTGAAGTACTTTTTTCGTTTTGAAATTAATTGAATTCTTGAGAATAATTCGCATAAATTCAACTGTTTTGAATACAATTTTAATTAAATTATTCAATTCAATTATTATTAAAAATAATAAAATTCTTGGCAATAAATCAATTATTTTCAAAAACATAACATTTCTTCTTGAATAAATTCAATTATTTGAAAGAAAATTGAATAGAATTCTCCTAAAGAATTCAATTGCTTTCAAAAGTTTCAAAATTTAATTTTTTGATAAAAATTCAATTATTTTGACAAATAATAAAATTCTTGACAAGAATTCAATTATTTAAAAAAAAAAATTGAATATAATTGTCAAGAATTTATTTATTTTTAAAAATTTTAATTAAATTTTTCACAACAATTCAATTATTTTTAGACGTTTTAATAAAATTGTTTTCAAAATTCAATTATTTTCAAAAATAACTAAGTTCTCCACAGAAATTCAATTCGATATTAATTAGAATAGAATAGAATAATTTCAATCGAATTAATAAAATTGTATTATTTAAAAAAATTTTGACAAAATCCTTTATAAGATTTTGTTAATAAAATTGCAATTTTAATAAAATTTTCCTATTCAATTAAATTATTTCCAATACAATTCTTCTTAAGAATTCAATTATTTTCACAAATAATACATTTTTTTATGTGAATTCAATTATTTGAAAAAAATTTGAATAAAATTCTTCGTAAGAAATCAATTATTTTCATAAATAATAAAATTTTTCTCGAGAATTCAATTATTTCAAAAATTTTGAGATAAAATGCTTTATAAATTTGAAAAATTATAATAAAATTGACTGTAGAATACAATTATTTTCGTAAAATATAACATTCTTTATGGACATTACAATTTTACTGTCAAGTTTGTAAAAATCTTCGAAACAATTCAATTATTTTCTTAAAAAATAAAATTCTTCAAATCAATTCAATTATTTAAGAAATTTTAATTAAATTCTTCCCAAGAATTCAATTTTTTTCAAAAATAAAACTTTTCACAAGAATTCAATTATTTAAAAAGAATTTAATAAAATTCTTCGTCAGATTTTAATTATTTTCAATTTTTTTAATGAAATTTTGTCGATGGAATTTAATTATTTTCAAAATGTTATAAAAAATTCTGAGAAATTCAATTATTTAAAAAATTTGAATAAAATTCTTCACAAGAAATTAATTTAATATTATAAATAATAATAATATTTTTCTCCGGAATTCAATTATTTTCACAAATAAAATTCTTCACAGGAATTCAATGCTTTAAAATTTTTTTAATAAAATTCGTTTCAAGAATTAAATTACTTTTATAAATAACAATATTTATAGCAGAGTTTCAATAATTTTTTATGTACAATTTTACATAAACTGATAGAAAATTGCATTTATTCTTTATAATTTTTTTTTAAATTCGCCGAAAGAATTCAATTATTTTTAGAATTTTTTAAAAATTTCTTTAAAAAAATTCAATTTTAAAAAATAGTCAATTATTTAATAAATTATTTATCTTTGTATTTAAATAATTGAATTCTCGAAAAATTTTCTAATAAAAATTGATTAAAAATGAATTTCACTTAAAATTTGAAATTATAATTGAATATTAAAAGCATCATAGCGTGAATTTTGAAAAGGGTTAAAAAATGAAAATCTTTGAAAATTTGAATTTGTAGTTGCAATATTCTTATAATATAAAATAATGATTTTATCACTCTGTCATTTTAAATTTATTATAAAACGTGAAGAAAGTGATCGATTTCTTCATGTTTTATAACAATTTTTGATAAGTTGTTTAATTTTCGAAGGTTTGGATTTGAAATCCTTAATTCCTATAGAAAAATAATAACGATTAAGTATTTATTTTAAAAAGAAGTTATTGATGTTGTCGAATAATTTTTCACTTAAAGAAATTCGTAAATATAAATGTAATAGAACATTTCTTTGAGTATCAAATAATTTTTGGAGTGAATCGGTATATTCTTTAGGGTCAGGGAGAAAGTGAAAATTTTGTCTGGAAATCAGGGAAAAGTCAGGGAAAAACAAAATTAAATTTTCGTGGCAACCCTGAATTTAAAAAAAAATTGAAAAAGAAACCTTTTTTTTAGTTTTGTTTGTCCGTAAAAACTTTGTAAAATATAATTTTGTCGAAATTGAATTTTTGCAGGTACGTCTTGGAAGAACAGATGGGGTGGAAGATTGCATCATTACAGGAGGCCGAGTGACGTGAGACCCAAGGAGGAGAGAAGACCAACTGTCGCCGAATTGGCGCAACAAAAGCAAGTCATTCAAAAATTAAATGGATGGAAAATCTATCATCTCAGCGCGCAAATGGAGGATCTCGCCGAAATAGAGAAAGAAGTGGGTCTATTGCTATTTTTTCTTCCTATTTTTTTTTCAAGCGAAAAGAACACGGAAAATTTTTATTTAGCAGGGTTGCCACAGGTCACGGAATTCAGGGAAAATTCAGGGAGAAACAAAATTAAATTTTTCTGGCAATCCTGTTAAGATAATTAAATTTCTATTTAATATAATTGCAAAATTATTATTTTTGTCATTATTTTTAATACTATTTTCTCATTTTCCAAACAGGTGCATGAGAAACTAAAATCGACACTGTCAATTTTGGAGTCGCAGCAAAATGTGAGAGGCCGACAGGACGATGGAATTGAACGTGCAAATGAATTGATAAAGGGCAACATGCAGAGAAGTAGTTTAATAAGTGAGGGAATGAATGAGGCGCGAACGCAATTGGTGGCAATTTTTCAACATCAAGGACATGTGCGTGGAATTTTGGAACGTTGCGGCAATAAACGAGCACAGAAGAAGCGCGACAAGTGAAAAGTAGAAGAAATAGAAAAATAAGTGAATGAACTGAGGGGAGAAACAGAAAAAAAATTGAATGAATGTTTTTTTTGAGAGCAAGAAGAAGAAGAAGAAGAGAAGGTCGTATTTTTTATCTATCAGAATATCTATATATTAAATCTTTAAAGATTAAAATAAAAAAAAAACAATTTTGTAAGTTTAACAAATAATTTTCTTTCTATAAATAATACCTTTTTTGCTTTCTTATAATAAGTAGTTTTTCTTTTTCTCATTACAAATTGAAAAGAAAGGCGAAGAAATTATTTTCAAAAAATTAATAAAATTCTTGGCCGAATTTAATTATCGAAGAAATTTTGATCAAATTATTTAAAAGAATTTAACTAATTTCAGAAATTTTTAGAAAATTTTTTTAGAAAAATTCAATTATTTGAAATACAATTTTATTATGATTTCAAGAATTTTGAGAAAATTCTTCGTAAACAATTTAATTATTTTCAGTATAGAATTTTAATTAGATTTTTTGAAATAATTAAATTTTTTTATGCTTTGGAATATGTTAAATTTAATAAATATAAATTCAATTATTTTAAAAAATTAATAAAATTCTTCTAAGGAATTCAATTATTTTCAAAATTTCTTCTAATCTTTCGCAGAAATATAAATTATTTTCAATAATATTAATAAAATTCTTGACCTTAATTTAATTATTTTCAGAAATTTTGATTAAAATTATTTAAAAGAATTGAATTAATTTTACAAATTTTGTTTAAAATTCTTTTAAAAAAATCCAACTATTTGAAATATAATTTTGTTATAATTTTCAGGAATTTTAAGGAAATTCTTCGTAAAAATTTAATTATTTTCAGAGGAATTTTAATGAAAATTTCTTGAAATAATTAAATTTTTTTTATGCTTTAGAATATGTTAAATTTAATAAATATAAATTTAATTATTTTAAAAAATTTTTTAAATTCTTCTCAGGAATTCAATTATTTTCAAAAAACAATAAAATTTTTCTAATGAATTCAATTATTTTCACAATTTATTATATATATATAGTTTATTTACTCTCCCTACAATAGGTAGGGTTCGAGACTCCCAAGTACATACATAACAATCTTAACCTATATTTACAAAAATCCTTACAACTAAACATTCTCTTCATACAACTTAACCTAAAAAACGCAACTCTCTCCACGCTCTCTACCTTACGCTCTTAACCTATCGCCAGTGCCGGGCTTCCGTTTCCAGTTCCTTCTATGCCCATGCTGGCTTCAACCCAATTCGCCCACCCTTTTTTCAAAAACCTGCTTTCTCACCTCCCTTACACGCTCCAGTCATCCACTTTTATGCATCCATCCATCCATCCAAGCAAAATCTTCTCACCTCATTCTCAGCCTATACCTGTCTATCACACTTTACACACTTCCATCACTCCACCCATATCCTCCCCCACAACATACTTTACCCCATCCACCCAAATACAATCCTTACCCATTCTTACCTGTTTTCCTTTCACTCTCTCCGTCCACGCTCTTTCTCTCAATAGCCATAGCATTCTTCTCTCTCTCCAACATCTATCCTCATCTATTCTTATTACACTTCCTTTCAGTCTTCCTTTCACCCTCATTACATCCATTTTCTCTTCCTCACTACCCAACTCCACCAACCATAACTTTGGTACCCCATATTCACCCTTTCCTAACGCTTGTACCATTTTCACTGAGACATTAACCCCCACCCACGCCAACACTTTTTCCACTGCTCTTTTACCCTCCAACACACCTACATTCATACCTCTGATCACTACATTCTTTTTCCTTTTTTCATTTTCTACTACATCCACTCGTCTTGACAAATCTCCCATTTTCCACTTTAACCTCTCATATTCACTTCCCTCAACTTTCTCAGTCCCCTCATTCACTTCCTTTATAAATTTTTCTAATCCATTCATTCTTCTCCACATGCTTTCCTTATCCTTTTTCCACTTACTATCCCATTCATTCCACATTTCCTGCAATTTCTCCAACCTCTCTTCAATTTCCACTATCTCTTTGTCCCTTGATTCCCCATCCTCACATATATCCATCAAATTTTCCCTTACTCTCTTCGCTCCTTCATCCATCGCGTCCTTCATCATCCATACTAATTCTAACAAATCCATGCAATCCTCACACGTCATCTTTTTTCCATTCTTTCCTATTCCCCTTTCAAATACCCGCGCCTTTTTCTCATTCTCGCTAACACTACTTGAGTCAAACTCAGCCATTCCAGAAATCTACCTTATCACTCAAATGCTCAAAATTTTTCCACTGTCTCTCTCTCCTCTCTCTCACTTCAAGCAACCTAACCTCACAAAACACACTTCTCTTTTTTACCTTTTTTATCACTCACACATTCACTACTCTATACCAACATACCTTTCCTTTACACTACCGCAAATTACACTACACACTCAGCACTCTACATTACCCACCCTTATTTTCACAATTTATTAAAATTCTTCACAGGAATTCAATTGTTTTCAAAATTTATTAAAATCTTTTGCAGAAATTCAATTATTTTCGAAAATTAATCAAATCTTTCACAAGAAATTCAATTATTTTTAAAAATTAATAAAATTCTTGACCTTAATTTAATTATTTTTAGAAATTTTGATTAAATCATTTAAAAGAATTCAATTAGTTTTAGAAATTTTTGTACAATTCTTTAGAAAAATTCAATTATTTTAAATATACAATTTTATTATAATTTCAAGAATTTTGAAAAAAATTGTCGTAAAAATTTAATTATTTTCAGTGGAATTTTAATTAAATTTCTTGAAATAATTTAATTTTTGTTATGCTTCAGAATATGTTTTTAATTGTCAAATTAATTTATTGATTTTTTATTGAAAACAATTTTGTTTAATTGATTTTTTGGTTTTATTTTTCAATATTATCGTTAAAGCATTAAATTAGAGTTTTGAAAATAAATTCGAAAAAAATGGGGAATTTTTTTTTTGTCTAATCAGAAAATTTTGAAATACATAATGATTTAAATACTTATTGTTTTTTTAGTAGAAATTATTTTTAAAATTTTTTACTGAAAAGAATTGAAATTCTAAAGCATTGATAATTTTTTTTTTATAGTCTCGAATAATTAAAAACAGTTTAAACATAAATAGTTGTATTACAACTTTTCTTAATTATTTCCAAATATTAATGATATTAGAAATATTATAATTTTCTCAGTTATTTTTATATAATGAATTAATATATTTTAAAAATAAAATTAATTTTTCGTTCTATTCATTTTTTTATTGTTTTTTTGGTTGTTTATTTTTTTCTCTTTTCGTAGTTTTGTTTGTTTCTTTTTTTTAATTTTTATTTGTTTTTCACTTTTTATTTGATTTATTTTTTGCTAAATTATTTTTTTTTATTTTCCTTTTTTAGCTTTTTTTGTTTTTTTTTTATTTTTATTTGTTTTTCTATTTTCCTTTTTTTGCTTTTACTGCTTGTTTTATTCATTTATTTGTATATTTTTCTATTTCTTTTTTGCTTTTTTAATTTATTTTTTATTTACTTTCTTCTTTTTTTATTAATTGAAATGATTGTTTTTCTATTTTTTTTTGTTTTTGCTTTTTTTTCTATTTTTTGTTAATATTGCTTTTTTCTATTTTTTGCTAATATTGCTTTTTTCTATTTTTTGCTAATATTGCTTTTTTCTATTTTTTGTTGTTTTCCTATTTTTTTTGTTTTTGCTTTTTTTTCTATTTTTGTTGTTTTTCTATTTTTTTGTTGTTTTTGCTTTTTTTCAATTTTTATTCCTTTCTTTTTTTTTTAAATATTCGTTTGTTTATTCGTCTACTTCTTTTTTTTGTTACTTATTTTCTTTGTTTCTATTTTTGTTTCTATTTTTTCTAACAATTACGTGGAACATATTTTTTTTTTCTAAAATATTTGTCAAATAAATTTGGCATTTTTAAAAATATTTTCCAGAAAAAATATTATTTCAAGATAATGGTAAATTTTTACCTGAATTTAATTACCTTTTTCTTTATCTTCTATTAGCTGTAAAGATTATGCGTCGATGGGACTATTAAATTTTCATCTTCAAGGATAAGTAGACACTGGATTTTAGGTACTGAAAATATAAAAGAAGAAAAGAAAATAATATTTTCCATTTGCAATATTTTTGTCTCCACTGATTTAATATTGTTTAATTTTTAATTTACTATTTTTATTTCATTTTATTTCATTTTTTTCAAGGTGCGATCAAAAATCCAATAAATTCGAAACGTTATGAAGACGTTATGGAAATAAGAGGAGGAGGAAAATTAAACTATCGCTATTTTATTATTTTATTGATTTTCGAATTCTTTATTCAATCAATAAATAGTCGTGAGTAAAAGAATTTCTTTTCTTATTTTTCCATTTTATTGTAATTAATTTTTCTTTCTATTTCCTTTGAAATAAAAATGTTCTATTTTTATTAATATTATTCGATATTTATTTTATTTTATTTTATATAACAAAAATTCACTTTTTAAACGTTTTTAATTTTTTTTTTACTAATTTTGAATTATAATATTAAAAAAATAGATTCACGTTATGAAATAAAAAACGGCGGTTTTCACATCAGTTTAATTGATTGGACAATAAAGCCCTATTGCGATGATTATTTTCATCTTGAAAATCTAGATTCATTCAAGCCAAATGATAGAAAAAGAACCACAAAAATTCTACGTTGTATGTGTAAGTACATTTTTTATTTATTTATTAATTTTTGTTTTATTTATTAATTTTCTTTTTTTTATTTATTTTTTTTTTACTTTTTCTTTTTTAGTAACATTTATTTATTTTCTTTGTTTTAATCATTGCACAGTAAATTAATTATTTTACAAGTTTAACCTGAAAGAGTTCAAAAAAGTCCAAACTTCATCTGAAAAATTTCTATATTTATATTATTTTTCTGTTTTCAATTTTTTTTTTTTTTTTGCTCTTTTTCAGATGGACGAAAAAAAATTCATAAGGATTCAAATGGTCTTTATTTTGATTTAAATTATGGAAAAGTTACATTGACATTATTATCGGATCGCTATCAGTTTTCGTATATTTGCAATCCGGGATATAAATTAATTGGCGAGAAAATTATTTGGTTCATCAGAGGAAAAATAACTCATTCACAGCCTATTTGTATTCGTAAGTATTTTTAATTAATTAAAAATTTTTTTATTTTAGTTCATTTCAATTTGTAAATTAGAAAAATAATTTTGTCGAAAAAATTTGAGAATAATTGAATTCCTTTGAAGAATTTTGTTATATTTATGAAAATATAATTTAATTCTTGCGAAGAATTTTAGTAAAATTTTTTGAAAATTTTAATTAAATAGGTACTTTTGAAAAATTTCTTTGAATTTTTTTTTGTAAATAATGTAGTTTTTTGAATAATTTTAATTGAAAATTTTAAAAATAATTGAATTCTTTTGAAAAATTTTTATAACGAATAAGAAAAAAATTGAATATTTTATTCGTCAAAATTTTATTGAAAATAATTGAATTTTGGCAAAGATTTTACGATTTAAAAAAATAATTGAATTGTATCGAAGGATTTATTAAAATTTTAGAAAATAATTGAATTTTTTCCAATAATATATTACTAAAAATTCAAAAAACTTGAATTCATTTATGAAATTTTATTGAAATTTAAAAAAAATAATTGCTTTTTTGCAAAGAATTTTATTTTATTTTATTTAATTTTTTAAAAATGATTGAAATTTATTAAAATTTTTGAAAAAATTGGATTCTTTCCCATAAATTTTATTAAAAATAAAAGAAAAATTTAATTGTTTACTAAGATTTACTAATTTTTAGAAAATAATTGAATATTTTTTTGAAAAAATATCAAAAATTAAAAAAAAATGAATTCTTTCTAAAATTTTATTAAAATTGCATTAAAAAATAATTGGCTTTTTGCAAAAAAAATTTTCTATTTATAAAAATAATTAAAATTTATCAAAACTTTAGAAATAATTGTATTCTTTCGAAAAATGATTTTAAAAATTGAATTGTTTTGGACAATTTATTAAAGTTTTAGAAAATAATTGAATTTTATCGAAAAAATATTATTAAAAATTGAAAAAAATTGAATTCTTTTATGAAATTTTATTAAAATTGAATTTAAAAATAATTGAATTTCTGAGAAGAATTTTATTAATTTTTGTAAATAATTGAATTCCTATAAAGAAATCTATTAATTTTTGAAAACAATTGAATTTCTACGAAGAATTTTTCAAAAAGTTTTAAAATAATTGAATTGCTTCGAAGGATTTATTAAAATTTTAGAAAATAATTGGATTTTTTTTTAAAAAATTTTTTAACGACGAATTATGAATGAAAAAAATGTAATTCTTTCGAGAAATTTTATTGAAAATAATATTGAATTTTTGCAAAAATTTTACTAATTATAAAAAGAATTCTTCAAAAAAGATTTACTAAATTTTAGAAAATAATTGAATTCTTTCGTGGAATTTTATTAAAAATTTTGTTGAAAGTAATTTAATTACTGCGCAAAAAATTTTACTATATTTATAAAAATAATTGAATTCTCCCGAAGAATTTGCATATTTAAAAATTAATTTCTGAGTTTAATAATTTAAAAATTAATTTCTTTGTATTTCATTTAAAAATTTTGAATTGAATAATTATTTAGAAAATTAATTACAAAAATTAATCAATTTCTCTCTTTTATTCCCTCAGAAATTCTACCAAATGTGAACAAAATGAAAAATGGACATTTTACAGTTATTGACTTGGATTCAGAGACATTTGAATTTAATTATTTTTGCAATTATCCATATGAATTAATTGGACAAGAGACTGTTTATTATTTTAATAAAACCTGGAGCGCCAAAAAGCCAATTTGCATTAGTGAGTATATTTTTCAAATTTTAATTATTCTTTTTTGGAATTTTGTTTTTTTTTGAATAATTTTTATTATTTATTTTCTAAATTTTTGTTTTACAATAAATAGTATTTTTAGAGTAAATAATATTGTTTGTAATAAATAATATATTTTGGAGCAAATAATATTGTTTGTAATAAATAATATATTTTGGAGCAAATAATATTGTTTGTAATAAATAATATTTTTTGGAGCAATTAATATTGTAATAAATAAAATTTTTCGGAGTAAATAATATTTTTCCTGATAAATAGTACTTTGTAAAGTAAATTGTATTTTTTTTTACTAAATGATAAAATAAATCGAACTTTCTTTTCTAGTTTCGTGCCAACCACAAAAATTACTGAACGGCTTTTCGAGCCTCTCACTAAAAAATGACGAATACATGTCAAAATTTACCTGCAATGAGGGATTTTTTCTCGATGGAAATAAAGAATCTTTCTGCACTGATGGAATTTGGATCCAGGAGACTCCCACTTGTATTCGTAAATAATTTTCTTTTCCTCATATTTTTAATTCTAATTCATCAAAGTTTTTTTCTTTAGTATTTTTTTGGCACTTTTATTTTGCCCTCAAAATTTATTTTATTTCTCCATTAATATTTAAACAATTAAATGAATATTATAATAATTTTCAAATTACAATTAATAAATAAATAATTATATTTTATTATTATTATTATTTTGCTAATTTTTGCTAATTTATTTTATTTATTTATTTATTTTTATAAGTAGAAAATATTGTATAAATAATCTTTATTTTTTATTCAAGAACATCTATTTTATTTCTCGATTAAAAATTTTAAGAATTAAATTATAATAATGATATAATATAATAATATTAAAAGTAGTAAAATATATATTCTAAAATTTATTTTTGTTTTCAGCTCACTGTCAAGTGAAAACGTTTTCTAATGGACAAATGACTCTGAATGATGATAAAATTTACTTCACGATGTCTTGTAATTTTGGATATGAACTTCTTGGAAATTCGAAAATTCGCTGCAATAATGGACAATGGAGTCATCCTTTTCCAATTTGTTTTGGTAAAGAAAAAAAATTTTTTCTTCAACTTTTGTGACGTTTCTTTTTTCTTATTTATTTTTTATTTACAAAAATCAAGTCATTTTTCTTTTTCTTTTTTTTTTTTATTTTTAATTGGAAAACTTTTCTAAAGAGAATTTTACTATTTACTATTTATTTTCCTAATTAACTTTCAAAAGAATTTATCAATTAAGAGAAGTTAACGACAAGAAAGAATTCTTTAATAAGTGAATATTATTCAATAGAATATGAACAAAAAATAATTATGAATTCTATTAAATCTGAGAATAGAAAATAATTCCAAAAAGAGTAAAATTTGTTTTCCTATATTGAAAAATAAATATTAAATAAATAAACGTAACTTTATAAAATTATATTAAATAATTATATTTATCCTACTTAAGTTAATTATGAAAATAATTTTTCATTTTTTTCTTCTTTCAGAAACAAAGAATTATGAATGAAGAATTTAATGAAAAATTTTAATGGTAGATTTATGTTTAAAAAAGAGACAAAAAAACAATCCTTGAAAATTTATGTTTAAAAAAAAAGAAGAAAAATTTTGATTGTTACTAAATTTATATTCAGAAAGAAGAAAAAATAATAGAAAATTTGTTAATGTAGAGAAAAATTTTTATTAAAAAAAAGCGAAGAGAACAAATTAGAAAAATTTCCAAGTAATTTGTGTGAAGTAGAGATAAAAAATAAAATATATTCTTTTTGAAATGGGAATTTATTTTTAAAAAATTTAGACGATTTTTACTTTTTTTTTTCTTAGCTGATTGTTAACTGATTGGAAACGTAGGTAAAAATTTGATTTTTATATTGTTTGTCCGAGAGTGTAATTAAAAGATCATTAATGATATTTTCATTTCTATTGCGTTTCGAATAGTGTCGCCGCCTTAATGAGATCCCTTCGAGTAGGTATAATATTTAAGGGAGAGTATAACATTGGACTTCAGTTTCTCTTCAACTTTTGCTGAAGGAACATCAAGAAGATGGCTGTTCCGTCGCTATTCGCCGTTTTCATTTTTGCAATTCTTCAACAATCATTGACTGCATTTGTTAATAGCAGTGAGTATTTACAAAACTTAATTTTTTACTTCTTTCTTATTTTTTTTTCTCTGTATTTCTCTATTTTTCTTCTTTTTTCCACTTTTTTTCTTTCTCCATTTTTCTCTTTTTTTCTCTTTACTTTTCTCAATTTTTCCTTCTTTTTTCATTTATCTCTACTTTTCTCTATTCTTCACTTTTTTCCTATTTCTCTACTTTTTTCTTTTCTTCACTTTTTTCCCCTTTTTCTGCTATTCTTCTAATTTTCTCTACTTTTCTCTTTTTTTCCTTCTTTTCATTTTTTTCTATATTTTTTTTCATTTTTTCTCTACTCTTCACTATTTTTTTGCCAATATTTTTTATTTCTTTTCTTCATTTTCTCTGCTTTTCTCTATTTTTATCTACTCTTCTCTTTATTTCCTCTGTTTTTATCATTTTTTTTCTTTTTTCACCTTTTTCTTCCTTCACTTTTCTTGACTTTTATTTTTTTTTCTTTTTTCTCTGCTTTTCAGTATTTTAATCTACATTTTTGTTAATTTCCTCGATTTTTCTTAATTTTTTCTATTTTCCTCTTATTTCCTTTTTTTCATTATTTTTCACTATTTTTATCGAATTTTCTTTATTTTTCTCGACTTTTTTGGCGTTTTCTCTATTTTTCTTTATTTTCTTGACTTTTTTGGCTTTTTCTATATTTTTCTTGACTTTTTTGGCTTTTTCTCTATTTTTCTATATTTTTCTTGACTTTTTTGGCTTTTTCTCTATTTTTTTTATTTTTATCTAATTTTCTTCTTCTTCTCCAGTTTTTTTTTCTATTTACCTCTTTTTTCTCACTTTTTCTTTACTTTTCTCTACATTTATTTTTTCTTTTTTATTCTGTGTTTTTCTCACCTTTTCTCTATTTTTCCCTTTATTTTTCTTTTTTGTCTTGATTTTCCTCGTATTATTCCTTCTTTTCCCTTTTTTATATTTTCTCTACTTTTCTCTATTTTTTCATTATTTACCTTTTTTCCTCGAAATTTTCCTTTCCTTTTCTCTTTTTTTTTTTTTTATTTTTCCCTTTTTTTTCCACTGTTTTTCCTACATTTTCGTTTTTTCCTATATATTTTGCACTATTTTTCTCATTGTTTTCTCTTTCTTCTTTGATTTTCTTGACTTTTCGTTTTCTTTTTTGACTTTTTGAAAAAAAGACAAAAATAGAAAACGGATAAAAATGACAAAAAAAGAGAAAAATATAGAAAAAAAATAGAAAAAGGAAAAAAAATAGGGAAAAGTGGACACTTCCACTTTTTCCATATTTTTCCAATTTTTCTCTTTTTTACATATTTTTCTTTAGTTTTCTCTATTTTCATCATTATTATCACTTTTTTCTGTATTTTCCTTTTCTTTTTACTATTTTTCTTTGCTTCTCAGTATATTTATCTACTTTTATCTTTATTTACACGGTTTTCTCAATTTTCTATTTTCCTTTTCTTTTCTATTTTGTTTATCGACTTTTCTGTTTTTTCTTGTATTTTTTTCCTTCTTATATATTTTTCTCATTGTTTTCCCTTTTTTCTCCTTTTTTTTTTAACTTTTTTCTCTTTTTTGCCTTTTCTTCCAATTTTTCTTATTTTTTTTCCTTTTTTCTTTTTCTATTTTTTTCTATATTTTTCTCTTTTTTGTCATTTTTATCCCTTTTTCTTTACTTTTCTCTATTCTTATCAACTTTTCTGTTTTTTTTCTCTATTTTTTATTATTTTTATCTAATTTTATTCTTTTTCCTTTGTTTTTCTCAATTTTTCTTTTTTTTCCTCTCTTCTCCTTTTTCTTTATTTTTCTCTCCACATTTGTTTTTTCTTCTTTCCTGTATTTTTCTCTTCATTTTTCCCTATTTTTCTTCATTTTTCTCTTTTTTTCCTTCTTTGTCCTTTTTTATGTTTTTTACTACTTTTCTCCTTTTTTTCATTATTTACCTTCTTTTTTTATTTTCCTTTTCTTTTCTCTTTTGTTTATCGAATTTTTTGTGTTTTCCTCTATTTTTTTTTATATTTTTTTCATTATTTTCCCTTTCTTCTCCGTTTTCCTTGACTTATCTCTGTTTTTTGACTTTCCTCTCTTTGTTTGACTTTTCTTCCACTTTTCCCTATTTTTTTTCTTTTACTATTTTTCTATTTTTCTTTTTTCAACTTTTCTCTGCCTTTTTTTTCTTCTTTTCTGTATTTTTTTTTACTTTTCTCTATTTTTATCATTATTTACCTTTTTTCTCCATTTTCCTTTTTTGCTCTCTATTTTTCTCTATTTTTAATGACTTATGTTTTTTTCTCTTTTGTTTTTTATTTTTATATAATTTTCTTTTTTTTCCTCGGTTTTTCATAATTTTTCTCTTTTCTCCTTTTTCTTTACTTTTAATTTAATTTTAATTCTAAATAAATAAATAAATAAAATTAATTGTTTATATTTAAATAAGTGAGTAAATAAATAATAATAGTAAACTCTCGAGAAAAATAAATTGTAATTTTACCGGAATTGTAAAGACTAATTTTCATATTTATTGTCAAAATAAATATCGACACGTGTCAATATTTACATCTTATAATAAATTTTATATTTTTCTGTTCTCTAGAAATTGTCTATTTTTTAAAATTATCGAAGTATAATTTTAGAAGTATAAACAAAATAATTATAATTATTATTATAATTATAAATTATTATTGTTTATTCTCTTTTCATTACTTTTTTATTTTCATATTTTTTTTATTTTTTTTTTTTTATTTATTCCTATATTTACTATTTTTACGTAATTAATAATTTTCTTTCTTCAATTTTTTTACAAGTCCGCTTTCAAGTAAATAAATAAATAATTATTTATCATATTGCAAAGTAAAGAGAGTAATTTTCATAAATTAAAATTTTTCTTTCATCCCAAAAGAATAACTGCGTCATTAATATTTCATTTTCACTTGACTGAATTTATTTTCTAAATTTACAATTTTTATTTGCGAGTGCCAATAAAAATTGGGACATAAATAAATATTAAACTTAAAGTTCTTGTAAAATCCAAAGAAAAATATTCTACATTTATAATCCTTATTTCTGAAAACTTTTACTCCTTAAGACGTGTCCTTTTATAAATATTATACTTTCTCAATATTTGAGGATTATGCGCGGCATAATTTTCGGTTTTTCCCATGTCAATAATTATGGTCCTTATAATCTGAGAAAAATTTATGATCTTATTTTTCTAGTTGAGAAAATTGACCGCTGGGTAAAATTTTATTATTAGTCCTATATAATTATTATTTTTATTTTAGATGCTTGCCAGACATTGACAGTAAACAATGGAAATGTGAGATACACTGGATCCAATGGAATTCAAAAATTCAGTTTTAATTGCGAAAATGGATTTTCTCCAATGGGCAGGACTTTTTCTACGTGTTTGAATGGACAATGGAGCAATCCCAATCCGTTCTGCGTTGGTGAGAATTCAATTAAATATTATATTCATAAAATTTGATTTATAAATTCCGAAAATTTTGTTTCTTGAAAAAATGTAATTAAAATTTTTTAAAAATAATTCTATTTCTGAAAATAATTTTAAAAAATTGAAACAATAATTGAAAATTTTGTCAAATTTTATTGAAATAAATTTGATATTTTAATGAATTTCATTTGTTTATACTTTTAAAAATTATTTTCAAACATAATCGTATTTTTTAAAAAAAATTCTAATTGAAAATTTGAAAAATAATTGAATTTTAAAAAATTAAACTTTTTAACAATCAGAATTGTTCGAGTGGTACTCGAAAGTTTAATTATTGAATTAAAAATATACATTCAAGTTGTTAGAAATTTCTTGTCAATTTTTACACGAGTTCAAACGATTATTAATTTTTTAGAAAAAAAAACTGTTAGAAAAATTATATTTTTTCCCAAAAATGAAGAATTTTCATTAAACAAAAAGAAAATAATGTGAGAAATTTTTGTCTAATAAGTTGAAAATTAAATTTTCAGATAAAAGTTCCATAAAAGTTGTTGAAAATGGATACATGACAATGAGCGCTGACAATAAATACAATATCGCATGCAATGAAGGTTTCATACTTTTGGGAAATAATGAATTTAAACTTGATGGTAGTTCCTCGTCAAAATGTATCAGTGAGTATATAAATATTTTATTCAATTTATTAATTTATTAATTTTATCCATATTATAATAATCCTTTTATATATTTCAAAAGTCTGTTTGCTTTTTTGTTTCACAATTTCGAATTTTAAAATCAATGGATTTCTGTATAATTTAATTCTTTGAAGGATAAAAAAAATAACAAAAATTAATTAATCAAATTAAATTAATTAAAATTCTTTTCAATTAAAACTTATAATTTAATTTGTAAATTTAATTCAATATTCTAGAATAGAAAAATAGTTTTTTAAAAATTTATTTCATTTATTTATTTAAATTGAATTAAAATTGTATTGAATTCTTCAGAACTAATTTTTCATGAAAATTCAATTTTAAGAAACATTCAATACATTGTTTAATAAAATATTTATTTTTATAGTTAAATAATTGAATTCCCGTAGAATTTTCTAATAAATATTGATTTAAAAATGAATTTCAAATTAAAATCTTTGAAAATTTGAACTTTTCATATATTTAATTAACAATTCTATCTTAGAATTAATTTTTCTCAATAAGTTTAATGGAATTTTTTTAATTATTTGAAGTTTTTAATTTCTAATAAATATTTAATTGAAGAATGTCAGAATAATCGAAATTTCGTAAAATTAAATTGTAAACAAAAGAATTTAAAAATTCACAAAGAACTTTTTCAAAAATTATTAATTAAAAAAAAATTGAAGAATTTTAGTTTGAAAATTCTAGAAATGAATAATCGTAATGATGAAAATAATTTTTGAAGAAGTTACTTATTAACTTATTATTATTAATATTATTAATATATATTATTATTAATGACAAATAATTATTTTCTTTACAGAAACTATTGTAAATGAGATTAAAATTAATTTCGCTAATGGAGTCTACTCAGTTTCTGAGGACAAACTTACTTATGACTTTCAATGTAATCCCGGATTCCAAATGTACGGACAGCCAAGAATTCAGTATATTAACAATGCTTGGACTGGTGCAGTTCCTATTTGCCTTGGTGAGTCAACTTTTTCAAAAAGAAAAAAATCTTACGAATAAATAATAATTCGCGGTTTGAATTTAGTTACTTTCGTTAGATTTTTGTTTCCTAATTTTTCTTTTTAATCTGTTGATTTAATATTTATCAATGAAATTCTAATTTCCTTGTAAATAGAATAATAATTATAATAATAATAATAAATAATTACCCTAATAAATTAGTAAATTAGTTAATAATTGAATTTATTTTAATTTTTGAATTTTTAATTATTACTTGAAAATATTTGAAAATTGAAATTAATATTTGAAAATAAAAATTTTGCAGAAAAAGCCGCCACAACCACCAGTCAACCAATCACACAAAATATTCCAATAGTTGTTACAGGTTTGTGACTATTAATATTATTATTTAAATAAAAATAGATATTGGGAAAAAATTATTTTTTGCACTTATTAATTATTAAATTGTTGCAGTAATTATTCTAATATTGTATTTTTCGAATAATTTTAGAAAATAAAAAGGTGGAAATAAATTTCGTAAATGGAATCTACTCAGTTTGTGAGGACGGACGTACTTATGAATTTCAATGTAATCCCGGATTCCAAATGTACGGACAGCCAAAAATTCAATATATTAACAATGCTTGGACTGGTCCAGTTCCTGTTTGTCTTGGTGAGTCAACTTTTTCAAAAAGAAAATTTCACTTATTTTCAATTCCAATTTTTAATCGATTTCTTCGAAAATTTCAACAGTTTTTTTTAAATCTTGTAAAAATTCTCCGAGAAAATTCAATTATTTTAAGGGAATAATTGAATTTTTTACAGGAGTTTAATAACTTAAAAATGTTTTAATAAAATTCAATTCAAGAATTTAATTATTTTAATAAAAATAACAAAATTTTTACTGTAATAAATAAAATCTAATTCAAGAATTCAATTATTTTCAAAAATAATAAAATTTTAGATTTACTGATAACCATTAAATTCTTGTGAAGTATTTATTAAAAAAAATTGAAAATAATTAAATTCATTTCAAGAATTTTATAAACATTTTTTTCAATAATTGAATTGTTTTGAAGAATTTATTTCAATTTTCTTAAAAATAATGAAGTATTTTAAAAATAATTTTTACTAAAAATTTTAAAATTAATTGAATTTTATGAAGAATTTCTTTTAAGTTTTTAAAATAATCGCACTTACTATTAATTGCAATTAACGATTTTCCTATGAAAATTATATTAAAATTATTCATAGAAAATTAAATTCTTTTAAAAAATTTTATTCGAGTTTTTTGTAAATAATTATTTTGAATAATTGTAATAAAATTCTTTAGTCAATTTATAAATAATAAAAATCTTGGTAAAAAAATCAATTATTTTTATATAAATAATAAAATTCTTATCAGAATTTGACTTATTTTCAATTGATTTCTTCGAAAATTTTAATTATTTTTCAAAATTTTGAAAAATTTTCCAAGAAAATTCAATTATTTCTAAAAATATTTGAATTTTTCACATTAATTCAATTATTTAAAAATGTTTTAATAAAATTCAATTTAAGAATTCAATTATTTTTATAGAAATAAATAAATAATAAAATTTTCGCTGGAATTCAATTATTTTAAATACAATTTTAATTGAATTACAGGGAAAATTCAATTATTTTTAAACATTTTTTTTTAAATTCTGCGAAAGAATTCAAGAATGTCAATAATTTTTCGCAAAAATTCAATTCTTTCAAATACAATTTTAATAAAATTCTTCGCAAAAATGCAATTATTTTTAAAAATTTTGCAAAAATTCAATTATTTGTAGAAATAATAAATTTTTTCACAAGGATTCAATTATTTAAAAAAGTTTAAATATAATTCTATTCAAGAATTTAATTATTTTTAGAAATAATTAAATTAGCGATTTATTGAAAATAATTGAATTCTTCTAAAGCATTTATAAAAAAAATTTGAAAATAATTATAATTCATTTCAAGAATTTTAAGAACATTTTTTTTTAGTAATTGAATTCTTTCGAAAAAATGTAATTAAAATTGTATTGAAAATAATTTAATTCTTGAGATAAAATTTTTATTATTAAAATGCATTAAAATAATTGAATTGTTTTGAAGAATTAAATTTTTAGAAATATAAAGTTTTCTTAAAAATAATGAAGTTTTTTAAAAATAATTTTTACTAAAAATTTTGAAAGTAATTGAATTTTATGAAGAAATTTTTTCAAGTTTTTAAAATAATCGTGTTTATTATTAATTGTAATTAACGATTGTCCTATGAAATTATATTAAAATTATTCATAGAAAATTAAATTCTTTTAAACAATTTTATTAGAGTTTATGTAAATATTTACATTTTTTTTTTCTGAAGAGTTTCATTAAATTTCGTAAAAATAATGTAATTTTTAAAAACAATTTTAATTGAAAATTTTTAAAATATTTGAAATTTACAAAGAATTTTATTAAAAACTTTTGAGACCAATTAAATTGTTTAGAAAAATTTTATTACAATTTTTAACAATAATTGAACCTGTTAGAGAGATTTTATTAAAATTATCTTGAATATGGTTAAATTGTTCCTATAAAAATAATTGAAATAATTGATAATAATAATGATTGAAATTTCTGAAAATAATTGAATTCTTGCCAAAAATCTTACAATATATAAAAGTAATTGAATTGTTCGAAGAGTTTTACAATCAAATTTTGTTGAAAATAATTGAAGTTTTATTAAAACTCTTGAAAATAATTGAATTTAAATAATATATTCAAAAGTAATTGTATTCTTTTGAGAAATTTAATCAAAATTGTATTGAAAATTATTCAATTTCTCCGAAACATTTTATTATTTATGAAAATATTTTCATTCTTGCGAAGAATTTTCTTATTTTTGCGAAAATAATTAAATTCTTGCAGAGGATTTTACAAATTTATAAAAATAATTGAATTATTAATTTTAATTATTATTAGTAATTAATTATTAATAATAATTTTTTCCTAGCATTTTATCTGAATTTTTGAAAATAATTGAATTTTTTGAATGAATTTTATTAAAAATTTTAAATAGAATAATTTTTTAAAAAGAATTTCATCAAAATTAAATTAAAATTTTTGCTAAGAATTTAATTTAAAGTTTTTCGAAGAATTTCATTAAAATTGTATTGAAAATAATTAAGTTCCTGCGAAGAATTTTATTAAAAGTTTTTGAAAACAATTAATTAAAATAATTTAGTAAATTCGTTAATAATTGAATTTTTTTTTTGAATTTTGAAACTGAAATTATTAATTATTTTTTTTAACATTTAGCAGAAAAAACAGCCGCACCCAGTGTACAAGTGATTCCTGTCAATGGTACGATAAAAATTTAATAATCCATTTTCTATTACTCTTCTCATGATATTTAAATATTATTTTTTTTCTTTTTCTCTAATTTGTTAATTTAAAAATTGTATTTTCGTTTATTCGAGAATCATGAATTTTTCAAAGATTTTTTTTGTTAATTTTTCCAGTTGCCACCGTTGCCACACAACAACCACCAATCACACACAATATTCCAATAGTTGTTACAGGTTTGTGACTATTAATATAATTATTTAAATAAAAATAGATTTTGGGAAAAAATTAGTCTTTGCTCTTATTAATTATTAAATGGTTGCAGTAATTATTCTAATGCTGTTTTTTTGAAATCATTTTAGAAAATAAAAAGGTGGAAATAAATTTCGTAAATGGAATCTACTCAGTTTGTGAGGACGGACGTACTTATGAATTTCAATGTAATCCCGGATTCCAAATGTACGGACAGTCAAAAATTCAATATATTAACAATGCTTGGACTGGTCCAGTTCCTGTTTGTCTTGGTGAGTCAACTTTTTCAAAAAGAAAATTTCACTTATTTTCAATTCCAATTTTCAATTGATTTCTTCGAAAATTTCAATTATTTTTCAAAATCTTGTCAAAATTCAATTATTTCAAAAATAATTGAATTTTTCACAGGAGTTCAATTATTTAAAAAACTTTTAATTAAATATAATTCAGGAATTCAATTATCTTTCAAAATAATGAAATTTTCTCTGCAGGGAAAATTACATTTTTCGAATGTAATCGCTTTTGTATTGTAATTATTAATTTTACTATTAAAATTTAATTAAAGTTATTGATAGAAAATTAAACTCTTTTAAACAATTTTATTATACAGTTTTTGTAAATAGTTAAATTCCTTTGAAGATTTTCTTTAAGTTTTTTTTTAAATAATTTTAATTTTAAATTCAAAATAATTGAATAAAAGAAAGAATTTTTTCAATGTTTCAAAATAATTGTGTCTGTTAATAACTATAATTAAATACTTGATTTTTGAAGTTTATTAAAATTGTATTTAAAATAATTGAATCATTTGAAAAATTTTGTAATGCGAATTAAGAAAAAAATCGCATTTTTTGTAAATTTTTATTGATAATAATTGAATTTCTGCAAAAATTTTACTATTTCAAAAATTAATTTAATCGTTTCGAAGAATTTATTAAAATTTAAGGAAATAATTGAATTCTTTTAAGAAATTTTATTAAAAATTTTTAAAAAATTGAATTATTTTGAAGAATTTATTAAAATTTTACAAAATAATTGAATTTTTTCGAAAAAATATTATTAAAAATTGAAAAAAAATTGAATTCTTTCAAGAAATTTTTTTAAAATTGTATTAAAAATAATTGAATTTTATTAAAATTTCGTTAAAAAATAATTGAATTTTTGCAATAAATTTTTATATAATTTATGAAAATAATTGAATTCTTGGGAAGAATTTTATTCAAATTCTTGAAAATCCTAATAAAATTCTTTTGGAGAATTTCTTTGAATTTTTTTTAAAAATAACAGAGTTGCTTTAATAATTTTAATTGATAATTTTAAATGTAATTGAATTTTAGGAACAAATTCTTTAAAGTTTTTAAAATAATCGTGTTACTTAATAAATGAAATTAAACATTTAATTATTGAATTTTTTAAAAATTTTTAGAAAATATTTTTATTATTCTCTGAATTTTATTACAATTTTCTAAAATAATTTAATTCATTTAATGAATTTTTACTAAAATATAGAAAATAATGAAATTCTTTCGATGAATTGATTCTAATTTTTGCAAAGATTTTACTATTTAGAAAATTAAATTAAATTAAAAATTAAATTAAATTTAAATTAAATTTAAAAATTAAATTTAAATTAAATTAAATTAAATTGTTTCAAATAATTTATTAAAATTTTAGAAAATAATTGAATGTTTTCGAAGAATATTATTAAAATTTCAAAAAACTTGAATTTTTTCATGAAATTTTACTAAAATTCTATTAAAAATAATTTAATTTTTGCAAAGAATTTTAGTTTTTAATATTTATAAAAATAAATGAATTGTTTCGAAGAATTTATTAGAATTTTAGAAAATAATTGAATTTTTACGAAAAATATTATTTAAAATAAATTTTTTTTTAAATTTGAATTCATTTATAAAATTTTATTAAAATTTGTATTAAAAATAATTTAATATTTGCGATGAATTTTTCTACTTAAAAATAGAATTACATTGTTTCGAAGAATTTATTAATATTTTAGAAAATAATTGAATTGTTTTGAAAAATTTTATTACAATTTTTAAAAATAATTAAAATTGTTAGAGAAATTTTATTATTTACAAAAATAATTGAATTCTTGCCAAGAATTTTACAATCAAATTTGTTTAAAATAATTGAATTTTTATTGAAACTCTTGAAGAAAATTGAATTTAAATAATATTTTAAAAAATAATTGTATCCTTTCGGAAAATTTTATTTAAATTGTATTTGAAATAATTTAATTTCTCCGAAACATTATATTATTTATAAAAATAAAAATAAATTTCTTTGTAGAATTTTATTATTTACGAAAATATTTTAATTCTTAGGAAGAATTTTCTTATTTATGCGAAAATAATTAAATTCCTGCCGAGGATTTTACAATTAATACAAAAAATTGAATTGTTTTGAAGAATTTTATTTTAATTTTTGAAAATAATTTAATTTTTTTTAAGGAAATTTATTAAAATGTTTGAAAATAATGATTTTTTAAATAAAGAATTTCATCAAAATTGTTAAAAATAATTGGATTTATAATTTAAATTTGCTAGTAATAATAATAATAATTTTTAAAACAATTGTAGAGAACTTTATTAAAATTTTTGAAAAATAATAAAATTATTTGCGAAGAATTTTCTTAAAATTCTTTAAAATAATAGAAATTTCTACAAACATTTTTTAAAAATGCAAATAATTAAAATTTTTGCTAAGAATTTAATTTAAAGTTTTTCGAAGAATTTCATTAAAATTGTATTGAAAATAATTAAGTTCCTGCGAAGAATTTTATTAAAAGTTTTTGAAAACAATTAATTAAAATAATTTAGTAAATTCGTTAATAATTGAATTTTTTTTTGAATTTTGAAACTGAAATTATTAATTATTTTTTTTTAACATTTAGCAGAAAAAACAGCCGCACCCAGTGTACAAGTGATTCCTGTCAATGGTACGATAAAAATTTAATAATCCATTTTCTATTACTCTTCTCATGATATTTAAATATTTTTTTTTCTTTTTCTCTAATTTGTTAATTTAAAAATTGTATTTTCGTTTATTTGAGAATCATGAATTTTTCAAAGATTTTTTTTGTTAATTTTTCCAGTTGCCACCGTTGCCACACAACAACCACCAATCACACACAATATTCCAATAGTTGTTACAGGTTTGTGACTATTAATATAATTATTTAAATAAAAATAGATTTTGGGAAAAAATTAGTTTTTGCTCTTATTAATTATTAAATGGTTGCAGTAATTATTCTAATGCTGTTTTTTTGAAATCATTTTAGAAAATAAAAAGGTGGAAATAAATTTCGTAAATGGAATCTACTCAGTTTGTGAGGACGGACGTACTTATGAATTTCAATGTAATCCCGGATTCCAAATGTACGGACAGCCAAAAATTCAATATATTAACAATGCTTGGACTGGTCCAGTTCCTCTTTGCCTTGGTGAGATTTTTAAAAAAAAATTTGTTTGCGAATAATTTTAATAAAAATACAGTAGAACCTCGGTTATCCGAGCCTCGATTATCCGAGATTCCAGATTATATGCGGAATAACTCGGATAAAACGGATCGAGCGACTAAATTTGGAAAATAAATTTTACAAAACCACTATTTGTGATCATTGCATTTAAAATTTCGTCCATTTTTGTCATTTAATATTATTCTAACACTTTAAACACATGAAAAATAATTTAAAATTTTGAAATTTTCATTGGTTCCGTGTTATCCGAGTTTTCGATTATCCGAGGTACCTCTTCCCCACATTACCTCGGATAATCGAGGTTCTACTGTAATAATAATTTATATTAATTTAAAAATTCATGAAATGAAAATCATTAAATTCGTGCAAAGAATTTTATCAAAAAATTTTCGAGAATAATTGAATTCCATCGAAGAACTTTATTATTTATGGAAATAATTGAATTCTAAAGAAGAAAAAATTAAAAAATTATTTCAATTTTTGAAAATTTTAATTAAATATCTACTTTTGAAAAATTCCTTTGAATTTTCTTTAAAATAATGAAATTTTTCTAATAATTTTAATTGAAAATTTTTGAAAGTAATTCAATTTTATGAACAATTTCATTCAAATTTTAACGTTTTTTTCTCAATTTTTTCAGCGTCTGTACAACAAGCACCAACGACAGAGAGTATTCCAATCAGATCAGGTGAATTAGTATTATTAATATTATTATTTAAATAGAAATAGATTTTATAAAGAAAAATTTATTTTATTTTTAGCTTTTTTTTTATTACTTACTTTCTTTTTCACTTGTGTTGTAAATTCTTCTTCGCGAATTTACTAATTTATTTACTTTTTTATTTATTTTGTACATTTATTTTATTTTTTACTTCTTTCTTTTATTACTTACTCTTTCATTTCTTTTCTTTGTATTTTTTTTTTACTAATTCAAATATTTATTTACTTAGTAATTTTTTTTCTTTTCGTCTGACAGACTTACCAAAAACAATTCCCAATGGAAAAGGAAAAATGAATATTGACGGTTCTATTACATTTGAATGTAATGTTGGATATTCTATGTATGGATATCCAGTTGTTCAACCACAATCAAACCAATTTCCAGTTTGTGTTCGTAAGTATTCTGCAAATTATTATTTTTACTAAAAATTAAAAAATTTTATATTTTCAAGAATTTTTAATAAAATTTTTGAATAAAATTCCTTCAAAAAATTAAATAATTTTCTAAAATTCAGATAAAATGGTTCGAGACAATTTAATTATTTTTATGGATTGTAAAATCCTCCAGAAGAATTTAATTTTTTTTTTTGATAAATAAGAAAATTCTTCGCAGGAATAAAAAATTTATTCTTTGTAGAATTAAATTTATACAATGAAATTCAATTATTTTCATAAATAATAAAATGTTTCGGAGAAATTCAATTATTTTCAAATACAATTTTAATAATATTTCTCGAAAGAATAAAATTATTTTTAAAAATATTATTTAAATTCAATTATTTTCAACAAATTTGATTGTAAAATTCATCGAAACAATTCAATTATTTTTATAAATTGTAAAATTCTTGGCAAGAATTCAATTGTTTTTGTAAATAATAAAATTCTTCTGAGAAATTCAATTATTTTCAAAATACAATTTTAATAATATTTCTCAAAAGAAAAAAATTTTTTTTAAAAATATTTATTTAAATTCAATTTAAATTCAATTATTTTCAACAATTGTAATGAAATTCTTCGAGACAAATTATTTTTAAAGATAATTGAATTCTTGAATTGGATTTTATTAAAAGTTTTTTAAATAATTGAACTCCTGTAAAAAATTTAATTATTTCCTTAAAATAATTGAATATTCTTGGAGAATTTTCACAAGATATTGAAAAATAATTGAAATTTTTGAAGAAATCAAATTGAAAATGAAATGGAAAATAGGTGAAATTCTGATAAGAATTTTATTATTTATATAAAAATAATTGAATTTTTTACCATGATTTTTATTATATTTACAAAATGGACTAAAGAATTTTATTACAATTATTGAAAATAATTTAATTCATTTTAAAATTTAATTATTTTCAAAATTTTCAGTTAAAATTATTTAAAAAAAATTGAAATAAGTTCTTTAAAACAATTCAATTATTTTAAATTATTTTAATAAAAATCTTGCCAACAATTAAATTATTTTCAATACAATTTTAATAAAAATCTTGCCAAGAATTTAATAAAATTTTAATAACATTTTCTCGAAAGAATTAAAAAATTGAAAATATTTTGATAAAATTCTTGAGATGAATTCAATTATTATCAAATTTTTTTATAAATACTTTACAAAAATTCATTGATTTTTAATACATTGATAATTTAATAATTTTTGAAAATAATTAAATTCTTTAATAGAATGTTATTAAAAGTTTTTTTTTAAATAATTGAAATCCTGCGAAAAATTCAAATATTTTTTAAAATAATTAAATATTCCCTAAAATTTAATTAAAATTGTATTTAAAATCATTGAATTGCAGCAAAAATTTAATTATTTTAAAAATAATTGAATTCTTGAATAGAATTTTATAGTTTTTTTTTTTAAATAATTGAATCTTTGCGAAAAAAATTATTATTTCTACAAATAATTGAATTTTTGCAAAATTTTTAAAAAATAAGTGATTTTTTGAGAAGAATTTTATTGAAATTCTATTTGAACTAATTGAATTTCTGTTAAAAAATTTACTACTTATTGATATTATTCAATTCTTTCGAAGAATTAAATTGAATTCCTGTGAAAACTTTACTGTCTATTGATATTTTTGAATTCTTTAAAACTTTAAAAGAAAAATGTTTAAAAATAATTTAATTTTCCCTAGAATTCAATTATAAAATTGTATTAATTAAAATAATTGAATTCCTACGAAAATTTATTTATTTTTAAAAATAATTAAATTCTTGAAAATTGAATTTTATTAAAAGTTTTTTTTAAATAATTAAATTCTTGAAAAATAAATGAATTTTTTGAAGATATTAATTAATATTGTATTAAAAATAAGTGAAATCCTCACAATTACCTATTGAAAATAATTTCAGTAAATTCATTTTAAAATTTGAAAATATTTTTTTTAAAAGAAAAATTGTTGAAAAAGTTTGGAAATAAAAAAGCAAAAAGCAATTACTAAAACACAATAAAATAATTATAATTTTCCCTTTTTCCAGCTACCAATGATTTGGTAATTGAAAACGGAAGAATTGAAGTGCAAATTGTTTCTTCTGGTTATGAATTGCTTTACACTTGTAACGAAGGCTTCCAAATTTCTTCTGACGAGAATGGCATGCCTCCAACTGGACAGCAAGTCAACAGTAAACAAACATGTGTTCGTAAGTATTAATCACAATTTTAGTACAATATTTATCAAAATAATCAAAATAGCAATAAAAATAGTGGAAATATAATAAAAATAATCAACAATCTAGAGATGAAAATAATAATAATAATAATAATAAAAATATTATTTTAGCCGCTTGTCCAATTCTCTACTTCAAAAACGGATGGGTTGAAAGTAACAATCAATCAAGAACTGCACATTTCGGCTGTTGCGATGGATTCCAAATTCAAGGACCAACTGAATCAACTTGCGTTAATGGCCTGTGGACAAGCCCAACTCCCCAGTGCATTCGTATGTTTCTTTCTTTTTTATTTTACAAAAAAAAACTTTTAAAAATTTTTTCAATTTTTTTATTAGGATTATTATGTTTTCGTACTAATTTTATTCAAGAATTCAATTATTTTCGGAAATAATTAAATTGTTGATTTACTGAAAATCATTGAATTCTTGTAAAGTATTTATTAAAAAATATTAGAAAATAATTGAATTCATTTCAAGAATTTTATCAACATTGTTTTGAATAATTGAATTTATTCGAGAAAATGTAATTAGAATTTTATTAAAATTAATTTAATGGTAAATTTTTGGCAAGATTTTTTATTAAAATTCTTAAAAATAATTTAATTGTTTTTAAGAATTCAATTCTTAAAAATATAAAGTTTTCTTAAAAATAATAAAGTTTTTTTTTTAAAATAATTTTTACTAAAAATTTTGAAAGTAATTGAATTTTATTCGAAGAAATTCTTTTAAGAATTTAAAATAATCGTGTTTATTATTAATTGTAATTAACAATTTGCCTCTAAAATTCTATTAAAATTATTCATAGAAAATTAAATTCTTTTATACAATTTTATTAGTTTTTTGTACAAATAATTATTTTCTAAAATTGTAATAAAATTCTTTAGTCAATTTGTAAATAATAAAAATCTTGGTAAAAAATTCAATTATTTTTTATAAAAATAATAAAATTCTTATCAGAATTTCACTTATTTTCAATTCCAATTTTTAATTGATTTCTTCGAAAATTTCAATTATTTTTCAAAATCTTGAAAAATTTTTCCGAAAAAATTCAATTATTTTAAAGAAATAATTAAATTTTTCATAGGAGTTCAATTATTTAAAAAACTTTCAATAAAATCTAATTCAAGAATTCAATTATTTTTAAAAATAATGAAATTTTCCCTGGAATTCAATTATTTTAAATACAATTTTAATTGAATTCCAGGGAATTCAATTCAATTTAATAAAATTCTTCTCAAAAATTCACTTATTTTTTAAAATTTTGCAAAAATTCAAAGATTTGTCGAAATAATAAATTTTTTCGCAAGGATTCAATTATTTAAAAAAATTTTAATAAAATTCTATTCAAGAATTCAATTATTTTTGGAAATAATTAAAATGGCGATTTACTAAAAAATAATTGAGTTCTTGTAAAGTATTTATAAAAAAAAATTGAAAATAATTGAATTCATTTCAAGAATTTTAAGAACAATTTTTTTTTAAATTGAATTCTTTCGAGAAAATGTAATTAAAATTTTATTGAAAATAATTCAATTCTTGGCAAGATTTTTATTAAAATTCTTTAAAATAATTTAATTTTTGGTAAGTTTTTTATTAATATTTTTTATAATAATTGAATTGTTTTGAAGAATTTATTTCAATTTTCTTGAAAGCAATGGAGTTCTTTTTAATAATTTTTATTGAAAATTTTGAATATAATTGAATTTAAAGAAAAATTCAATTATTTATTCAATAATCATTGTAATAAAATTCTTTAGTCAATTTATAAATAATAAAAATCTTGTTAAAAAATTCAATTTTTTTTATATAAATAATAAACTTCTTATCAGAATTTTAATTATTTTCAATTCCATTTTTAATTGATTTCTTCGAAAATTTCAATTATTTTTCAAAATTTTTAAAAATTTTGCAAAAATTCAATTATTTGTAGAAATAATAAATTTTATTCACAAGGATTCAATTATTTAAAAAAATTCACATAAAATTCTATTCAAGAATTCAATTATTTTTAGAAATAATTAAATTGTCGATTTATTTAAAATAATTGAATTCATTTCAAGAATTTTAAGAACAATTTTTTCAATAATTGTATTCTTTCCAGAAAATGTAATTAAAATTTTCTTGAAAATAATTTAATTTTTGGCAAGATTTTTATTAAAATTCTTTAAAATAATTGAATTGTTTTGAAGAATTTATTTCAATTTTCTTGTAAATAATGAAGTTTTTTTAATATAATTTTTCTGAAAATTTTAAAAATAATTAAATTGTAAGGAGAAAATTAATTTAATAGAAAATTAAATTCTTTCAAACAATTTTATTAGAGTTTTTGTAAATATTTACATTTTTCTTTTATTGCAGAGTTTCATTAAATTTCGTAAGAATAATATAATTTTTAAAAATAGTTTTAATTGAAAATATTTGAAATTTTACAAAGAATGTTATTAAAAACTTTTGACATCAATTAAATTGAATTTAGAAAAATTTTATTACAATTTTTAATAATAATTGAATCTGTTAAAGAAATTTTATTAAAATTATCTTGAATATAGTTAAATTTTTTTCCTATGAAAATAATTTAAATAATTGATAATAATAATAATAATAATAATAATAATAATAATAATAATAATAATAATAATAATAATAATAATAATAATAATAATAATAATAATAATAATAGTAATTGAAATAGCCATTTTAATTTTTTTATTACGATTGTTATGTTTTTGTACTATTTTTAATTTTATAATTTGTAAATTAATTTTTCCAAAATATTTTTTTTCTTACAGCTCTCTGCAAAACAATTAATTTAATGAATGGTCAAGCCACTTACAACAGGGATTCAACAACATTCACCTGCAATCCTGGTTATTATTTATTAGGAGCAAAAGAAACTGTCTGCAATAATGGAAAATGGATGGATGATACTCCAATTTGCGTTCGTAAGTTATTTTTATTTTTCTCCGTTTTTCCATTTTTCTTTTTCTACTTTTTCACTTTTTTATTGAAATTGGTTTTTTAAATTAATTATTTAAAATATTTAGCATAATAGCATAAATTTTTTCGGAATTTCTAAATTATATTATTATTCAAAAAATCAAATACTTTTTCTCAAACACAAAATTTAAAAACTTATTCTTATTTATTTTTCCACAGGAATTAAAATTTCACATAATTTCAATGAAAAATCTTTTGAAATTTAATTATTTCTAAAAATTACTATTCTTCCAAAAGTCAATTATTTTTTTTTTAGAATTTTCGAATAAAATTATTCAAAACTTGTAAGAAATTTTAAAGAAAAATAATGTAATTAATTATTTTTTGAAGAAAAAATTTTTAATATTTTAATACTTTTGCGTCTTTTAAATTTTCAAGGAATTTAATTGAAAAATCCTTTAAAATTTAATTAATTCCTTAAATTCCTGTTATAAAGCTTTAAATTAATTAATTTTTGTCAATAATTGAAATTGTGCGAAGAATTTAATTATTTAAACTTTTCCAAATTAATAAAATTTTTGCGAAGAATTTTACTAATTTAAAAAAATACCTAATTGGAATCTTACGCAGAAATAATTCTTGAAAATAGTTGAATTCCTGATAAGAATTTTTATTGATTTTTGAAAATAATGAAAGTATTTAATAATTGAATTTTCAATTTTATATTTAACTTTTTTCTTTTCTTCTTCCACAGCCAATTGTCCAATGCCAGAAATTGTGAATGGAGACATTATTCCGGACGTGAAACAAAATAATTTCAAAATCGTCTGTCATAATGGTTTCGAACTTTTTGGAAGCGATGAAATGTCCTGCGTCTATGGACAGTGGTCTCAACCTGCTCCCATTTGCGCTGGTTAGTATTTCATAATATTTTACTCACTTTTTCTTTTATTCACCTACTTGTTAATTTACTTCTGTATTTTTTCAAACTATTTTTTTTATTATTAATTAATTACTTCTGCTTTTAATTTTCAAATGAAAAAGTAATAATGAAATAAATAATATAATTTAACTTTCTTTTTATTTTTCTATTTATTTATTTTTTATTTATTTATTTATTAACATATTTATTTATGTATTTATTTACGTATTTATTTGTTTTCGTATTTATTTATTTACTTATTTATTTATTTTCGTATTTATTTATTTACGTATTTATTTATTTATTTGTTTATTCATTAGAAGCAAAAGTAATTTTTTTTCTCGAAAAATCGATTTCAATTGAAAAAAGAGCGAAAAATTGGAGAAATTAATAAAATTTTCTTCTTCCTTTCAGCCGACTGCCAACCTCTTCATATTAATAATGGAGTTGCTCAAAATGTTAGGAATTCAAAAGTAATTCGAGTACAATGTAATTATGGTTATGTACTCAATGGTACGCAGGAGATTAGCTGCACCGGTGGAAATTGGAGTGCACCACCTCCAACCTGTATTTGTAAGTTTCTTTTTTCATTTTCTCATATTATTATTATTAATTAACAAACAAAAAAGAATTTTTTCTTTTGCCTCAGGACAAAATTTATTTTTTTGCTTAATTCCTTTCTTTTTTTTCTTATTAATATTATATTGAATTTCTCTATTAAAACAAAAATACAAAAGAATAGAAACAATTTTTTTTTATTTCTGCAAAAAAAATTATTACTTTTTGCAAAAAGAAAACTATTTTTTACTTTTCCTGGAAAAAAGAATATTCTTTTCTTCTTTTGCAAAGATTAGACAAATCAATTTTTGTTCTTTGCAGAAGAAGCATTTTTTTTGCTCTTTCGAACAAAAAACAAATTAATTTTTATTCTCTACAGAAAAAGCAATTTTTTTTGTTCTTTGGAATAAAAAAACAAAATTTTCTTTCTCTTTACGATAAAAAAAACTATTTTTTTGTTCTTTTTGCAAAAAAGTCCGTCTTTTTTTGTTCTCTTGAGAAAAAGCGATTTTGTTTTTTTGCTTTTTGTAACAAAAAACAATTTTTTTTCTCTTTACGATTTTTTTATTCTTGCAAAAACAAAACTAATCTTTTTTGTTCTCTGGAGAAAAAGCAATTTTCGTTTTTTGCTCTTTGCAACAAAAAAACAAGTTTTTTTCTCTTTAAGAAAACAAATATTTTTTTTTTGTTCTCTGGGAAAAAAAGAAACTATTTTTCTAATTTTTGTAAATAAAGAAAAAAGTTGAGACTAAAATTAAAAAAGTAACAGTAAAATTACAAAAAAAATAAACTTTTCTTTTTTTTTATTAATACATAATTTTCTAAAAGATTTAAAATTGAATTGAAAATACATTGATTTTAGAATATAAAAATTAAAAATGTAAATTTTTCTTTATTTACAGCTTTGTGCGAGGCTGTACACAATTATGGTCTCCAAGTTGACAGGCGAGAATTACTCAAGTTCAATTGCAACTTTTAAATAACTTGTTATTATTTTAACAACAATTCTAATCTACAAAGAGAGAAAATTTTTACTATATATTTTTTTAAAACCATGACAAAACGACAGTATTGAATATTTTATTATTATAATTATAATAAAGAAAACAAAGAAGAACAATAAAAAACATTTTCAAAATTAATATGGGCAAAATAATTTCTTTCCTCTCTCTTAATTCTTGGCTAGATTTTCATTAAAATTCTTTAAAATAATTGAATTGCTTTGAACAATTTATTTCAATTTTCTTTCGTAAATAATGAAGTTTTTGTAAAATAATTTTTACTGAAAATTTTGAAACTAATTGAATTTTAAGAAGAATTTCTTTTAAGTTTTTAAAATAATCGTTTTTATTATTAATTGTAATTAACGATTTTCCTATTAAATTATATTAAAATTATTCATAGAAACTTAAATTCTTTTAAACAATTTTATTAGAGTTTTTCTAAAAAAATTACATTTTTTACATTCTCATCAAAAATGAGAAAGTCTTGGATTTTTTTGAAGAGTTTTATTAAATTTTATAAAAATAATGTAATTTTTCAAAAATAAAATAATATTAAAATAAAAATAATTGAATTGTTTCGAATAATTTTTTACATCAGAATTGTTGAAAGTAATTAAATTTATTATTCTTAGGTAGGGTAACTGTACCAATTGTCGAGGGTTTTAGGCAACATGTGACTTTGACATTTTTTTTCTCGGAAGTAAATGCACTTTAAAATTTGATTTTTGTATATTTGGACGAAGGATCTAATAATGTTTAATATTCATATTTATTTTTTTAATATAAACTAAATTGTTAAGCAAAAAATATATTTAAAAGTCAATCGAGCAAAAGCACCATTTGTCGATGGTCTTGTGCTAATTTCTCGAGGGTCTGTTCCAATTGTCGAGGGTATGACATTTTTAAACATATAACCCAATATAACCTAACAATTAACCTGTACAGATATTAGAAAATCGAGTAGATATTTATTTTTTCGATAAAAATATTATAGAACATTACCAGAAAACAAATATATTTATTTAACTATAATTGAATAATTTATAATATCGATATAAAACATTTTTATAGTAGATGATACAGGACAGAAAATTATTTAACTGTTTTTTAAACTTTTATAAATATAAGTTAATTAAATTTAATCAATTTTGTTAATCAGACATTAATTGAAAAAATAAATTAATTTAAGTCACATTAAATTTGTAAACGAATAAAATAAACTTTTATTACCTACGAACTGTAAATATAATGGTTAATTATAATTAAACTATAGTACAAAATTTTTTAGTTTTAAATAATGCATTTTTTTATTAATTTTTTTTCGGTCTTCCTCGTTTTTTTGGTTGATTATTTTCTGTTGGTTGTAAATTTTTGGAGCATTTTTTTTCTTTTTCTCTGTACCTATAAATGTTTGGCATTTATGTTTGACGTTTAGTAAATAAACACTTAACCATCGATAAATGGTGCATCAGCGAAAAAAGTGACTACACCAATTTTCGAGTCATTACCTCGAAAAATGGAACTGTCAAAAAAAAGGAACCAAATACCGATGATTTGCTTTTAAAAAATATTAAATATTTTTTTTTAACAAAAAAACATGCATACAAAATTAATTTAGTTCGTGTACAAAATTATAATAATAATTTTGTACACAAAAAGTCATTATAAATACGTTTAATTTGCATTTCTAAAAATCTGTTTTAATCAACCTGAAGTATTAAGAAAATGGAGATTCGTGTAAATTTCACAGCAGTGAATTATAATATTAATTAAATAATTATTTTAGTAGAATCGCTACGAAATTTGTATATATAAATATACAGTTGAAAATACAAAGATTATTTAGAAATTTTTTTTGTTCTTAAATATTATATATTATACTATTTATCTAAAAAAGAAAATTATTATCCTCGACAATTGGAGCACCCTCGGCAATTGGTGCAGTTACCCTATGCAAATTACAAAATTTTTTATTATCAAATATAAATTTTTGAATAATTTCAGATTCAAAATTTAAAAAAAATTCAATTATTAACTAATTTAGGTACTAATTAATTATTTTCGTTTATTAATTTTAAAAATTTTAATAAAATTATTCACAAGAATTTTTTCTTAATTCGTCATAAAATACTTCGAAAGAAATCAGAAATGCAATTATTTTCTAAAATTTTAATAAATCCTTCGAAACAATTCAATTATATTTATAAATAGTAAAATTCTTTGCAAAAATTCAATTATTTTTAATACAATTTTAATAAAATTCCAAGAAAGAATTCAATTTTTAAAAAATTGTTAATAATAATGAAATTTTTTAAAGTAATTTTAATTGAAAATTTCAAAAATAATTGAAATTTACAACGAATTTTATTAAAAACTTTTGACAATAATTGAATTGTTTAGAAAAATTTTATTACAATTTTTTAAAATAATTGAACCTGTTGGAGAAATTTTATTAAAATTGTATCTGAAAATATACAGAAGAAGTTTATTATTTACAAAAAAATAATTGAATTCTTGCCAAGAATTTTACAATTTATAAAAATAATTGAATTGTTTCGAGTAATTTTTTACATCAGAATTGTTGAAAATAATTGAATTTTTATTAAAACCCTTGATAATAATCAAATTTAATTAATATTTTTAAATATAATTTTATTCTTTCAAAAAAATTTTTTTTAAATTGTATTAAAAATAATTGAATTTCTCAGGAGAATTTTATTATTTATGAAAATAATTAAATTTCTTTGTAGAAGTTTATTATTTATAAAAATTATTTTAATTCTTGCGAAGAATTTTCTTATTTATGCGAAAATAATAAAATTCTTGCGGAGGATTTTACAATTCATAAAAATAATTGAATTGTTTCCAAGCGTTTTATCTGATTTTTTGAAAATAATTGAATGTTTTGAAGGTATTTTATTAAAAATTTTGAAAATAATGATTTTTTTAAAAAGAATTTCATCAAAATTGTTGAAAATAATTGAATTGATATTAAAATTGTTGAAAAAAATCGAATTTAAATAATGTTTTTAAAAATAATTGTATTCTTTCGAGAAATTTGATTAAAATTACATAAAAAATAATTTAATTCTTGAAAAGAATTTTATTATTTATAAGAATAATTATTGATTACTTTCATCTAAATTAATTTAAATCAATTTTTCAAAAATCGTGCAAACATGTGTTTTTGAGAATTAAAATTATTCATAACTCTCAAATTATTTTCATTGGCAATTTTTTCCAATTCAGTGGAGAATTCGGTTAAATCTTCATTTCTCAATTCGGTGAGAAATTTTCTTGATTCAACAATGAAGGGTGAATTTTTCTTCAACAATGGCACGAGATTTGGAATTTGCTTTGTCATATTGTGAGAGAGAAATATTAGTGAGAATTTTTCCAAAAATTCATCTTTTTCCTTGAGACGTGATAATTTTTCAATTGGATGAAAAATAATCTGCGAGAAGAAAAAAAAAGAAAATAATATTATATTAACAAATTTTCAATAATATTGACTATTACATTATTTTCAATATTGAATTGAATTAAATTATTAAATTAAATTAAATTTTATTTAAATTAAAATTTTATTTTTATAATTTATGAAAATTTTCTTACTTCGATATCGGGAATTTCGATCCAATGAAAATTGTGCGTTTCAAATTTAAATTTATCCTCGGTCCATGTTTCCTGTTCCACATCACTTGGGGGCATTTCCGTGACAATTGTACCAGTTAAAAGTGATAAATCTCTGTGAGCGGCAAATATCTCGTCGAACATTGGCTCTTTATTTCTAATTTCATAAACTGTTCTCATTAATTCTTTTTCAGCCACGTCCGTTGATCGGAGTTTTCTGCAAACAAGGAAAAATAAGAAAAAAATATTAAACAAAGAATCAAAATTTTTGAATAAAATTTCAAAATGGAAAAAAAGGTAAAAAAAATTTCATAAGAAGAAACGAAAGTTTTACAAAAAGAAGAAGAAACAAAAAAAGAAAGTGTTGCAAACGGGAAATTAAAAAGTAAGTGGATAAAATTAATTTATTCAAGTAAAAATTAATTTATTAAGTCAAATTAATATATTCAAGTAAAAATTAATTTATTATGTCAAATTAATTTACTTTTAATTAAAAATAAATGTATTCGATTAATTTAAAAATTGATTTATTAATTAAATTAGAAATAAATTTTATATTAATAATCTTTGATCACTAATAATCACTGTAACCAAGTTGATTACGTTCAAAATAAAAATTAATACAATTCTTTCGAAACACTTTCAATTATTTTCCAAAATAAAAAAAAATGAAAATTTCTCTAAAAATTCTATTATTTTATAAAACAAAAAAAATTTTTGATAGAATTCAATTTATTTTAAAACAATTTTGATAAATTCCTCTAAAAAAAAAAATTTAAGTATTTTAAACAAATTTTACTTAAATTCTTTGAAGAAATTCGAAAAATAATTTTTAATATACAATTTCAGTCAAATTCTTGGAATGAATTTAATTATTTTAAAAATCTCAATAGAATTCTTCGAAAAAATTAAAATTATTTTCAAAATTTGCAATTATATTTTTTTTTTAGAATTGAATTATTTGGAATAATTTTTAAGTAAATTTGTTCAAAAATAAATAAATTTGGAAAATTTGTAAGTAAATATCTTCAAAATTGAATTATTTTTAAAATCTTTGATTAAAATTCTTGAAAAATGAATTATTTTCAAAATTTGCAATTAAATTCCTTCAGAATTGAATTATTTTCAAAATTTTCAACTAAATTTGTTCAAAATTGAATTAGATTTCATAGTTTTCAATTAAAATTCTAGAAAAATGAATTATTTTCATAATTTTCAATTAAAATTCTACAAAATTGAATTAATTGAAAATTTTCAATTAAATTTTTAAAAATTGAATTATTTGAAAATTTTTAATTAAATTTTTGAAAAATTGAGTTTATTTGAAAATTTTTAATTATATTTTTAAAAAATTGAATTATTTGAAAATTTTCAATTAAATTTAAAAGTTAGAAATATTTGGAAAATTTTCAATTAAATTTTTGAAAAATTGAATTATTTGAAAACTTTCAATTAAATTTAAAATTTAGAAATATTTGGAAAATTTACAATTAAATTTTTGAAAAATTGAATTATTTGAAAACTTTCAATTAAATTTAAAATTTAGAAATATTTGGAAAATTTTCAATTAAATTTCAATTAAAAATATTTTTTTTATATTATTTCTTTTATAATTTTTAATCTGAAATAATTAAATTCTTGTAAAGAAATTTATCTAAATTTGTCAGAATAATTAAATTTCTTGCGAAAAATTTAATTAAAATCTAGAACAATAAGTTAATTCATACGAGAAATTTCATTAAAATAATATTGAAATTCACATTGCGTTGAAAATATTTCAATTCTCATAAAAATTTTAATCAAAATTTTTCAAAATAATTGAATTTTTGCAGAATAATTTTATTACAATTCATGAAAATAATTAAATTCCTATCAAGAATTTGATTATAATTATGCAAATAATTCAATTTTTATAAATAATTTTATCAAAATTTTTCAAAATAATTGAATTTCTAGGTAGAATTTTTTTTATTTTTAAAAACAATTGAATTATTATAAATAATTTTATCAAAATTTTTGAAAATAATTGAACTTACGGAAGAATTTTATTACATTTAAAGAATAATTGAATTCCTATTAAGAAATCTTTAAAAATTTTTGAAAATAATTAAATTTCTACGAAGAATTAAATTCAATTATGAAAATAATTGAAATCTTGTTAACAATTTAATTAAAATTTTTGAAAATAATTGAATTTTTTCAGAGAATTTAATTTAAAATTGTATTGAAAATATTTCAATTCTTGTAAAGAATTTAATTAAAATTTTCCAAAACAATTTATTTTTTTGGAAGATTTTTATAAAATTTTCCAAAACAATTTATTTTTTTGGAAGATTTTTATAAAATTTGCCAAAATAATTAAATTTTTGCAAAAAAAAATTCCTTTGAGAAATAAAGAAATTTAATTAAAATTGTATTGAAAAAAATTATTCAATTCCTGCGAAGAATTTTGTAATTTACATTTTTTCTTAAATAATTCAAATGTTTTGAGAAATTTTTTTACAATTATTTTTTAATTAATTCAATTCATTCGAGAATTTTTTTACAATTATTTTTTAATCAATTCAATTCTTTGGAGAAATATTTTTACAATTATTTTTAATTAATTCAATTCTTTCGTGAAATATTATCATCATAGAATTGATTATGATAAATACTCGTTTTTTGAATCGTCATTAAGTGCCCAAGTGAAAAATGGTCCATTTTTGACATCGCCTAAATAGGCAAAGTGAAGAAATCCTTTCCCCTCGGGAATAATGTTGCTAATTAATGTTGGATTGCATCTTGTCGGTTCCCCCTCGATCCATGTAAATGCTATTCCATTTTCCCTCCAGAATCTAAATTAGTATTTTTTTTAATTAATAATTTTCTTTTATTATTTTATTATATTAATGAAATTTTTTATTGATTTATTCTATTTATCTCTATTAATTAGTTACTTAATTCTTAATCTCTATTAACTATTAAAATTTTTTTCAATTTTTTTACAGTTATTAAATAATAACCGATATTCCTGATGAGTTAAATTTGCAGCTCCTCGTGTTTTCAGAATCATATGAAAATCCCAATCGAAAACACCTTCGCGATAATCGTAACGTGTCTCGAGTGATTTTCTCAATCGTTTGTCCCAATATTGAGTGATTGGAAGACCTTCGCGAATTGCTCGTTCCCAGAATCTTGAAAAATCAAAGAGAAAAAGATTTTAAATTTAAAACTAAAAAGAAATTCTTATATTAACATAATTCAAAATTTCGCAAAAGAATTCAATTATTTAAAAGAAAAATTGATAAAATTCAATTATTTTCATAATTCACGAAAGAATTTAATTATTTTCAAAAATAAAAAAATTTCACGAAAGAATTCAATTATTTTCGAAAATAAGAAAATTTTTCGCCAAAATTCAATTATTTTCTAGAAAAACAAAATTTCCGAAAGAATTCAATTATTTTCCAAAATAAGAAAATTTTTTCGAAAGAATTCAATTTTTTTCCAAAATAAGAACATTTTTTTGGAAAAATTCAATTATTTTCAAAAATAAAAAAATTTCACGAAAAAATTGAATTATTTTCTAGAAAAATAAAATTTTACATTGAAATACAATTATTTTCTAAAATAATAAAATATCACGAAAGAATTCAATTATTTTCTAAAATAAAAAAATTTCACGAAAAAATTCAATTATTTTCGAAAATAAGAAAATTTTTCGCCAAAATTCAATTATTTTCTAGAAAAACAAAATTTCCGAAAGAATTCAATTATTTTCCAGAAAAAGAAAATTTCTCGAAAGAATTCAATTATTTTCCAAAATAAGAAAATTTCTCGAAAGAATTCAATTTTTTTCCAAAATAAGAACATTTTTTGGAAAAATTCAATTATTTTCAAAAATAAAAAAATTTCACGAAAAAATTGAATTATTTTCTAGAAAAATAAAATTTTACATTGAAATTCAATTATTTTCTAAAATAATAAAATATCACGAAAGAATTCAATTATTTTCTAAAATAAAAAAATTTCACGAAAAAATTCAATTATTTTCGAAAATAAGAAAATTTTTCGCCAAAATTCAATTATTTTCTAGAAAAACAAAATTTCCGAAAGAATTCAATTATTTTCCAGAAAAAGAAAATTTCTCGAAAGAATTCAATTATTTTCCAAAATAAGAAAATTTCTCGAAAGAATTCAATTTTTTTCCAAAATAAGAACATTTTTTTGGAAAAATTCAATTATTTTCAAAAATAAAAAAATTTCACGAAAAAATTGAATTATTTTCTAGAAAAATAAAATTTTACACTGAAATTCAATTATTTTCTAAAATAATAAAATATCACGAAAGAATTCAATTATTTTCTAAAATAAAAAAATTTCACGAAAAAATTCAATTATTTTCGAAAATAAGAAAATTTTTCGCCAAAATTCAATTATTTTCTAGAAAAACAAAATTTCCGAAAGAATTCAATTATTTTCCAGAAAAAGAAAATTTCTCGAAAGAATTCAATTATTTTCCAAAATAAGAAAATTTCTCGAAAGAATTCAATTTTTTTCCAAAATAAGAACATTTTTTTGGAAAAATTCAATTATTTTCAAAAATAAAAAAATTTCACGAAAAAATTGAATTATTTTCTAGAAAAATAAAATTTTACATTGAAATTCAATTATTTTCTAAAATAATAAAATATCACGAAAGAATTCAATTATTTTCTAAAATAAAAAAATTTCACGAAAAAATTCAATTATTTTCGAAAATAAGAAAATTTTTCGCCAAAATTCAATTATTTTCTAGAAAAACAAAATTTCCGAAAGAATTCAATTATTTTCCAGAAAAAGAAAATTTCTCGAAAGAATTCAATTATTTTCCAAAATAAGAAAATTTCTCGAAAGAATTCAATTTTTTTCCAAAATAAGAACATTTTTTTGGAAAAATTCAATTATTTTCAAAAATAAAAAAATTTCACGAAAAAATTGAATTATTTTCTAGAAAAATAAAATTTTACACTGAAATTCAATTATTTTCTAAAATAATAAAATATCACGAAAGAATTCAATTATTTTCTAAAATAAAAAAATTTGACGAAAAATTCAATTATTTACTAGAAAAAGAAAATTTCTTGAAAGAATTCAATTGTTTTCCAATATAAGAAAATTTTTCGGTAAAATTCAATTATTTTCTATAAAAAAAAAATTTCACGAAAAAATTCAATTATTTTATAGAAAAATAAACTTTTTCACTGAAAATCAATTATTTTTTAATCTAATAAAATATCACGAAAGAATTCAATTATTTATTGGAAAAAGAAAATTTCTCGAAACAATTCAATTATTTTCTATATAAAGAAAATTTCAAGAATGAATTTAATTATTTTCTAGAGAAAAAACCATTTCTCTAGAGAATTCAATTATTTTATAAAATGAAAAAAAAATTTCTTCGAAATTCAATTATTTACAAAAATAACAAAATTTTTCACAGAAATTCAATTTTTTTTCAAGAATTTTAATAAAATTTTTCACAATAATTCAATTATTTTCATAAATAAGAAAATTCTATTCAGGAATTCAATTATTTTTGAAAATTTTAATAATATTCTTTGCAACTATTATTTTTATTTAATTATTTTTATAAAATAATTATAAAATTCATCGCAGGATTTCAATTATTTTTAATAAAAATTTACAGAAATTGTTCGTAAAATGTCATTATTTTTCAAAATTGAATTTCAATTCCTCGAAAAAATCAATTATTTAAAGAAAATGAGTTTTTAAAATTCTTTGTAAGAATTCAATTTTTTAGAAAAATATTAGAATTTTTCACAGTAATTCAATTATTTTCAAATATTTAAATCAAAATTGTTCAAAAGAAATCAATTATTTTAAAAACAAATTTAATTAAATTTTTTTGAAATAATTTAATTATTCTTTTAAGATTTTAATAAAATTCTTTCTTAACAATTCAATAATTCAAAAGGTACTTTTTGTTAAAAATTCGATTCGAAAATTATTTTTCGCTAATGAGTCGTTTTTAATTAATTCAAAAGGCATTTTTCACTAAAAATTTGTTTTCAATTGATTCAAGAGGCATTTTTAACAAAAAAATCCATTTTGCAGAAAAAAGACAGAAAAAAATAATTTGTTTTCAATTGATTGGTATTTTTCGATTAATAATTCGGTTTTAGTTTAGAATTTCGTAAAGAATAGAATTAATTGTTGAAATATGTATTCAAATAATTGTTCTCACCTAAAAATTGATTCAATTTGATCTTTGTCTCGGTGCTTTAAAAATTCTAAATTCAACCAAGAACACTGGAGATTATTCGTTGGAAGGTCGGACAATTTTTTTGCCCTTTGAATTAAAAATTTTGCAGTCGCCGGCCTCAGTAGAGTATTTCCGAAAATTTCCAAATAATATCGAATCGCTTCTTGTAATCCTGAAAAAAAAATGAGAAAAATTAAATTGTTTATGAAATTCGAAATTTTATTTTCAATAATTATTAATTTCTCTATTTTCTTTCTATTTTTCACTTTCTTATTTTATTTTTTTAAATTTCTTTCTATTTTTCACTTTTTTATTTTATTTTTGTCTACTTTTTCTATTTTAAAGAAATATCAGTTTAAATTAAATTAAATAAAATTAATTAAAAATATTTAGGGACAGAATCTTTTTTTTTACTTTTTATTCAATTATTTTTTTTAAAACTATTTTCATCTCTCTTTTTATTAAAAAAAATTTCTTTTATTATTTCAAAATTAATTGAATATAAAAATAAATAAAGTAAAAAAATACATAAATTTTTCTCTAAACAAATACTTGGAACAAAAAATTGTTCTATTAATTTCTTCCTTTTTTTTAATTAAAGAAAAAATATATTTTTCGCTTATTATAATTTCTAAATTAATTGAATATAAAAATAAATATAGTAAGAAAAATACCTAAATTTTTCTCTAAACAAATGCTTAGAAAAAGAATTGTTCTGTTAATTTCCTCCAATGTTGCTTCAATTAAATGAAATTTTAATTTTCGCCTCTGATGTTTGTACGAGGAGGAAATTGTTTTAATCACATGTCGAGCGTCAGATTCGCCAACAATTAGAAATTCCAATAAATCAGAATCGTCTTCTTTTATTTCCTCTTGAAAATCCAAAGGCGGACTGATTCCCCACCACATATTTTTTTTCGGAAAAAAGAATTCTTTTTCCAAAATTTTCCAAGTTTATTTTTTTTAATATTGTCAAATATTAAAAAATGTCTAAATCAATTTTTTTCACTCTCTCTCTCTCATTCAGTTTCGTGACTGTTTATTTCCATGGTAACAAAGAAGTTCGATTGAAATCTGTCACACGAAGCAAAAAAATTCGGAAAAAACGGTAAAAAGTTAGTGAAAAATAGTAAAAGAAAATAATAAAGAAAATTGTTTAAAAATAGTAAAAAAAAAGTATTGAAAAATGCAGTAAAAAATCAGTAAAAAAATAGTAAAGTTGTAGAAATAGTAAAAAAAGCAGTGAACAAAATAGTAAAAAATCAGTAAAAGAAAATAAAAAGTAAAAAATAGTCATTATTTTTACTTCTTTTTCTTCTTTTTATTTTTTTTTTACAATTGTTTTCTCTTTTTATTCTTTCTAAAAAGAGAAAAATCGTAAAAAAAATAAAAAGAAGAAAAAATACTAAAAAGAAAAAAAAACAGCAAAAATTGAAAAAAGAAAAATCAGAAAAAATAAAAAAGAAAAATTTATTTATTAGATAAAAAAAATTTAATACATTTTTATGAGTGAATATTTATAATTTAAAATTTTTGAATCGTAATATTCATATAAAAATCTTCAGTAGTAGTAGTAACAAAAATTCTCACTATATGTAGACATTTTTTTAAAAAATGAAAGAAAAAAAAAATTAAAAACAAAATGAATTTATCAAAATTTTTCGCGCTTAATATTTTTCAAAGATTTTAAACATTTTTGACAATCTCTTCCACTTTTGACACATTTTTGACAAATCTCGTGATCACAACTTGTGGGTATTAAAAATTTCGAAACCACTTCACAAGCATCGCATTTTCTCCAAGGAACTTTAATTTCTGTCACTTCGTGAAATTCCTTAAAAAAAAAAAAATAATTACTTTCTTTATTATTTTTTTTTAGTATTTATTTACAAAATAAATTAAAATAATATATAATGAAATAAATAAATAATATAAATATAAATATAATAAATAAAAATATTAAATATTAAAAAAGAAATAAAATAATTTTTAAATAATTTTAAATTTAAAATTAACAAAAAATTCAGTTATTTACGAAAAGTAATTAAATTTTTTCCCTGAAATTCAATTATTTTCGCGAAGCAATTTTTCGTGCAGGATTTTCATTTATTTTTCCATATAATTTTAATAAGTCAATTTTAATTAATTTTAAACTTTTTGAATTAAATTCCTCGATACTATTATTAAATTATATTCGAGAATTTTAATAAAATACTTTACAGGAATTAAATATTTTTTTTTTATTTATTAACTTGCAAATTTTTTTTACCTGACTATGAAACTGTTTATTAACTTTTGGCAAATTATTATTGTGATGATTGTTTCTCTCTCGACAAGAACAAGAATAATTATTTTGTTTTTGTGGCGTATAATAATTAACCGATGAACTTGCAGTTTGCTGTCCTGCGAAAAATAAAATTCAAATTAACAAATTTTTTGTCCATTTTAAATTATATTCAAAATGAAAAATTCATGCAATTCTTCGAAATAATTTTCAATTACTTTTAAAAATATGAAAATTTTTCTTTTAGAATTCAATTATTTTCTAAAGGACGAAAATTTTTCGAAAGAATTAAATTAGTTTTAAAAAAAATTTTGATAAATTTCTCTAAGAAAATTTAATTATTTTAAACAAATTTTACTTTAATTCTTTAAAAAAATCCAGTTATGTATTTTTAATTTCAAAAATTGAAATATTTTCAAAATTTGAATTTTAATTTCTTCAAAAATGAATTATTTGCAAAAAATTTTTTTCAATAATGAATTATTTTCCAAATTTGCAATTAAATTTCTTCAAAATTGAAATATTTTCAAAATTTTTAATTAAATTTCTTCAGAATTCTATTATTTTCAAAATTGACAATTAAATTTCTTCAAAACTGAATTAGTTGGAAAATTATCAATTAAATTTTTTAAAAATTGAAATATAATTTTTTCAAAATTTTCAATTATAAAATTCTTCAAAAATGAATTATTTTCCAAATTTGCAATTAAATTTCTTCAAAAATTGAATAATTTTGAAAATTTGACATTAAAATTCTTAAAAAATGATGTCATTGAAGAAAATTAAAAAAAATTTTTTTCAAAATTTTCAATTAAATTTCTTAAAAACTGAATTATTTTCAAAAATTGCAATTTAATTTCTTCAAAATAGATTTATTTTCAAAATTTGCAAATAAATGTTTTTCGAAAATTGGAATATTTTCAAAATTTTCAATTAAATTTCTCTTAAAAATTGAAATATTTTCAGAAATTTCTAAATTCTTAAAAATTGAAATATTTTCCAAATTTTCCATTAAAATTCTTCAAAATTAAATTATCTCCAAAATTTGCGAATAAATTTCTTCAAAATTGGAATATTTTCTAAAGTTGCAATTATAAAATTTTTCAAAAATGAATTATTTTCTAAATTTGCAATTTATTAAATTTCTACAGAATTGAATAATTTTAAAAATTTGCAATAAATTTTTTTCCAAATTTGCAATTTATTAAATTTCTACAAAATTGAATAATTTTGAAAATTTCCAATTAAAATTCTTAAAAAATGAATTATTTTCAAAATTTGAAATTTAATTTCTTCGAAATGGAATTATTTGGAAAATTATCAATTAAATTTCTTCAAAATTGAAATATTTTCATAATTTTTAATTAGAATTCTGCAAAAATGAATTATTTTCATCATTTGCAAATAATTTTTTTCAAAATAGAATTTCTTTCAAAACTTGCAAATAAATTTCTATCAATTAAATTTCTTCAAAATTGAATTATTTTCAAAATTTTCAAATAAATTTCTTCAAAATTTTTTAAAATTCTTCAAAATTGAAATATTTTCAATCTTTTCAATTACATTTGTTCAAAAATGAATTATTTTCTATTAAAATTCTTCAAAAATGAATGATTTGTAATAAATTTTTTAAAAATAGAATTATTTTCAAAATAGAATTTTTTTCAAAACTTGCAAATAAATTTCTATCAATTAAATTTCTTCAAAATTGAATTATTTTCAAAATTTTCAATTAAAATTCTTCAAAATTGAAATATTTTCAAAAGTTGCAATTATAACATTTTTTTAAAATAAGTTATTTTCCAAATTTGCAATTTATTAAATTTATATAGAATATTTAATAATTTTGAAAATTTCTAAATAAAATTCTTAAAAAATAAATTATTTTCAAAATTTGCAATTTAATTTCTTCGAAATGGAATTATTTGGAGAATTTTAAATTAAATTTCTTCAAAATTAAAATATTTTCAAAATTTTCAATTAAAATTCTTCAAAAATGAATGATTTGCAATAAATTGTTTCAAAATTGAATTATTTTCAAAATTTGCAAATAAATTTTTGCAAAATTGAATTGTTTCCAAAATTCTTAGCAGAAATTTGCAAAAAAAAATTATGTTCCATTTTTTTTAATAAACAAAGAAGAAAAATTTAAGAATCAAAATTTTTTGTTTTACAAAATTTTAAATTTTCTTTCGGGTAAAAAAAAGGAATTTTGTCTTTTTTGCTCACCTGATTTTGCACGATCAGCCGATTTACTTTCAATTAATAAATTAATTGCCGGTTTCAAAACACGTTGAAAACCTTGAAAATGCGCTTCAAGTGCATCATATTTCCTTTGAATATCATCACTTTCCTTTGGACGTGGTGAATTTCGTAATTTTTCCAAAGCAATGCCAGCAATTTGTCCTAAAGCACCATTCAACAATGCATCCATTAAAAAAAAAATTTTTTTCTCGTTATTTTCTATAAAAAAAATTATTATTGAATTTCACTCTTTTGGTAATTAAATTTAATTTCTTAAAGTATTTCCGTAAAAAACTCCAATTGTTGGTAATATAAATAATAAATACATATAAATAATAAAATATCACGATAGACGGGAGATAAAATTTGACTGAGTATCAAGAGAAACATTCTTGGTATTTATATAATTTTAGTAGATATAAATATTATTCAATTAAATCGATTTTCGTAAATATTTACATATTCGACAAATATCCATACAATAAGTAGAGTTTAACTAATAATACTGGAAATAATTTTTCTTTATTTGTAATTTGAGAATAATGATAAAAATAATAATAATAATAATAATAATTATTATTATTGTTTAAATAATTTTACGTTTGTTTATTAAATATTTTGTCAAATAAATATTACGAGGGTTTAAAAAAAAAAAAAAAAAAAAAAAATTTTTTTTGAATTTATTTGACAATAATAATTAATAATAATAATAATAATAATAATAATAATAATAATAATAATAATTATTATTATTATCATTATACTTTTATTATTATTATTAGGGTGCCAATGACATAAATAATTATTAATTTAATAATTTTTATTTTTGAATATTTTCAATTTTAAAATTAACATTTATTATCTTTATACTGAATTCATCGAAAGAATACAATTATTTTTATAAAAATATTAATTAAATTCAATTATTTTCAAATTTTTAATAACATTCCTTAAAAAAAATTAAATTATTTTCAAAGATTCAGATAAAATTTTTCGAAAAAATTCAATTATTTTTATGGAATTGTAAAATCCTCCGCAAGTATTAAATTACTTTTAAAAATAAGAAAATTCTTCGCGAGAATTAAAATTTTCAATTAAAATTCTTCAAAAATGAAATATTTGCATTAAATTTTTTCAAAATTTAATTATTTTCAAAATATAAAAATAAAATTCTTTAAAATTGTAATATTTTCAAAATTTTCAATTAAAATTCTTAAACAATGAATTATTTTCAAAGTTTGGAATTTAATTTCTTCGAAATGAAATTATTTGGAAAATTTTCAATTAAAATTCTTTAAAATTGAAATATTTTCAAAATATTCAATAAAAATTCATCAAAATTGGGATATTTTCGAAAAATTTAAATTTTAAAACTTTTCAAAAATGAATTATTTAGCGAATTTGAAATTTATTAAATTTCTACAAAATTGAATAATTTTGAAAATTGGCAATGAATTATTTTCCAAATTTGCAATTTATTAAATTTCTAGAAAATTGAAATATTTTCAAAAGTTGCAATTAAATTTCTTCAAAATTGACATTTTTTGCAAAAATTGCAATTAAATTTCTTCAAAATAGAAATATTTCAAAAATTTTCAATTAAAATTCTTCAAAAATGAATTATTTACAATAAACTTTTTCAAAATTGAATTATTTTCAACAATTTGCAAATAAATTTCTTCAAAATTGAATTATTTAAAATTTTCAATTAAAATTCTTCAAAATTATATTATATCAATTATATTGGGAAATTTTTACATGCCGCCGTATGCCACTGTTGACCAATATTTTGACATGTGTCAAGTTTTAGAGGAAATGGCATTTATTTATCCTTCAGCGAAAATTATAGTTTTGGGTGATTTCAATATGCCTTATGCAATATGGAATCAGTCACGTGATGATAACCCATGTTGTTCACCCAAACCTGGTTCTCTTAATTTACATTGTCAGATCATTAACACAGTAAGTGATACCTTGGACTTTCTTAATCTTGTGCAGATTAATAATAACACTAATACTCATGGATCTCTATTGGATCTAATTTTTATAAATTTTTCTGACTCCAAGAATTTTGGAGTAAACTTGACAAGTGATAGTCTACTTCCGGTTGACATCTTTCACCCCCCTTTATTATTTGATTATAACCCTCAACTTACAGATGTTCCTGAATTTCGTGAAAGATCTCTTAAATATGACTTTTTAAACGCTAATGTTTTTGCTATTAATGAATATCTAAAAAGTGTTGATTGGTCTAATTGCTTATTGGGTTGTGATATTGAGAATGCAGTTGACATTTTTTATAATCATGTTTATTTTGCTATTGAACTTTTTGTTCCTGTTAAAGCTACAAATACTTCACATTATCCACCTTGGTTTAATAGTGAATTAAAGAAATTAACACAAGATAAAAAAATTGCTCATTTACATTATAAGAAAAATAATAGCTTTTCAAATTACCAGTTATTTTCTACATTACGAACTCAGTGCAAATCTCTCTCAACATTTTATTATAATGCTTATATTCGTAAAAGCGAACAATCTATTGTTAATTGTCCTAAAAACTTTTGGAAATTTATCAAATCTAAACAGAGCGACCGCTGCATTCCAAACTGTATGACACTTGACGGTGATGTTGCGACTGATCGTGATAATATAAGTACTTTTTTCGCAACCTATTTTGAATCGGTTTACGAAGCTTATGATAGTAATGTTGTTACTACTCCTTTTCAAGTGCACGATTCCGTTTGTCTTAATTCTTTTCATATTAACAAAAGTGACATAGCTGAGAAAATATTGTCTTGCAATGTGAATGTTGGTGCTGGTCCTGATGGTATCCCTCCTGCTTTGATTAAGTCGTGCTGCTCTTCTCTAGTCGAACCCTTATATATACTTTTTACTAGGTCCGTGCGGGAATGCATTTTTCCAAAACAGTGGAAAATAGGAATAGTCGTTCCTGTATTTAAAGATAAATCAAAAAATGATGTTAAAAATTATAGACCAATTACTATTCTCAGCACAATCCCCAAGATTTTTGAGAGCATTATCTATGATGAACTTTATCTATCTGTTTCCGGAGTGATTATTGACGAGCAGCACGGATTTCTTAGGGGTAGATCAGCTTCTACTAATCTTGGTATTTTTTATGAAAGTTTGGTTTCTGCAGTCGAGAGTGGTCATCAGGTTGACGCTGTCTACGCGGACTTTGCTAAGGCATTCGATAAGATTGATCATGAAATTCTTCTTAAAAAGCTAAAATTACTGGGCATTGGTCCTAATATTGTTTCTTGGTTTCGAAGCTACTTAATTGCCAATTGCCTATGTGTCCGTGTGGATGGTGTTTACTCTGAGATGTTTACGGCAACTTCTGGTGTCCCCCAAGGATCTCACCTGGGTCCCTTATTATTTCTTTTATTCATTAATGACATAAATTCTGCGTTTAAATTCTGTTCTTTTTTACTTTTTGCCGATGATCTGAAATTATATATGACTATTGGTTCTCATGATGATTTTATAAATTTTCAGTCTGACTTAGATCGTCTACATCAATGGTGTATTAGTAGTAAATTTCATTTTAATATTAATAAATGTTCTGTGATTTCTTTTTCTAAGAAAAAAGTTACTATTAAACATGATTACAAGCTTGATAATTTCTCTTTAACTCGAGTGACCCAGGTGAGAGATCTGGGAGTTGTCTTCAGTGATGATTTGACCTTCTCTAACCATATTACTGTTGTTGTAAACAAGGCTGTTCGATTATTGGGTTTCATTATACGAAATGCATCGGATTTTAGAAGTTTGGTTTCCCTTAAAGTTCTATATTATTCCTTTGTTTTATCAATCCTTGAATTTGCTTCTGTGATATGGTCTCCTTTTTACCTCATTCACATTGTTAGACTTGAAAGAGTTCAAAATCGTTTTTTGCGCTTTGTTGCTAGGCAACTTGGTATTGGTTACGATTTTTTTTCCCATAACTATGATGCTTTACGTTCGCAGTTAAAAATTCCTAAGGTGCACACAAGGTTTCGATATAATGACTTGCTTTTTTTGTTTAAAATTATAAACGGCATCGTGTACTGTCCTAGAATTCTCTCTCAGGTTAATTTTTATACTCCGGTTAGAGTCTTAAGAGGCTATAATTTGTTTTATATTAAAAAACATAGAACAAATTATGGGAAGAATTCTATTATTACTAGACTCTGTAGGCAAGCGAATCTTTGTCCTAGTAGCCTTGACTTTTTTGATATTAAAATGGAGAGATTTGTCGCCGCTTTACGAGCAATTGTTTTAAATGAAAATTTCTAATTACAATTTTCTGTTCTGGCCGATGTTTAATTTTTAGTTTCTAGATTTTACTTATATGTATATTATATTATGTAAAGGGTATTTTTCACCCGTTTATCTACCAAATAAATAAATAAATAAATAAATAAAAATTGGAATATTTTAAAAAATTTCAATTTTCAAATTTTTCAAAAATAAATTATTTGCAATAAATTTTTTCAAAATTTTCAATTAAAATTTTTCAAAATTGAAATATTTTTAAAAGTTGCAGTTTATTAAATTTCTACAAAATTGAATAATTTTGAAAATTGGCAATGAATTGTTTTTCAAATTTGCAATTTATTAAATTTCTACAAAATTGAAATGTTTTCAAAAGTTGCAATTAAATTTCTTCAAAATTGACATTTTTTGCAAAAGTTGCAAATAAATTTCTTCAAAATAGAAATATTTCAAAAATTTTCAATTAAAATTCTTCAAAAATGAATTATTTACAATAAATTTTTTCAAAATTAAATTACATATTTTCAACAATTTTAATGAAATTCTTTTGAGAAAAAATCATTATTTTCAAATTTTTAATAACATTCCTTCAAAAAATTGAATTATTTTCAAAAATGTAGTTAAAATTTTTCGAAAAAATTGAATTTCTTTTAGGAATATTGTAAAATCTTCCACAAGAATTCAATTATTTTCATAAATAAAAAAATTCTTCGTAAGAATTAAATTTAATTTAATTATAAAAATTATAATTATAAAAATAATAAATTTAATTATTTTCAAATACAATTTTTTTCCTGAAGTTTTTATAAAAATAATTGAATTTTTGCAAGAAATTTTACTATTTAAAGAAATAATTGAATTTCTGCAAACAATTTTACTATTTGTAAAAATAATTGAATTCTTGTGAAGAATTTTATTAAAATTTTTGAAATTAATAAACGAAAATAATTAATTAATAAATTAGTTAATAATTGAATTTTTTTAAAAGTTTGAATCTAAAAATAATGATTCAAAAATTTATATTTGAAAATAAAAAATTTTTGTAATTTGCATTAGAATAATAAGTTTAATTTTTTTTCAACAATTCTGATATAAAATTCTTCG